CTGCAATAAAGCCCATATACAAAGTGTTGAACCACCACATAATTATATCAAGGCTATCAATAATAGGTCAAGACGTATTGTCTTTTTTTTACATGTGAGGTATTCACAGACCTGTGCACTTTTTTAGCCATGGCGGAGGAACGTCGACAGAAGCAGTGTTCGGTCGTCCTGCCCACAGAGTCCATGAAGGCCATGGCAGAGTCTGTGGGAGTGGGGCAGTTACAGGAGGAAAGCTGCGTAGCCTTAAGTGAAGAAGTCAGCTACAGAATAAAAGAAATTGCACAGGTAAATCACGGGTGATTGAAGCAGAATTTGTGTTTGTGGTTCTGTAAAGTGCTCTGAAACCACATTCTTGACTGCCCTGTGTCATATCTGATATATGAGGTTTATATTTTAATTCTGTTTTGTCTCTTTTCTCTCTTTTTATAGGATGCTCTCAAATTCATGCATCATGGGAAGAGACGTAAATTAACCACCAGTGACATAGATAATGCTCTCAAACTAAAAAATGTGGAGGTAAGGGAGAGGTTGCTTTAACTTAAAGAACACTGTTTTTTAAATTAATTTTTTAATGCTTAATTAAACCACTTGATGGATGTTATTTAAAGGAAAGCATCAAGTTGGTATTTTGCTCTAGTTTTAAATTCTAAGCAAATCCTTCTTGTTATAGCCCCTGTATGGGTTCCAGTCGCAAGAGTTTATCCCGTTTCGGTTTGCAAGTGGTGGTGGAAGAGAGCTTCATTTCTATGAAGAGAAGGAAGTCGACCTCAGTGATATTATCAACACGCCGCTCCCCAGAGTTCCACTAGATGTGTCTCTCAAAGGTACCCAAACCACCTGTACTACATGCCGTTGCACTCCATGATATTGCATTGCCTTCTTTTGACTGAATGGTTTGTAAGCTTATACACTATGCTTGTTTGTTTATCCACAGCCCACTGGTTAAGTATTGAGGGAGTGCAGCCTTCTATCCCAGAAAATCCTCCACCAGGTGAGTCCTGTTTAGAGTTTATTCTCTTAAAACACACAAAGAAAATATCTGAATGAAGAACTTAGGATTGGGTTTTATTTACTGCATTTCAGCACCGAAAGAGCAACAAAAGGTTGAATCTACAGAGCCCCTCAAAGTTGTCAAACCTGGTCAGGAGGAGGAAGGTATTCAAGGCAAGGGTCAGGGAGCAACAGCTGCAGATGGCAAAGGTCAGTAACTTGTTTTATATTTAAATTCAACTTTTCTCTGTTCTCTTCTCCTGTCGCTCTACCTCGCTTCCTTTTTCCCACCCTAATCCTTTGTGGTTATATCTTGTCTCTTTCAGGAAAGGAGAAGGGTCTAATAAGGTTGAAGCCACGCAGCACTCACGAGCTGTCTGTGGAACAGCAGCTCTACTACAAGGAAATTACAGAAGCGTGTGTGGGCTCCTGTGAAGCTAAGAGAGCTGTAAGTCCTCCCTGTTTGTCTGTATATATGCTTTATTTTATATATGCTGAGTAATAATGTAACATACGCTTGTTTTGAGATAAAGTAAAGAAATGGCAACACACAAAAACTGTGATTCTGCCTAATTATCAAATAGTTGTTTTTTTTAAACCTTGTTTGTCATGTCACTTTTGTTTGTCTCATTCAGGAAGCTTTACAGAGCATTGCTACAGATCCTGGACTGTATCAGATGCTTCCAAGATTCAGCACATTTATTTCTGAAGGAGTGAGCATCTTTTCCAACTTCCTCTAATGCTCCGAAACATTACTCACCTCATATAAAATACCCAAGCATAGCTCAGCTTAAAGTGCTAACTTTATTCTCTCCTCAAAGGTTCGTGTCAATGTGGTGCAGAACAACTTGGCTCTACTGATTTATTTAATGCGGATGGTCAAGGCTCTAATGGACAACCCCACCCTGTATTTGGAGAAATACGTGAGTGAGGAAAACAAACAAAATGTTGTACTATTTTTGTGAAATTGTAAGTGTAATCTGAACAAACACTTTTCATTCTAATGTTATATTTTTTCTATTCGTATTTGTAGCTGCATGAGCTCATCCCTGCTGTGGTGACGTGTATTGTGAGTAAGCAGCTGTGTTTGCGACCAGATGTTGACAACCACTGGGCTTTACGAGACTTTGCTGCTCGCCTCATGGCCCAGAGTTGTAAAACCTTCAGTACTACGACCAACAACATCCAGTCCCGTATTACCAAGACTTTTACTAAGGTGGGTCTTTATGTCGTATATTTATGTTACCAAAAATATCAAGGTAAAGAATATTTGTTAAAACAGTGAAATGTATGTATACATAGTCCAAGTTGTGACATTAAATATATTATATTAACTTTGGCACAAATAAACCAGACTGACTGATGTTTCCTCAGAGTTGGTTAGATGATAAAACCCAGTGGACGACACGTTACGGCTGCATCGCTGGACTTGCCGAACTAGGACCTGATGTGAGTGTGATTCCATTTTCCTTGGGCCTTTTTATAATTTTTACTCTTTTCAATCAACCCTAACCCCCAGAATTTGTCCTTTTTTTGTAGGTGATTAAGACGTTGATCCTTCCTCGGCTTTCTGTAGAGGGTGCTCGCATCAAAGCAGTGATGGAAGGACCGGTGGTCTCCAATATTGATAAGATAGGAGCTGACCATGTTCAAAGCCTTTTACTGGTAACAAATTAATTTCTGTAATAATTATGTATTTAAAAGTAGACCGCTTCCCACTGATTGATGCATTTCATAAAGACATTGACATTCACTTGTACCTAGGTTTCATGATGCAAATGTGTTTTGTTTTCAAAGAAACACTGTGCAAGCGTTATTGCCAAGATTCGACCTCAGCCCGACGTCGTGGAGCAGTATCGGACAGACTATGGTTACCTCGGACCCATGCTTTGTTCCCATGTAATGAAGGCCAGGACTCAAGCAGCATTGCAAGCTCAGCAAGTCAACAGAACCACATTAACAATCACCCAGGTACATTTAAGAGTTGATGAAATATTTTTGGTAAAAGATAGATAAATGTGAATGGAGTTTTTTTTTTTTTTTTTAATAACAATAAAAAATAAATATACCATAAAAACCTTCATGTGTCCTCTTAGACATCAGTCTTACAGTCCAGATTTAATGTGAAACATTGCATAAAGATGTGTGTGAGTAAACCAGCACACAGCTGTTCAATAATGAATGATGACTCTTTGTATTGCAGCCTCGTCCGACCCTCACAGTCTCACAAAGTGGGTTAAGTGGGTCAGCGGGGCCTCGCACTCCCAGCATCATCAAGGTTCCAAGCTCCCTCACCCTGATGTCTCCTCGACCGGGGACCCCATCACAACCATCTCCCCCGGCAACAAAGTACATCGTCATGGCAACCAGTGCAGGAGCCGCCTCAACTCAGCAGGTACTTTGATTTTTCATTTTTTCCACTCCTCACAACGTTGCTTTAAAGTGCCACCACTGCACGAAATCTCCACAGGATACCTTTACGTGCCTATACTTTTATTCAAATAAGACAAAAAGCACTAACAAAAATAAAAATGAATGAATACAGACATGAAAATGTATTTTTTAATAAAAAATAACTGCGTGATTGGTGTGAAATTTCACATGTCAAATTTCATTTTCTCTCCATAAAATCCATTATTCCTGAGAGTATGAATCTACATCTGCCTTTTTTTCATTCCTCTAGGTAATCACCATCAGCTCTTCCCAGTCTGCCTCACCAGTCACTAGCACTGTTCCCAGCGCAACTTCGACCTTGCAGCCTTTGGTAAAACTGGAGCCTACAGGCGGCCCTGGACTAACAGGTTCACGGCCTATGCAGAAGTACATTGTGGTATCTCTGCCCTCGTCTGCCTCTTCCTCCTTGGAGAATAAGAGCTCTGTGCTACCAACCTCAATTTCCTCGACCCCACTAGAAGCAGGGATGAAGCTAGACAGGTCCGAGTCTCCTGGAGCGAGCACACAGTCACCACACTGAGATTTATATAGGTGGTGGAGATTTTTTTACCATGTCGTTGCAGCTTAATACGCAGGTTTGTTTGGGCTGAACTTAAAGGGGTAATCTTTGGAGTGGTTTGAAGGGGAATATCTGAACTCTTGACTGATAAAGAGCAAATGTGACACTGTAAATATGTTAATGCCCAATGAAAACTGAGGTCCATCTGTGAGATCTGTAATGCTTCAGCTTATATTCTAATTGATTTCATGGTCTTTTTTTACTTTTAAAATAAATCAGATTTTGTATGAACTCCTTTATCTGGATGTGTTTTCACTGTTTACTAAGTGTTGTTAACACTGAATATCTGGACACCAGAATCTCATCACTATGACCCCAAGAATGGTGTAAAAGCCAGCCAAAAGAAAACAAACACTCGATTAAACAAAACAAAAAAAAGGTGTAAGAAGTACCCTTAATGTGTACTTAAGTAAAAGTTGCAATACTATAGTATAAAAATACACCATTACATGTAAAGGCCCTGCATTTAAATATTAAGTCAAAGTACACAAGTGTTGTCATAATTGTATTATTGATGTGTTTTGTATGTTCAGGACCTTGTAACATGAAAAGTAACCAGTAACTATGGTTGTTAGATAAGCACAGTAAAACATACAATGCTTTCCTCTGAAATGTAGTGAAAGTACTTGAGTAAATGTAATTGGTTACATTCCTGCTTCCAGTTAGTCGTGACCAGAGTTACAGAAGTAACGTTGAAGAAATAAAAGTTTTAAAAGTGAAAAATGCACAGGTCCAACACTACATTAAACACTGAGCAATGTGATAAGAAACATCAAGTTTCCATATCGCATGCCAAAATTAAAAGTTTGTAGATTGTAGATTAACTTACAGTATGGTATGGTAGTATGGTTTTCATGCCTAATATAAATTTAAATAGCAATTTCAAAATAATAGTGTTATTATTTTGAAATCGTATTAATAGCTAATTTACCGTTCATTATTTTATTTTGAAGAATAACATTCACCACCGGAAGTATTTCCTGTGTATTCAGTGTGTTAGACGCGGGTTTGTAGTTACTCATTTGATTTCTCTCTGAGGTAGAGGAAAGTAAGGACTAAGTGTGGACTGTGGTAGATGAAAACCTTAATTTTGTTCCTGCCGCAGACATGAATTTCAAAATACGGGCTTCAACAAAAGACGACTGCAAAGAAATCTCTAGAATGATATTGGTGAGTGTGTAACGAAGCTAACCGGACAGTACAATAACGTGGTGTTGCAATGAACTGATAAATGTCCTTTGGTATGTTTGTCTAACGAAGGCCAGATTACATACATTCACACACAACTGAATGAAATCCACCTTTTTTTCTCAGGAGTTAGCGGTTTATGAAAAAATGCCCGACCAAGTGAAGATTTCTCATGAAGGTAATGTTTACAATATAAATAAAACTCAACCAGCTGAGACTGAATGAAACAAAAACGTAGCAAATAAATGAAAAGTGTGCTGAAGGTCGGTGTCTCAGCCTCAGCTTTATTCCTTGTATGAATGGACCGCAGGCTACAATAATATCTTATGAATGAATAGGTGAAACTTCCATTTGAGTGTGTCAGGAAACCACAACAGTGAGCCAACACGTACAGAAACTGGTTTAACTAAATGAGTTCATAACATTATTAATGCTGACAATTACACCTGTGTTTTTCCTTCTATGGCTTTATTATTATGGTCTATGATGTGAAAAAGATCTATAGTGTATATATGTAAATCCAGTGGCAGTCAATAGGACTGCTTTTGGATTTGCAACTTTGTGTCTGAAGAGTACAATGTACAGTGTCAGATTAGTTATTATAGAGTAATACAACAAAGACACAAGTAAATAATAAATGGAGTGCACTCATCAGTAGCTGTACCGAGATCACACTTGTGTGCAGTGTGTGGTTGTATGGGCGGGCAGGGTCAATGGCAGTTCTTCCTGCTCTTTTCTGTCATCTATCATTTATCAAGTAAGTTCAGTTTCCAGATGAATTACTCTTACTACAAGCAGTCTCCCTTATAACTGTATCATGATTTGTTGCTTGAGTACCACGTGTCTGTTTGGAAAACCCAGGTGAACATTAAAACAGCAGTCAGACAGTACAGTACGACTGTGATGTCTACAGTACATACAGTACTTTTAAAGGTACCTTGTTAAGTTTGTGACCACTAGTGGCGCTGTAGAGCAACGTTTTGATGAGCGGATCCCCGGATTGTTTGTATCCCAGGTTCTCACAAGTATGCTGCATACCGTGAGCACATGGATGACTTTATAGACATTTCTAATGACTGAAGAGAATACGTATCAATGATTGATGGCAGTATAATACGCCATATGGGAAGCAATGTGCCCATAATAGAGGACTAGAAGAAGAAACAATCAGGGACATGACTTTGCAAGTTTTGTGAGGTAGGAAATGCATTCAACAATGTTTGAGATGTACAGTAGAAGGATGTGATCCACAGCTGGAGTAATATTTTCTTTTACAAACTATTTTTGTGCCAAATGTAGCAATGTCCTCATGTACTTGGATTTTAGCTATTATAATTAAACAAGAAAAAATATTTAGTTATTCTTCAAGTGTCTTAAGTATTGATGTTTTAAATGTGTTTGTCACTTGGATCTTGATGACCAATATTACTTCTAATGGAAAGAAACATTTTTGTGTTTGGTTAAATTGTCTTTTCTTGTTTTACATGTTAGAACTGGAGCGGGACGGTTTCTGCCAGAATCCCTTCTTTGAATGCCTCGTTGCAGAAGTACCTGAGGAGCATAAATCTAGAGAAGGTGAAGTGTTTCCATTCCAGTCTTCCTTGTCAGCCAGCAATCAACATGTCTGCATCTTACTCAGATAATAAAAGGTCTGTGCTGTTGCTGTTTAGACATGCCTATTTAGTCTCCAAGAAGTTATGGTGGCTAGTCCTGCCGGTTAGACTGATTAAATGATCACAAACGTCCACTATAGCTGTAGTGGTTTATATTTTTTCTGACATTCTTCCTCCTTGTCTATTTGATTGCTTGTTTCTTTTTGTCCATATAGGATTCACAATTGTCGGATACGCCCTGTACTTTTACACTTACAGTACATGGAAGGGACGGTCAGTATATATGGAAGACCTGTATGTGATGCCAGAATTCAGAGGTAAAATATGTGTTGAATTGTTGTACAAAGACTAAAAATTAAATATTTCTTTTTGTGTGTGTACTTGCTTAGTTGTGTGAAACATAATTTCTTAGTGTTGACTTTGTTTGTTTGAATTTATTTCTTTGTTCCCAAGTAAAAATATGTTGTTGTTTTATTGATTTACTTTACAGGAAATGGCATTGGCAAGGGTTTACTGAGCAAAGTTGCTGAGGTAAGAATGTTTTTGACCACTAAAGCAAATGGTAATTTTTTTAAATGTAAGACATTCGAAAGTATTGTGGCTCTTTCTGTGAGATAGCATGGGATACATGATTAACCGAGACTGTTTTGTTTGCTCAGGTGGGGAAGAAGAAGCAGTGTGTGCGCCTGCAGTTGTCTGTGTTGGACTGGAATACTCCCTCTCGGGACTTCTATGCTGCTAAAGGAGCTCAGGATCTCACCGTCAGTGAAGGCTGGCACTTTATACGCTTTGATGGACAAAACCTGGACAATTTAGCAAATGAAGCGCCTAAAGATTAGACCTTTGCCAAGGAAAACGTGCATCATGCTGCGAATAAAATGTGATTGGATTGTTTTCTACCATAAATGTTCACCCTTTATAACAGTCAGTGCCAAAATAATCTTCATGTACCTGGTTCCTCTCTACCTTGTTTGACAATGAAACAAAACAATATCTCCTAGTAAATATTGGTTTTACCCTTAATTATACTAGGAGCTACATATAATTTAGAAATTTTAAATACTCTTAACCTTCCTTCATTTTGCAGCTATGGTTGCATATAGTTAAACTTTCACCTTTTAGTGCAGAGTCACATAATTGCCTGCAAATGTTTATATCTCTATCAACACTTGATGAATAAAAATAAACAACAGATTGCCTTCATCAGACAGGATTACAACACCTAGTGATGCTGGGTGAAGACAGTACAATGTGATTTGACCTAGTCCAATCTCAGATGTGACACCATATCATTCCAGTAGGTGGCATATTTAACCAACTAATGCACTTAATAATTCTGCATGATCTTTTCCCTGATGAAGACAAAGCACATGAGGTTCTTTAAAAGAAGTGAGTCAAACACAGCTGGGCTTCTCTTGAAAATGGCCCGTCTTTGATGAGTCATTATATAATTTGACAACTCTGGAAAGTGTGAGTGAGCTGTGGATAATTGGGCCATACATTCAGCTCTGTGTATTGAAAACAATCTTAGCTGTAAGCTGCTTTGATTAAAGGAGTCAAAGTAAAGGATAGTATGCAAACAAGCTCTGTAACCCAAAACTCTTTATTTAAACATGTGAACTGGTATTTCTTAATAATGATATTGAGTCACATTGCTCAACAGCTCCAGTCAGCACTCAATTGGAAATCATAACCTCTCATTTATATACCTATGGTTTTGTCACTGACAATGATATTTATTTGTGTATAAAACATACTTAAATGAAGAGGAACACCTTTAAAATCACCCAGAAGCAAACAGTGGGACACATATAAATGTATAAACACATATACATACATATATGTGCCAAAAAAAAAGTTTAAAATGCACATAACCTACACAGGCTATATTTACATGTGTTTTAACTCTGTTACTCAAGTGTTCTGGTTCAGAGGTGAGAATCACAATAAAATAACACTGGGTGAAACCCTTCTTATAATGTGATTGTACTGTATACTGGACCAGTACTTGCAGTAGACCAGACCCGTGCCACCACACTTTATTTTGTTCTAAAACCATCCAGATTATTTATCACGTAGATTGCAGACATTTCTGGAATGGCAATCTCATTTCGTTTGCTTTTTCAGCTGTTAACACTATGGATTATTCTGAATGTGTGTTACATTTTGTGTAAGAGGTTCAAGGATACACAGGTATAACAAATGATTGATCACTTAATATACTATACAAACTTGAACACAACACAACAGTTTAAGGTGATCTGAGGATTAAATATGTTTGATTGTCGTGTGTTCCTAGTCCTAGTTAAAGTAAAAAAAGTCATAAACAAGTTTTTTGCAAGCTTAAAAATAATGTCAAAGTAGTATGCCCTATGGTCAGAGGATCAGATTGTTCCTTTCACATTAATTAGCTTTCTTGCAATTAACTCATCCTGTAATCATTAAAATAAAGTAAAACAAAAGTAAATATGTGTAAAGGTTTGGTTATTAAAGGCTATTGGGATAGAAAATGGTCCTGTATTGGGATTCCCACCACCTTCTGGACATCTTAAGTAGGAGTATGTGTTATGTACATTGTATTCGTCAAACTTAGTCTAAATTAAAGCAGTGATCAACACTGTAAAACATTGCTTTCCATTTGTACTGTCACAGTTTTCATTATGTTGCAGTTTCTCTTGATAAGCCCATAGCAAGTTAGGAAGGTACATATATGCAATTTTCACAATACATAAACAATACAAATTCATATATAGTAAATATCACTAAGGTTCAGATTTGATAAAGCAGATCTTGGTTAGTGCTCTATACTACAGTGATCATAAGTCTATAGGTGTTTCCCATTGTAAATGCTGCCCTCTCATAGTATACTGAGAATAATGTTATCAGTAATTGTTCATTTTCTCTTAAAACAATCTTATCTGGTGGACTGACTCAAATCCAGTCGGCCTTCTCTCCTACACAATACCCTTTCAGACATACGCATTTCTTCCATAGTTGCTTGGGACAGACTGAGACGTTCCCACAGTTGACAGGACATGTCCTCTAGAGGGTGGTTGGTATGGATATGATCTAAAACACAGAAGACGTGTTTCTGTCATGAGAATATGCTTCAATTCTGAAGTGAATGAACAGGAAACGTTTCAGCAACACACACTCACATTTTTTCATTGGGTGTTTTGACTTTGCATGCACACATCAGGCATGAACCTCCGCAAATGGCAAGTATGGCTGACGACCAGCCGATATACAAGCCCTCTCCAATCTCGTACCTGTAATAGAGTAAAATTTAACAAAATGTAATTATTATTATTGCGTTTACTGCGACCAACAACGTCACTTTCTATCATTCAGCTTCTGTTCCGCTGAAATACTGATGCAGATTGTATTGACTTACTTTGTCCCTGGATAAAACTGGTCAAAGAACTGCTGTGTGATGTTGGCTGCATACCAAGATACAGCAATCATGGTGCAGATCCCTACAAAACATTATTTACTTTAGAAAAGTACAATGTATTCTCAATGCAAACAACAGTTCCAAGCTAAGATAAAATGAAGAAGGTCAATACCTTTTCAGGGTTTGAAGAGAGTTTGTAGATACTAAAGTAATGTCATGTTAGGAGTAAAACTTTAAAACCTGGTGGGGCTAAAACCATTTATGCAATAATAAAACATGATTTATGAGGCCAGTCATACGAAGCAAAAGTTCCTGCTAACAACTGCATAAATTAGTTTGTTGCAAGGAGTTACAACTCCTTTATAATCACTCTACAAGTTCTATCTTAATAGAAGACGATTACTAGGCTGTTAAAATAAAAATTAATAATATTTAAAAGCTTTTCAGATTAAACTGAAATAAATAACAAGAGTCATTTTTTTTTCACTTTCTGTATTTTACGTAGTGTGACCTATTCCCACAATCCAAGTACCTATTGTGCATCAGCAGGTTTGTTAGAGTAAGGATAACCTTTTGAACTGGTGAGCCATTTTCTGATAGGCTGTCTTCTGTACACAGAGATTGGAGTACTAGACATGATTTACCTTTCCAGGTGTTTTGTGTTAAGATGAGGTTAGACTCTTTATCTTAAATCAATTTCTCGTGAATCTTGCAGTAAAACCCTTGCAGAGACTATATTTGTAATGTTTACAGCTGTTTTCCTAGGGACTGGACATTTTCAGTAAATACTATAAACACAGGGACCTTTCTTAATTTAAAGTGACTTCTGACTAAACATTTTCTCATGCTTTTTTTGTTACATGGCCATTACAGCCATCCCTGAGTCCTTTACCTTGTAGTAAAAAGAACACTCCTCCAATTGCAGCGATTCTCCCTTTAAGGACGTAGTTTTCTCCTCCTATTTTTGAGCACTTCATTCCTACGAGGGTAGCCACGAGCCCAAACGTCCCAAACACAATGGCAGCGATCATGAGTGCTCGGGAGGCCTGAATGTATCCTGTGCGCAAACAAAGAAGTACATTTATTTATAACAACACGTTCAAGACATAGATCAATATATTTACAATATGAGCATTGAAACAAATCAAATGCATAGTTGCATCAGTAAAAGCAATGTTTCTCATTGTGTTAGAAATGCATGCTTTAGCCACAGAGATGACTTGTTAGAACAAGATAAGGCTATAGACATTCTTCACAGCAGCCATTTTGAAAGTAAGGTGTTACTAATGACACTAATTAAGGTTACGTTCCATTTACTGTAGCAGAGCCTTTCCAGTGAACCAACATGCACAACTGCAGCACCCTGACTCTGTCTGACCTAAATGGAACAGAGCCCTGATTAGTATCATTGGTAACCCCTGTGTTTACCCTATTATTTCGTGTCAAAATGGCTGCTGTGAAAATCGATGGTGGTGAGTCCCCTCAGAAGCTCACTGATAGTAACCCTGGTTTCATGGGTACAGACCCAGAACCACCCAGAACACAAACCCCTCTAACAGGCTCTATTGACATGATTAGTGGGGAAAGCCTACAAAATACAACTTCAGCCACAACACTGAAAACAAAGTTATTGTCTCAGTAATCATTTAGTACTTTACAATCAATAAAAAAAGGTTATAGTTGTATATATCTCTGTGTCAGTAAGGGAAGTTCTTAGTTTTCTATACCCCATCTTAACAAAACAGAAACATATATGTATGTGTGGACTGGAAAGCACGTTTCTGCCATTGATGAGATGAAGGCTTGACAAAAGTTTTACCTCAGGGCTTAAGACTAGGGCTGGGCATACAGCACTTGTCTATTGTATCACCTGGTAAATGTTTGAATTCATACCTCAACAGGTAGTTTCGGCCAAAGTAGTCAACAGACTCCAACTAACTGGAATTGAAATTAGTTCTTAGAAAAGTTTTCTGGCTAATAGAAGTTTTTTTTTATTTTATTAGTATGTATTTGTCTGGGTTCAATGTGGTTGTGATTGCTTGTCCTCTCTCATCTTATCATATCTTACTGTATATTACCCCTCTTTACTACATATTGTAGCCACTACAGTAGAATGCTCCTGATAGGCTTTTAAAGGTACACTAAGATCCCATCTTGATCAAGGTAAGCAATGGCAAATAAGGACAGCCTTTACTCCACTTTTGGGTTTGATCCAGTGGGATTCAACAGAATTCAATATGAATCTTTTAGGGTCAAACTGTTTTATTGCTCATTTCCAACCTTTTACACATTTTTTGTTAGGCGCTCTATTACAAAAGCCATTTTTCCCTGTACAACATTTAAACAAAGGTGCTTGAAGAGTAAAGTCTTTCTTGTTTGACCTGTCACAGTTTTCATAATCTCATTGTTTGAGTGGGTGGATTAGCATTCAAGCCAGATAAGTAGTCATCAATACTTATAAAACAATTTCTGTGTTGGCCACATACCATTAAGTGCGAGCAAAGATGGAAAATCCCGGCAGTTGTGAACTCCTGTAGAGTCAGTTGCACAGGACATCCATAGGTTTTCATAGATGGTTGATGTGGTGATAACGTTACCATCCACTGAAGAGACCTTCCAGTATCGATTTGGAAGTGCGACCCCAACCATCAGCCAGCCCAGAAACCCCAGGAAGAAGGCAAAAGCTTCCACTATGGCATTCATATTTCCTTGTTTCTTCTGTCCTACCCGTTTAGAGTTATCCAGAGCGAGAAACACTTTATACAAATGTTGACTCTCCGAGCTATCTCCCTGCACAAACGTGTGGATTTGTTGGCCCCAAAGGTTCAGTGTGCCAGACCGATTCTCACCAACCCACCGAGCTAAGATGCTACAGAAACTACAAATCAATGATTAATTCCAAACAGCCACTTATGATTTCCACTATTATTATCAGCTCTATTGAACCTTTTCAAAGACTCCAAATGTTTACCCAACTTAAGTGACAACAGAGAGGTGAAGTCCAACCTTCCAACCTGCTTACTAACATCTATAGACTTCAAGCTATTTGTCAGCTTTTGACGCTTGCTTTGAACACTGTGTCAATAATACCAAACCGTTATTGATGGGATTCATCACAGGTTTTGGCTCGTCACTTCACTCTGTGTCCGAGGGATGATGGGGAAGTGTGTGGCCTTAAGGGGGTTAGGGTGCATCACTACACACTGACCTGCAGATGACCACGTTTGCTGCTCTTCAGATAAACCTGTTTGCTTGTCTGACAAATGAACCCAAAAGACTTGTCTTCATTAGCTTAACAAATGTAGTTTGTTATCAGTCGTTATCGTCATGGTGATGAACTACCACTGCAACCTTTTGGCCATACATAGAAAAACCCTTTTTCTCTATTGCAAATGATTTAAACCCAAACACAAGAAATACGAACCATTTGACTTAACTGCTTTAAGTCAATGTTGACTTTATGGACATTTCTAAAGAAACAGTTTTAGTGGATTTCCACTGTATTAAATTATATTAAACAGTCTCATCAAGAATGAAGTACCACTTGCAAGAATTAAAAATAGCTTGACTCAACTGCTTATTAAATACAGTATGCAATTACCATGTGTAAAATGTCAGTGCTCAATGGATGTCCAACATGCATTGCATTGAATTCAATGCATACAGTGGAAAAATAAGCACCTGTACAATGTAATGATAATCTTATGGACTTATAATGATTTTGTTTTAGGTTTATGAAGTCATTTTCTTCAGCTGGTACTGTTTACACCTAAAAGAAATAATGTAATCTACTACAATCCATGTTTTTAGAAATGTCAGTAAAGTGGAATCCTTCTCTCAGTAACTTCAATAAAAATAACCTTTGAAAGTTTCACAAATTTTGGATTAAACAGCTGCTGCTTTTAGTCAAACCCTTGAAGATTACAGCACAGACGTATGTCTGTAATTTTTATTTTTATTAAGACTGGACTGTCTGGTCGAATTTATAGGTTATGATAATTTAGACTCTACAAGAAGAAAAGTACATGCCTCAATCAAGAGCTGTATGTCTCTCAGTATGACGTTGGAGATTAGAAAATGCATACTCAGCTATTACATGAAGCTAAATCATCAGAGAAATAACTGAAGGCATAAATTATACTGTGAATAATATTAACAGAAGTCCAAGCAAACTGTTATTAATTACCAGTAGCAGTCATATTTTAATTTTTTTTAACAACAAATGCAAATGAAGTGACTTATCTTGTGTACGTTCATGATCACTAACAGACTATTAAACAATTTATATTTCTACTTTTACTTACCTGGAAGAGCAAAAAGGGATGGAAAGTCACGACAGTTGTAGATTCCTGTTGAATCACTTGCACAAGACATCCAGAGGTTCTCATAGATTGTGGAGGTTGTAATTACGCTGCCATCTGTGGTGGATTCTTTCCAATACTGATCTTGTAGTGATATGAAAATCATTATCCAGCCTGCAAAACCTAGGAAAAGTGCTATAACCTCGATGATCTCTTTCATCTTGAAAGTAATTTTCTATTAATAATTAGCAAAAGTAATAGATATTGCCTGTGTGAGGAGCTCTATTCGCAACTTCTGTATCTGATATACATTTTGGGAGTGTGAGAACTGACTCAGGATTTTTTTTCTCTCATGCACTCAAACCTGGACTAATTTGAACATTGATTTGTTGGCTGTAGCTACATTATAAGTCTGCTATTCCCGCCCAAAATTGATGACATTTCACGTGCCTGGCGTGTTACCATAGAAATGTAAGTATACAATGAGATTTTTTTTCTCCTCTCTTTTGATTGGTACTGGAGGTAGATAATCTCTTGTAAAACACTCATCACAGCTTTAAATCCATGAGCCAAGAGTTTAAAAGACTTGTATCATTTTGCACTAATTGCTTTGAAGCTTCTTCTGCAGACAGTTCACAAACAATACATTGTTTTATTCAGTAGTAGGGTTTTAAGAAGCCTCTTAAGAGTCATAATTGCAAAATGTTTTAGAACTATATGCATGATTAAATAAGCCAATCAGAGAAAAGATTCATGATGTGGTGAATAAATGGGAAACATCTGATGAAGTGATGTTCTTTGTTCTGTAAATTTACTCTGTGGGTATATTCTTTTTTTGGCTGCTCACATCATCTTATCCTCTTGTCTGTATCCCCTTTTAAGAAATTGGTAGCTTTAGGGAGGTCATTTCAAGTTACATAAGCAAATACTAATGTAGAAATACTGAATAGAGGGCAGAGCAAACACTGTTGGTGGATGATTTATTGAAGGCAGAAAGTGTCTATTTTAGTACTGGTTAAGCATTAACAAGTCTACGGCGGGACAAAAGATGCGTTGAAAGTCTAGCTCTTTGTAAATCCATTTTTTATACTGGAGCGTATAGATTTAACATGTCTGATGTCTGTTCTTTGGAAATGTTGTGTTGACATAGTACAGTGCTGTCACCTAAAAGAAGTTGGCCAAAGACCAGGCGGTTAAAACACACCCCTATAATTAATTGGTTGTCTCTATACATTAAGTCACAGGAAGTGTGCAAAAATGCAAGTACTGATGTATAAGTGCACAATTTTGTATTGAGTCATTACGCACTGCCTAATACTCTATCCAGATTACTTTTAAAAGTAAACAGAGATGTTTACCCTTTGTTTTAGTCAAGTGATTCTTTGTTTATGATAAACTTCAAACTCATCATTTACAGTCTATATCTTATCAAATGTGGATTCTCTTTTGCCAACCAGTAATCAGTAGCACAGTTCAAAGTACTGTCATATACTTACAGTATTGAATAGACATTCAGCCTTTAACTCATAATCTTTCATCTGTTAATATTTTATTCCCTTGACCTTCAGTCAGCTGAAGTATTTATTCAGTTATGTCCGCGTTGACCTCCCTGCTTAAAGGGAGAGTTCACTTAAAAGGAACCCAAAGTGGTTTTTGGTTTTCAGCCCCTGGCACCGGCTGTGACCAGAAGTCAGCATTGGCATTAAGGTCATATCAACTTCTTAACCAAGAGCAAATACATGTTTTTATTGTGATTATGATGATTTTCAACTTGTCAATGATTTGATTTCAAACATTGAATTAATGTAAGATCGGGTACTAATAGACAATTGCAACTGACCGTTCAGTGGAAAGGTAAACTGCTTTAAAACTAGGATAACTAATAACACTAATGTATTTCAGAAGCATTTTTTGTTATATTGAAATTCTCTTCACGTCCCAAAACCAATCAGTAAATAAAATGCTCTGAAAAAAACGTGCTATCTGTTATCTATGGGTTTTGCAGGCCCAATCATTTTGTTTGGCCCAAATGAAATCATTGGCTTGCTCCGCATGCACTCAATGTGCATGGAAATGTATTTTGGGGGAGTGGCTTTGGAGGGAGACCTGAAGGGAGGGGATGGAATTTTTTGGTTGGATACCTTCAAAATCTAGCTGTCTCTTGCTACTCCCCCAACGTTACCTACCCTAGCTTTTAAGAATTATTACAATAATTATTCACTGGGAATTTTCTGGGCGTAAATATCCATTGTATTCTCACAGAGGGTTTCGTTTGTCCTTTTTGACAAAAAATGTGATATATTAATATAATTGGAGTTAATCTTCGTTGATTAGTAATCTTGTAATTTCTTGACATCTCTGTGACTGTGGTTAGAATTAGAGGTAAACACTGAACAATGAGATAAATACTCAACAGGTAAAAGGAAAAACGTTTAGAATGATAAATTACATACATTAAGTTACATTGATTCAAAAAAACTGTTATGTGTGTGTGAGACAGTGAATACAGATTTTTTTTCTAGCACATAACTACTTCAGCATTTTAAATAAAAATTTTTTTTTCTTCAGTTACTTTGATTATTCTTAAATCTACTCACATAAAATAAGTGAATCAAACAGCAGCTCATGACATGGTGTGATTATGATGCTACACAACATTAGCAACAGTAACAGTCCATCTCTTTTGTTATCCATTAAAATGACTTTTTTAATTAAAAATATTACGTTATTTTAACAAACCTTTGTGCAATTCTCCACTGAGCTAAATTTAGATTATGATTAATGTGTGGGTTCAGTAATGTGCTCTGAGTAAAAGCTGTTTAAATAATGTGATGTTTGTATAACTTTGAACAGTCAGTATTTGTGTACTGTTGTTGAGTTTCGGTGGTGTCACTGCTTCAATCAATATGATCGATTGGATTTGAATGGCAGGCCTGGGCTGGTGTAATGCAACATTTAATTTGATTTACAGATTTTATAGCCGCATGACTCTATGGATGGCAATGTCACTCTGTTTGCCCACCACTTTGGTTCAGACTGAAATATCTCAACAACTATTGGATGGATTGTCATCGATGGTGCCCAGAGGATGAATCCTAGTGACGATGGTGATCCCATGACTTTTTTGTGATTGTTTAAGAACAAATATCTACAAAACTAATGGACATCCCCATTTGCCTCAACTGAACTTTGCGTTTAGTTCTAGTACCTTTAAGCAGAAACTTTGAGGTGAACAAAAATGCTGCTAATGGAGAACATAGCTGTTTGTGAAATTGTGTAAAAGTAAAATGGACATTCTTCAGATTCATATCTTGATTTGCAAGTGAGAGATACCTGACAAAGTCATGTGATTAAATATAATCACACATCCACATGCTGTTACTGCTGAATTCCACTCCTTGTGTTAATTTAAGATTAACATGTAAAGTTAGATCTAAAATGCGCTGTGGTTTAGTAAGTCACCCTGACTTTAAGCTTGAACACTAAGCCAATTTAAATGTACAGGTGGTCAGTGATGGCCTGTTAGAGAAGCAAGCTTGTGACTGGAAGGTCTTTGGTTCAGTCCCTGGGTTATATCTGGTAGGGGAAAAGTCTGTTCACCCCAACAGCTCCAGTGGAGCTGCTTAGTGGCCAGTAAATCAGATTGTGTATGTACTGGGCACCTTCCACGTGTGAATGTGTTACTGTGTGAATGTGATCAGGATGTCCCTGAAAAAGAGAGCATTGATCAGTGAAACTCCCCCTGATTAAAGGTTTAAAAAAAAATTGAAGAAAAGAAAAAAGGTGTGGTGGTGATTTAAGTTACTGTTTGATCACAATCCCAGTATTGTTACCTACAATGGAGCATCATAGAACAAAACACTGCATTACTTTTATGTATGATATAAACATTTGTGGTTTAATGTACAAACTCTGATATAATGATATACTGTATGCAAGGGTTGTCACTGTTGTTTACTCAACAGTTTCAAATTGACAGAACACAAAGATTTTCCGTGTGTTAAAGGTAATTCATTAAATTAATAATTAATGATTAAATGGGTCATACTAACATAATAATGTTGATGATGAGATGACATAAAAAATATGGTAGATCCTCAAAAAGTAGTCCTATTCACATTTTTGTCTTCATTTTCAAACAAATTTGCTGTCTAGTAATTTATAAAATTGAAGTTGTACTGAGTGGTAGTCAGGAAATTTCATGAAAGCTTTTAAACTACGCTTTATTTGCAGAGCTCTTCATACATCATATACTAATAAAGAGCTTTAGAAACATTACCAAAAAAATGTGAAGAGAGAGACACCTGATATGTATAAAATCCTTGCCATCTTATTCAGGAGGTTTGATAAGCACTAAATAATAACATTATAATAATGACTTTATTTCTGTAGCACCTTTAAAAAGAGTTAATAAAGGTCATAGGCAGACAAAGCACGAGCAGGATACTCAGAAGAACAACAGAAAGCAAAACAATAAGTCAGTTGAGTTGAAGAAGTTGTGTGCCGTCCAACAGTTGACATCCCTGAGACAATCTAAAGCACCTTGCCTTGTCACCAGGTCTCAGGGAAAGATAAATCTGTGTGTCCTCTGCATACGAAGCGTGAGATTTGGCATTATATGATTTAGCATCGTGGAAAAAACGTCTGTCTATGTGCTGAACTGAAGATTTAGCACTGATTGCTTTTGTCCTTTTGATATATATTATAGATTCAGTACACATTTTTAACTGCCTAATTCAAAGTCAAAAAAGTCCTCATAACAAAAAAAAAAGGCTGTTTAAAAAATGTTTTGAGTCATTATTTTTTGCAGCAAAGGTAATATGACTTAAAATATGTATTTGTCAGTGAGGACAATCTCACCTTTTGATGTAAGGGCAAGGAGATAAAGAAAATACTATTTCCCTTTACTTGTCTTCTATTTTTTCTTGTCTTTTTTATATTAGGCTGCTTAAGTTGTCAGCAGCCTAATATAAACACACAAAAGGGAAAAGCCATGGAAAAGGCACATCACATTTATGCTTTGCAATATTTTATTGATTGCTTTTGACTCTTCTATATACAATGTTTACCATGATAATAACTTAAATACTTTTTGTTATATAATACAGTAAATGAAGAAAGAATAATTACATCTTTGGTCCAAATCATTTATATTATATAAACATGTGTTTTCTATACAAAATAATTTTACTTGTCTGTAATTGCTAAACAAAAGTATTGACATGATTAGTATCAACAAGTTTACAGTCATTATTAGTACTACCATATTTACATTTTTTGTTACATAATATTTCAACTATGTGATATTTTACAATGATACCCCTTTTACAATAACACTATAAATATTACAATATAAGTATACAATATAATAATCTGTAAATACACAAATAATATTAATTTATTACAACAATAACAGATTATTGTACACATTAAAGATAATACAGGAGTAAGTGGCACCAAATGAGCACATATTGAATCTAAAAGTGTTTTTATTTTAACAGATTTTCCTTTGCTCTGTTTCTGTTTCTTCTGTTACTACTTAGAGAAGCACACATCCTCCACCTTTGGCTGCCACATAGTTTGGGTCGAGGTCATTGGGAAGCTTGCCACTTTCTCCCCAGATATTCAGCTCTCCGAACACACCTGTCTCGATCATCTCCTCCTGCCAGGGGATTGGGATGTTGCCAGAAGCAAAGTCACTGTAGAACGCAGTGTCCGTGTCATCCAGCACCACACCTTTGATTGTGCTGAACGCGCCCACATCAGTAATATCTTTGGCATAGACCATTTTAGGATTAGGGACAAATGGTGGCGGTAGCATACCTTTAGATGGAACATAGAAGACATAAACAAATTAAAGTATGGCATATACAAGAAGTAACTATTGTTTTCACCCCCTTTTGCTGCTTAAATATTTTATGATGATTACTATAGAAGATTTTTGCAAGTGGGTAGTTTAGTAGAAATTGCCTACCTGCTTCTAGACGGCCCCAGTTAATTTCTTTGAAGAAGGGCTGATTCTTGAGCTCCTCGCAGTCATTATTTTTGAAGCCAAGGCGTTTTGCTGGGTCCTTGGCCATCAGGCCTTCACAAAAATCCTTGCACTCTTTGCTAAAGTTTGGTGTATATGCAACTGGATCGTTCAAGATTCGGCGAGCTACCTCCTCATTTTCAACCTAAAGGAAGAAAACATTTTGTTTGTATGATTTGTCAACAAAGAATCAGCACTGGACGAGAGCAAGCAGGTGAATTGATTTTTGCCATTAAAAGTCACCTGATGTATCTGATCTACACATACACATTTAGTACCTTCTCTCCTCGTATTCTAAAGGGTCCTTTGGCTGCGATCATCTCAAACAAGGTGACTCCAAGAGTAAAATAGTCCACTGAGTAGTCATACTCCTTCTTCTGGAGCAACTCTGGAGCCATGAAACCTATAGTCATAGACAACATGACTGCTTAGAAAAATGTGGCTGACATAGTGGTACAGTAACACTGCCCTGAATGATAGCCTTTCCTCTCCACTTGGCCAGTTTTGTTTAATTTGATCTTAAAATATTGGATTTGTTCACTTACCTGGAGTTCCAGCATATCCAGTAGTTGTGCTTTTTTCTGGTGGAAGTTCAACAGCCAGACCCAGATCTGACAGGCGAACGTGTCCTGGGTGAAAAGGCTTTGATTACAATAGCTGCATACCTATTGCATAGAGAACCAACTAGTATTTAAAAAAGGTATTCACTCTGATGGAATATGAATGCAAAATAGGACAATGCATTTGGTTATTAAAGTACGTCAGTGCTGTAATAACAACTGTGAAAGTTCCTGCCATGTTTCTGATGTGTAATTATGTCTCTAGTATGTGCTATTTATAATTTTAATGTGATTACATTATATTATCTGACGTGTTTTTTTTAACAAAACCTGCACCGGAGCATGCAATTGGTGAAGCATAGGTTACCATGGTGATCTACTCTGGTTAAAAGTGAGCCAGCAACATGGGTCAAGCAAGTTAGCTGGTTAATGCACCAATGCAGCTTTGTGATACACGCCACAAAGTGAATGTGTTGGAACAGAAACTTTGAGGGTGTAGCATCAGTGCATGCAGTCACATGAAAGGCTGCAGAGGAAATCGCTCACCTGCGTCATCCAGCAGTACGTTCTCTGGTTTCAGGTCTCTGTAGATGATCCTGTGCTGGTGAAGGTGCTCCAGTCCACAGATGATCTGAGCTGTGTAGAAACGTGCTCTATTCTCATCAAAACCAGGATTTTTTTCATCCACATTGTACATATGAAACCTGTGAAACATGGGGGTAGGACATTATAGTATTTTCTGATGAAAGAAGAGAAGCTACTTAAGACTCCTTTAATTATTCTCTGACGTATAGCATGATGCACCTGGGGGCCTAGTCTGTATATTAGCTGTGAGGTTTATCTACCTTAGGCTGATTAGTAGAAAGAGTACACTGTTCCCATGTTGTTAAGTACAGGAACCAGTATGTAGCATGCGTTTTAAAGGTACAGTGTTTTGGTCCATCTATGGATATCAATGTGTGTGTAAAGATGTATTTGGTGTTTAGATAGCGCACCTGAGATCGCCACCATTCATGATGGTCATAACTAGGCAGAGGTCAGTCTTGGTCTGGAAGGCGTAAGCCAGCGTCACAATAAAGCGACTGTGAACTTTTGCAAGGATGCGCTTCTCCACAATTGCTCCCTAAACACAAATCAAACATCAGAACATGATTAGCCCAACAAAACCAAGAATGTACAATGTCAACAATTACACACCTGCTGTCCAGCCACATAGGTATGTTGCCTGATTAGACCTCTACTCTCATTTGTTCTTATTCAACTTTTCAAACACAGGTCCTTGCATTTCATGTGGGTGTGACCGATATGTGGCCTGATCTAGCCGTTTTCACATTATTAATTTTGACATGTCACAGTAGGAAAAGAATAGGTGCTAACATTCATAATGCAAGTAAGGTATCCAGGTTTACAGTTCTCTATTTTGAATGCTGTCACTCTGGCATGGCTTGTTCAAGGGGTGGCTAACCACATGCCAGGACGAGCCCTCAGTCTGCAGGTTTTCGTTCCAACCATACATGTAAACTTGCAGACTGTTGGCTCTCTGTGACACATAAATAAACCTTTGTAAGATGTAAATAAGCCGTTGTAAATGTTATTAGTGAAATCTGTGCTTTTCTTTGTATAACAAGTCAAAATGTCTGTTTTTGTATTGTACATACTACCTTACTGACACTGACACTAGTTACATTTGTGCTATGAGGAATAGGTATATTCTTCTGAGTACATAAAGCTGTGTGCAGGTACAACCACAGCTGAAAACCCCAGTTTGGGTGTGCAGGGTATTTAACATACTGCAGCAGGTTTAATGAAGAGGACACACTTGCTGTGGTTCTTTTGATGGTTATATTTTTTTTTCTCTTGTGGTAAGGTCCAATTTACCAGTCTTTATAACTCAGGAACAAAATGTATGCCTTGTTACAGTGCTGCCCTAATGCCAAGGTTCATTATCCACTGATGCTTTTAGAAGCAGTGGGCTTCAGTCCGGTGTACTGTACTGAGCTGCTTTGTGAGGTCTTTAAGAGAGTCACAAGCTTCTTTGCATTGAGCTGTTGTGGTAAAAAGTAAACCTCTGCTGTCTGTGGGTAATATTCTTTCAAAGCCTGTTCTGTCTTATTTCAAGCTGTAGATCATTGAATGAGCCCACTTGGAGTTGGTACTCTTTTGACTGACACTATGAATTGCTATGGGTAGGACATTAGATGCCAGTGCTTTACCTGGTAGCCTTTGCGTTTCTTCAGCCTCTTTTTCTCCAGCTTCTTGTTGGCATACATTTTGCCAGTTGCTTTAGCCTGACAAGCAAACACTTCCCCAAAACCTCCTTTACCCAGGACCCTGAAGTCCATGAACCACTCCTCATCAACAGCCTGGCTCTCCAGCCATTTGAACTGAACAAACCGCAGGAAGTACATGCTGTTCTTAAAGCCCTCTATGGCCTTCTGCTCCAGGTGTTTCATCAGCTGCTGCCCACTCTCTTTAAACAGGTCACCACGGACGTTCTTGAAGTCTTCCTTCACTCGAGTGACAGCCTTCTCCTCCAGAAAGCTGCAAAAATTCTTGGATGATGACTCATAGTATTTATTGACTATTTTTTGGGCCTTCTGCACTCTGTCCTTCTCTTGGCATATGGTGTAGTCTTCCATGTCTTTCCACAGCTCTGCGGCATTTTTATGGTTCGCTTCACTCTCGAGATACTGCTGGAACAAGCGCTTGCCAATGGGCTGTTTGACACACATGCTGTCAAAGGTTGTGTCTACAGATGCCTTCATGTGTTCACAATCTCTGATGTGTGGGATATTCAGCCTGGCGCGCATCTTCTTGTCACGCATGGCAGCTGCTGCAGCTCCATCCACGCTGCCACGGGCGGAGACATAGGCAGAGTTTGCCACCACTGTCTCCAAACCACCGAGGTCCATGGTTGCACCTTTGCCTGGGACACACAAAACCAATAAGGAAGTTAATGAGAGTGCTGAATAATGTCTGATTTTCAGTTGATTTTACATTGTAACCATGATGTGTTGTGACAATATTTATCACTTCTAATTTCCTTCACTTTCCATGTTAAGAGGGCCACACCACCATCCGAACTAGTGTAACACACTCTCTGATGATAGCGAGGCTTGACATTTATATTTTTTTATATTTATAGGTATTTCTTTTACATTTTATAATGTTTGTCATTAGTATTGAGTTCATTCCATTGGTTATTTTCTACTTTTTCAGTATACTAATTCCCCCCTGTATACATTGTCACAGTGCAGTCACTGCTCAAGAGAACATCAATAGTAAATACACTTTTCCTTGTAAGAAAATATAGAAGGAGGGAATAGAATAATGTTGTGATATGCTGCACCCTGCTGTTCAAAAGACAAAAGTGTCTGCAGAGGGCTATCAGACGCTACAGACAGGGCGCACTTGCATGTGCTCACACTCATGCAAGACAAGAGATTTGGGGAGCTGCAAGGCCCAGAAGGAGTGCATTAGCTCACAGTGGGCCCAAGGTCCTTTCACTTCCTCAGTCTGGTTCCTTTTTGTCTTTTCAATGCTGCAGATGACCTCATTTTAACTATTTTTCAATTCCGAAATCTATGCAATCATATATTGGCCTGCTTTTGTTGTATTCTTGTTTATTTAAACCTACAGTTGAGATTAATTATCTGTATCTCTTGCTGTATCTTTTAACATTGATGCAAAAAAGTGATTCAAGAAAGAAGCTTTTATTTGGGAACTCTGATACTGAAACCAAGAACATTAATTTTGGATCATGGATTTATTAGATTGTGCAAAAGATAAAATATGCAATGAAACATTATTTCATCTATCTGTATGCAGGGCCCTTTTCTTGCAATAAAACATACAAAAATGCATCTCCCTGCAGCAAGATGGGACAGGAAATGTAAATTGGATCACAGGATTGCTGTGTTAAGTCTTTCTGGGTGTATATTTTATGTGTATAAGCTGCTCTGTCTTGTCCCGGTACATATAGTACTGAAAGTGATACAGTTGGCTGCGTAGGTTCTTTCCTGACTCTAAATAATCCAATTAACACTGACTGTTGATACCAGAGATTTAGATATAGATAATTGACCTCCTTGTTAATTAACCTACATTCTTATACTTTTTAAAATGTGTTTAAACACTTAAACAAAAGTGATGATTTTATTGCAGTTAAAAAGTTATTGTTTTATGTTATTGTACTGTTGTTGCACTTACTAAAACAAAGGAATATAATATAATTAGAATCTAGAAAATAGGGAAATTTGGCCAAATTAAGTTGATGTCAGGGTTTAGTTTTAGTAGTATTAGTATACTACTAGTATTTATACTAGTAGTATACTATATATATATTTACTTACTTATATTTAAGGTTGATCATATACAATTAATATTGATATAACAGCACTCACCGTACTTTCTTGCTATATCAGAGTGTCAAATGAGGACTTGAAGACAATTAATTAAATCGAGCCAGGAAGCATCCAATGTATATTTTCTTCTCTTCTTTGCTCCTTTTTCTTCCATCAACCAGAACAAAAAAAAATCAAATCTGTCCTGTCAAGGTCTTCAACACGTTTTCTTTCAAGTTGACAACCTTCCTTCCCCTACAGTGTAGTATGTTGAAAAGGTGAGGGCATCAGGTCGAGGTTTACCCTGCACCTAAAATCCTACTTGGTTCATTAGCTGGTGAGGATTACACCCTAACGTTATTGGAGGGAGCAACTCGGCAGAAGCTATTAGTGTAACGCAGCAGCAGGAGTGATTACTGATGAAGAATCCTGTGCTAACTCAACAGACATCATTCAACTGTACAACACAGAATTCATGCTTGGTTTAAAGGAGAGCATATGATTATGATCTTGACTCTTAATTAATACTGTTCTTGATTGATAATTGTCCTATTTTCCTTTTCCTTATCCAAGCGTTTTCCAATATTTTGAATCATACCAATGAGAAATAATGAACTCAGAGTTACATAACAAAGTAAAATCACCACAATTCTGATTTCATTTTCACACACAATCTGTTGACTGACAGAAGTAGACTGCAAATCCAAAGTGGATTGTGTCCATAGGTGTCGAAGAGCAAACAGTGTTATAAGTCTTTGAAATACTGTATTGCATGTCTGTCTGAACTCCATTGTATGATAAAATGCTGCTTATGCTTATTGTAGATGCTGCATGTGATTCCAGGTCTATACAAACGTATTCAGAGAGAGATATTATGTGGATACGTTTCAGGTGAGAGGATTTAGTGGGTGGTTAAGGAAACGGAGAAGAGGGATTTAGAACATACAGCTAAAGACGACAGAAACTATGTCAAACAGTCTCCTAGATATAATTGGTCATTTATTATCACAAACACAAAACTGTTTGCATCAGTGCTGTTGCTGGAAGTAGGGCGTTTAATTACTGGATTTCCACTCATGAGTGGAAAAGGAGCTGGCTGCACTGTCACACTGTGGTGTGCATAGGCAGATTAACACACAATGAGCCAGCTAGGAGGTCATTTGAGATATTTTACAATTCCTTCAGTTCAGTTTTAACAACAGTTTTGGGTTGCATAGCATCTAATGCAAGATGGTATACTCTTAATTTTGGCAGTAAATCGTACGTTCTTACTTCCTCAACAGTTTCCCTTTTCTCCACTGTGTTGTCCACAAAGTTTTTTATTTTCAATATATTAAGACATTTGTTAGTTCAAATGTCTAGAATACAGTAATGCTGGACAACATGTAATATTAACCTTTCGATAATATGAGGTTTCTGCATTCTGAGTTTGTGATGTGAGTTTTACATTTTGTTTGCATATTCAGCATTTTGTGTTTAAAGGAAAGAATTCAGCAAGTCAGTTTGGCTCTTTGCATTAAGAGCTTGGTACACTGAAACCTGAAAAAGCAATTGTAAAATACTGCAATGTGTTGATGTTTGCAGGTTTAAAAGGTTAAAGAAAATAATGTACTGTTGTGACTGAGGAATCTGGCAAAGGTTAGGTATTTTTGTTAAAGTAGAAAACATGACTTGATTTAAAGTCAGTATGTGTTCAGTGTTATAAGTGCTTCAGTTTTGGTATTATAATAATACATTTATTCTGTATTTGATATTAAGAAGCTGTTACATTTCATGATCTGATCTACATCCACAAGTTTCAATGAACTTTAAGGTTTTAAACTTTGTGCAGTTGCTATAGTAAGCAACATAAAGCTGGATGTTTTGGCCTGACAGGACTTCTTTATGATATTTTCTGCAAAGGAAGTCACATTGTTTGGGAAAAAACAGATGGAACTAAAGTAGGACAGGACAAAATAAAAAGGTGGCACAATAGAAGAAACATTTGAACCAAAACATAAAATGTAGTCCTATTTTGGCCTGTTTAAGCCCAAAACACCCTGAGCACAAATCCTATTTAAAGAGGTTAGAGGTGAAACAGATTTTGTGTTCAAGTATAATCCAGCTCAGTGACGGAGAACAAACCCACCCACCCACCCACACAAGGAGTTTAGTCTGGTGTTCAGAAATAGTGTCATTACACCTTTAATCACCTGGAAAGACTTCAAACATTGTCTGGGTTTACACTCATTCTTCTGCTATTGCACTACTACAATTTTATCATGCTCTAATGGCTTGACTAGTTAATGGCACGTTGCTGTTTTACTTCTAGGGCAAGTGGATAAGCTTTTCCTGTTTAATTGATTTAGTGTAAAGTAGAAATCCCATTACATTTGCACACACACTGGAATTGTCAAAATATCTGTGATCCCCATGCAGCTGACTTGTAAGTGCTCTTCACATGATTAAACAGAAATGGGATTAAAAACAGCACTGGAAGTCACTGTTCTCGCTCAGAAAATAATCTCTGATTGAGAGTGAAGGTGCTGTTGTGCTGACCCACTATTTACCTAAACTCACTTCACTTCACTGAGAAGAAGCTCAGTTGTCCTTTTTAAATACGGTTAGGGTTAGGAAATGTATGTCCAGAATCTGCAACATGTAAGTGAAGTAAGACATATTTGACTGGTAGCAGCATGTAGATCTTGGTTACTCAAATGATGCAGCCCACTTCTCACTAAGACTGCAGTTTATCTGCTGTGAGTTGACGTTTGATCTCAATTTTGTAATTAAGGGCCCTTTAACTGAAATGCTTAATTACTGTTTTAGTAAAGGCTGCACTGGCAAGCTAAACAACTTCAGTCTATACACTGCATGTTGCAAACTGCATTAAAAGTTATATATATACAGTATATATTTAGATTTAGATATGAATACAGCTGGCTTGGATTAATCAGGTACATGAAGATGAATTTCTTTTTTCAGATTTGAGTCTGCTTATATTAGCCACCTACTAATCAGAAGAATAATTTGAAACTTATTTGCACATCATATACTCATCAAGAAATGTTCTGCTTGTAGAGGAGAGCCATGTCATGTAAAGGTTGATAATGATCTTATTTTTTCATCTGGATTGGGCAACAGTCAACCAGGCAGCTCTGAAAATGTGGTGAGTAATTTGTCTTTGGGTATTACATATATTTGGTATTTGTTAATTTATTAAAGTAATAATAGTAATTAGAATAATAAAAAATAATGTTATTATTGTTATTAGTGTTGAAACAGCAACCCTGTATTACACACCTATCAATGTACTCAATCACTGAGAAGCTCAAAAGGATCAAATGTGACCAGTTACAATACAATATACAAAACCCAGGATAAAGAGCCATTTTCATTGGCTGACAGGACGAGAACGTACGTACGTACGCACGCTGTGGTACGTACGCACGTACGCTGTGGTACGTACGCACGCACGCTGTGGTACCCATCTCCAAGATGAGATGTTTAGGTGACGGATAGACTATACGCCAAAATTACGTGTGAGTGATTCTATTTATATTTTTATGTAAGTTATTTCAGACACCATTTTCATAATCATAAACACTGTTTTGTTAATTAATAACAGGTTACTGAAATTCAATGAGCATGTTGCCCTTTAGGAACACATTTGTCGTAAATATTGTGAACTGAATTACGAAGAGACTTTTCAAGAAATGTTTTCCCATAGGACACAATTTAAATTTAAAGAAAAAAGTATTTCGATCCGTAATCATTAAAAGAACAAATAACGTTAATCAAATAAAGAAATGAATCCCAACAACACCATAATGGAAAGTACTCCAACACGTTTTTACATGGAGGAAAATTACACATTCAAAATACACTCGAAGAAATGTACTGACTCCAAGTCCGACTATTTCCGCATTAAATATAATTATAGCTCACCACAATTTTTAGCGATTAACTTTATATTGCATTTTATATTGCTTTTTGATATGTCTAGGTTGTTCTCTTTTCTTCATTGTGTTGTTACTGTGTGTAATGCTGCTGCTACACTGCAGTTTCCCAGCTTGGGATCAATAAAGTATATCTATCTATCTATCTATCTATGTCACGTTTACCAATTACGTCTGTCGGAATTACGAGTTTACCAGGAGGTCGTGAAGTGCTCCTATGTCTGCGCTCTGAGGTACCTCACTGTGGGGAGTGTGTGTGTGTGTGTGTGTGTGTGTGTGTGTGTGTGTGTGTGTGTGTGTGTGTGTGTGTGTACAGTATGTGGGAGGGGAAAACGCCGCCGAGCAGAACTCCTCTGTCATGAAGGACAGGTCGGACCGGCAGCAGGCCTGAACTCCACATCTGTCCCCCCGGCGGACGGTCGCGATGGATTTCGTGCTGAGCGGAGCTGCTGCGTGCGGAGCCTGTCTGTTCACCAACCCGCTGGAGGTCGTCAAAACCCGAATGCAGCTTCAGGGAGAGCTCCAGAGCCGGGGCAGCTACCAGGTTTACTATCGCAACGTGTTCCACGCTTTTTACACCATCGGTAAGGTGGACGGACTGGCCGGCTTACAGAAAGGACTGGCGCCCGGGCTGGTTTATCAGTTCTTTATGAATGGAGTCCGGCTCGGCTCGTACGCCATCATTGAGTCCTCCGGATACATCCACACGAACGGAAGGGTCAGCGCGGCCAAAACCACGTTAGCAGGGGCTGTGGCTGGAGTGGTGGGTGCTGTGATGGGCAGTCCCGTGTACTTGGTGAGTAGTCTGAGTGGGCTTGCTCTATCAGCTGTGACATTTGAAGGTGAGCTGTCACTAATTGTCTCCATTGACAGGTTAAGACCCACCTCCAGAGTCAGTCCACCTCCTCTATAGCAGTTGGACATCAGTATAAACACCAGGTAACATATTAACCTAAAGTGATGCTATTAAATGTAAGTGGCAGGAATACACAGTTTCCTCACGTGTTCCTCCTCTTTCTGTCAGGGGATGATCCACGCTCTGGCAGCCATCTACAGGGAGCATGGCATTCTGGGACTGTGGAGGGGATCTAGTGCTGCTGTACCCAGAGTCAGCGTGGGGTCAGCCGCACAACTCTCCACTTTCTCCTCCTCCAAGGAGCTTGTGATTGACCTTGAGGTTAGCATGTTTTCCCACACCCCACGGTGTGCTCGCTGAGGTTTGATCATCAGTCCAGGGGTGATGGATGGGAGCAGGACGGATGGAGGGGTTGTTTTATTTTCCACCATGTGTGCATGTCTTCTGTATGGCCGCACTGTTCAAGAATAAACATGGCGGTTTTGGGGGGGGGGTCTGGCATAAGTCACATAGAGCTTATATGATTAGTGAAGAGGCCAAGCTACTAAAAGTTTAAGATTTGATGCCTTTCGTTATCTTATATGATAGTAATCTGAATATCACATGGGTTCAGGACTGTTGGTCAGATAGATAATCTGAAGATGACACATTGGCCTCTGGGTTCCTGTGATGGGCATTTTTCACTATCTGCTGATATTATCTAGAGTTTTAATTGGTCTAGATTCTAGACTAAAGAGAAAATAATCAGCAGATTCATTGATAATGAGAGTAATCATTAGTTGTCAGCCCTAAACTCATTTGAGAAGAGATCATTTGTAGTCAGTAGCTGTGTACAGGGTACAAAACCTGTCATTGTGAAACTCACAAAGCGTCAGGCATTGTGCTCTTCTGGAATAGAAATTCGACACCTTTCATTGGCCCCTCTGGCTGAAAACATGGAGCTTACACAACTAGTGCACCAGTTTACTTGCTGCTGACCTAGCTCTAGTTAAAGAAGGTCTTTCATTCTAAATGCCAGAACCGTAATGATTATTGAACAGTGTTGTTTTCAATCGACCAGTCTGTGAAATGTTCAGATAGGAATCCTGACATTCTTGTAGTTTTCTTGTACTTTCTGTACTTGTACTTCCCCCTAATGTCCTTTTAGCTGTTTTAATTGGTTGGTGGGTCAGTAAGGGTGGAGAAGGGTCTGTCCACACCTCCCAGGGCCCAAAGCAACACTCCCACTGCCTCTTGCATAAGCCGCTGCATTACTCTGTTGACGTCTTTGATTTTAATATTAACATTAGTGCTGTTCCATTAGTGCACAATGTTCAGTGAACAAGTGGTTCACATCACTTACAAGTAAAAGAGGATAAAAAGAGTTTAGATGCTGCTGTGTTGTCTGTTTATTGTTTTATTGTTGTATGACCAGGCTCATAAAGCTTGATGCAAATTAAGTCCTCTGGGCATAATAAAGCTGTCAGTTATATCCTTTGGTGTTGTAAAATGGCAAGTTTGCACAGAAAACTGGTTTGACTGTAGCTACTGTAGAGAGAGTGTGTGTGTGTAACATAGCACTAATAATAGCACCATTCTTCTGTTTCACTGCTCACCGGAGGTCAAACCCAGTTAAAAATAGAAGTGCCTGCCCTCATGGTGGTTCCCTGATGATGATATGTATGATAATGATATATATCACTGCACTGGTGCGAAGAGTGCGCTACATCCTGTAATTTCTCGCTTTGTCATTCTGCAACCTAAGCCTTACCGCTCCTTAAGTGCATTCTCTCTTTCATCCTGTTTAACAATGTTGCCTCACAACATTGTTATTTTCTTCTTTCTCAAGGTGTTCCCAAAGGACAGCTGGTTGGTGGCCTTGACTGCCGGCATGATCAGCAGTGTGGTGGTGGTGCTTGCTATGACACCTTTTGATGTAGTGAGCACACGGCTCTACAACCAGCCTGTGGATCATTTGGGCAAGGTGAGGAGAGAGACCAATGTGTTACACTCGTTTATATTTGTATAATATCAAACCCCATTTTTCATACTGTGTATACCTAACATGTTTCAGTAATTGCTATTCAATGTACTTGCAGGCTGAAATAGCTTGTTTGTATGATAGTCTTCAACGTAACTGGCAATGCAGTAGACAACATTCGATCATGAGTTCAGCGTTACCGTGTCAGATGACATTGGTGACTGCATTTATTAAAACATTCTCTAAGCCCACAGTTTGTTTAGCTGCGCTATAAACAAATTCACAATTCTCAAGTTTTCATGGCGTCTTTGCCACCCTCAGTGGTTGATACACAAAATATATACAAAACCCGAACCTGGATAGTTAAAATCCACTTGCCATTACCACGTGTAACCACAGAACCAGAACATAAATCATAAAGGGGGATTGCGCTGATCAAATTTTGTTTACAGGTCTTGGGGGCCTTTTGTTGCTCCAGTGGCAGAGCAGTGTTTCCAACTTGGCAACTTTATCGCTAGATTTAGCAACCTTTCAAACCCTCATAGAAACTTTATTTCTAAAAAGCGACTTGTGGCAAATTTAGTGACTTATTCAGACCACCAGGGAAAAGGCTAGAAATACAAACATATTATATTGTTATTCATTTTAGTGCATGCTGCTAAGAGTATCACAGTCCACGGCTTTTCTGCCAATAGCACAGGGGGTTTGTCCCTCTCCTCTTGGTCTGTGTTTAGGTACGCAGTAGGTGTAGCACGTTTGACCTTCTCTCTCACTCATTCTCTCCGGATCTCTGGATTAGGATGTTCCTATAGCTTATATGTAAATATTAAGTTTTAACTTGTAAATATTTAAGTAGTTTGTTTGATCATCTCCCTTTCTTTGTAGATTTTTTAAAATGATAATAATGTTCACAGTGTGTGTATGTAAATTTACATTGCCGTATACCAATCAGAAACAGGTTTACATTTATTGATCAAACTGACAAGAAACAGTGACTAAAAATATAATGAAAACAAATTGTAGCCAGTAGGGTGATTTCAAGTTGCATTGTGGGTAATGTAGGTGCCAGAAAAAAAGAAGATGAAGTCTCTGGTTCTGCTGCATCAGTTTGATTAAATTGTTATACATGTGCAATACTAAATGGGTGGAGTACTCTTTTAAGGATTATAAGTAGTGACTGATGACGAAGGGGAGCTCAAACACTCATCCCATCCAGCTGGGACATTCAGCTGATCAGATCCAGGCTGACCTTTTTATTTTATTTTTTTCATCTTTTAGGGACAGCTTTATAAAGGATTTGCGGACTGCTTTTCTAAGACACTGAGGAAGGAGGGCTTGATGGGACTCTACAAAGGCTTGGGAGCTTCTTATTTCCGTCTCGGGCCACACACCATTCTGTCTTTGTTCTTCTGGGATGAACTGCGCAAACTGTACCAGCAGTTCAGATAACAGCAGGGACAAGGAATTTGGAAAATGGGTAACTCATTAAGCTCTGAGTGCACAGGTTAAATGAGTCCTCTTTAATGAGTGTATTATTGTGAGGGGAGAGAAAAACCAGGATATGCTTTACTTTTTTAAAGGAAGGAGAGAGAGCAAAGGTTAATGTTTTACACTCCAATAAGAAAACACATTAGTACAGTCAAAATTAATCAGGAAGCAGGGGGGAATCTCACAACTGCTGTCAGGAACTGGGCATCCGACAGATATGCACTTGGATTTGTCTTGGTGCCATATGTGCAGAGATATGATGATAACCTACATAGAAACGTATAATGTGCCCTCCTGGGCAAATATCATGGCTCTTTTATAGCTCTTAAACTCTTCAGTTATGCCATTCCAAAAGATATAAAAGAAATAACACAGGACACAACTCACGCCTTCTGGAGAAAGCGTCAAAACAGGCCACAGTTTGAGAAAAAAAAAGATTGTGCCAACTGACCAGGCAGATGTTAAATACACCAGTTCAGACAATTACTTGAGTTTACTTTGTATTAGGGGCCAGATGTATAAAGCGAAACAAGAACAGCATCTTCTTTCTGAGATGATCTGGTACAGCCAATTTCATCTTTCATCTGCTGTTTTGTGAACACAGGTAATAGTATAAACTGTGAACTCAATGGGAAGCATACTGCATGATTACTTGTTGAAACAAAGATAAAAGTAAACGCTAGTCATCTCAGGCATCAGAACTGATGAAAGTGTGCCAGTCATGCAAATGACCTTCCCTGTATTGGCAGGAGTGTAATATAGCAGAAAGCAGAATTTCCTGTAAGTGTTGTTGAATCAAAAAGAACCTGCTGATCCACTGGTGACCCAGCGAGAACAAACCTGGTTGTGGATAAGATGAGTTTTCTAATTTTAAATGGAAAAAAGGAAAAATGTAATGTATTGTAAAGGAGTTCAAGGCAGCTCTTGGACAAAGGCTTCCGTTCACGAAGGACAAAATCTGTTAAAGCTGAGAATCCTTCAAAGGTTTCATCTTTAGTGTCCACAACAGAGAAAGGAAATTCTGACCTTAGGGCATAGTTTAGACCTCATGCAGCTTGTCTAGTGAAACTGCTAAAAGGGGACATGAAAGTGAATACAATATTAAGAAATTATTGCCATGTACACTTTGAGGAAGTTGTGATAGTCAGCAAAATGAGCAATTAGAAAAAGCAACACGTACCTGTTTATACAGTTTCATTGATGACATTTATAGTTTGTAACTTTTGAACCAGAGACCTGCGTACTGACATGTACAAACACAATTTAGTGCATCTTCATTGTCCAAATTGTGTACATGTTTATTTTTACATAAACCTACAATTGTTACTGAATACACTGATGTGTATGTATATATATATATGACTAATGTCATATAGCTTTCACTATAACCTGAGCTAATTGCCATTGCTTCTGCCTAGAGGGGCTTTTCTAAAAAATACAGAATACACAATGCAATAAAAATACACAATGACACTGGATATTGTTAGTAAAAGTGGATAAGGGAAGAGCTGATCACCTTATCACTCCTCAAAAACTGATACAACTCACTCACTTTGAGTAGCAGAGGCAGAAACACAGGTTTCACTGTGTCTCTGAGCACTTTTAGGAGACTAGTTGTACCTTATAAGTATGTTGAAAATTGTCAAATGTAATGACATTTTCACCAGAACATCTCTTTTGTGTGACTGGTGGTTAACTTATTACTGCAAACATGTCTGTTTCTATTATATATTACAACTGAATGACGGTTAAAACTATTTTAAGTAAAAAAAACTAAATTGGTTCGACTTTAAGTTCACATATCATTGTCTGTTTGCTACGTGGCTTCATATTCACTGTTTCCTCTCGCCTCTGTGATTATGAAGTTGTATGATTCATCATTTGCGTTTCATAACACTGTAAGACCTTTATACAGAGCAGCTTGTCTGTCTCTCTAAGAGCATGCAGTTTGTGTTTCAAAAATGTGCTTCCTATCCTACAAATGTATTAATAATTAAATCCTTGAATAATTGTGACCTTTAGTATATTGAGACCATCCTGACCTTACAAAGATCACTTTTCGGTGTTGCCACATCATCTTTCAACGATTCAGTTCAGAGTCAACAAAAAACATTTTTTTAATCTTAGCTGCTAAAATAACATTGTGATACGAAAAGCTAGTGACCAAATGGTGTGCCTTAATCATCCATCCAGAATAAAATAGAAATAAAATAGTTACTGAAGAGAGGTTTGGAGTTTTAATCAAGTATTATATAATAATTATTATATACTAATACGTTAAAGTGATACGTTTTTTGTGTGTTACTTTTGTATTCTTAATTGATATTAAAATATTGTATCAAATTAATACTGTATTAATATTGTAGCTGTAATGACATAACTATTTTAACTATATATGACAACTGTGCCAACAGTCACAAATATTTATTTTCTAACAATGACAGTAGTTTATTTACACACACTTTAACCCATCATATTTCAGTGTGGTTTTTTTGTTTGAAAAGTACTTCAGTTTAAGACAGAAGAGCTTTTTGTCAAATACTTAAATGAACAAAATGAAGTATTTAAGTAGTGATGTAAATGGCATCCAGCAGGTTATTCACTTTTCTTCTTTGGGTTTGGTTTGGGGGCAGAATAGTTAGCATTAACACCATGCTTGACAGCATAATGCAATGTTATGTTCTCCAGGTCATTATGAGCCTATGATACGTGTTAGTCCACTGACTCCAACAGTGTCGTTATCATAAGTGGACCAGTGTGCGGTAGACTGTACAGGTTAGCCCAACAGTCCCATTACCATGAAATGGATGCTGTTGGCAACAGTTTTAAGTCTAAAGTGATACAGAACTCCTCCTGTGAGCCAGATTTGGTGCTTTCTTCATAAAGTGCACAATCCTCTGAAGTGTCAAGAGTTTATTAATACATTATTATTAGTGATTCCAATAATGACTGAACAGCTGTCAACACTAGAGCTCTAAGAACTGTACTGTCACTTTAAGACCACTTATTTGTCCTCTTAACTTACCTAATACAACACGAGAGACAAATGTTACTCTTCTTCTGTCTTCTCTGTAATGACGCTCATTATACAACTATAAACAATGTATGTAGTTTATTATATAGTGTTCTTAATGGCCCAGTGTGTAACATTTAGGAAGATCTACTGGCACGAATTGAATATAGTATTCTGAGGTAATCTACCTACCTATGTACTACCTAATATAGGAATCGTTAATTTATGGTTTTGTTAACTTAGCCATTTTTATCAACAGATACCTCGTTGCTTTTCATAGAGGCTGCCATGTTGAACCGCATTGTTCTACATTAGCCAGAAGGGACAAACCAAACACTGACTCTAGATAGGTGCTTTTGCGTTTCCCATGCATTCTCCTTTGCACGTGGAAGAGGAGGGTGAAGTGACGGAGTTGCGATCTGCAACTACACATCTACATACAACTACATACCACTAAATCCTACACACTGTTCCTTTTAAGGCTGTTTAATGAACGTTTTCTTGATTTATCTTGAATGGTCAAAATAATCCATAGCGATATGTTTCATACTCTGACAAAACAATTATGATAATTAGGGTTTCACATCTGACCAGAGATGATTACTGTCAATCAAACCTTGTGCCATCTGGTGTCTCAGACACCAAACTAATCTGCACGATTACTCCTTAAAACAAAAATCAAATGAGAAACCAAACTGTGTGAACAATTACTTTTATAGAAAGATCCTTCAATCAGATTTTATTCATTGAAGAACATAACACCTGATTCTAAACATGGTAGGCATTGCCATCCACTACATGAACCATGCCATTATGATAAAGTTGTTTTGTTGTGTCATTGTGTTATAAATGGTACAGCAGTCTACAATGACTACAAACTAAGAAGTTACTGGTTAGTTAACGATAAAAAATTCTAAAATTGTAAAAACAAAAAAAAAAAAAAGAGGTTGGAGAGGTACTGATGATGATGTCAAATACATTCAATAATGCTAAATGTAGATTAGATAGTTTTTTGTTTGGAAATAAATCATTTGCAGACGGTTGCAATATAAGGTTCCTGATGATTTGTGTATCAGGAAAGCTGATGACAGGTGTTATAGAGTTGAGATATTTATGAATGTAACATGCAGCAGCTTGGCATGTTTCACAAACTGCACTTCCTGTTATGGGCAGCCAGTTTTTCTGTGCAATGGACTTGGAAATGGAAAATAAAATATCAGACTTTTTATTATCAAACTTTGTGGTGTTACATTGTTTCAGATTGACTGGATTGATGGTTCCCACGGGTCCTTGAGGGCCTTGAAAGTTTTTAAAAATGGAAATAAATACACATGGGTCATTGAAAGTCTATTGGCAGAAATGTAATCTAATATTCATCAGCATGTTTTCATTAGTGTATAATCACTTGAAAATAAGTACTGGTAGTTTTTCATTGTAATTCTCAGTGTTGTAATTTTCAATTTGTTGTTTAAGAATGTGTAGGAACCCTGATTTTCAATCATATTATACTCAACCGCTAGTACCAATGCCTTGCACTATTTTAATGGGTATTGACTTTACACAGCTGAGCTTGTGGTTTGAGGTTCACTTCCTCAAGATTACAAGAATTAGATTAACCTCAGAACTACGTTCAGAATTGACCAATTGATGAATTTCCCCACCAGCTGATTTAGTTATTCGAGAACAGAAAGTGCAGCACTCTGTTTCTAAAGCATTTAGCAAGTGACCCCGAATAACTTTTGTGTTTAACATGCAAAATGATTATGGAAAAGGTATTGAAAATGGTTCTGAAATATGAAGAGGAAAAAGCAGTACAGTGAAAGACGTCAGATATAAATTGTCACATTACTATTATCTTCAAACATCGAAGGTATATCGCCTATATCCTGAAGTTGCGTCATTGTTGTAATTCTCAGTGTTAGCAGTAAATAACCTTAAACCATTTCTCAAACTGTGCCATGTTGGGTCCTTTAATTTGAAGGAATTGGGCATGGACATACATATCAGACATACCAAAACCATTGAAGAAAAATGTTGACCAGAGTCTACAGCCATGCTGTGAGGCTCTAACTGGGCCCATTGCTGCTTTAAGTTACATGCTAATGTTACCATGTTCACCACTTCAGTTTAGCAAGTTAGTATGCTTATATTGGATAATTAGCACTAAAGACAAAGTGCTGAGGCGCTTGTGTATCCCTAGAGCCACGCTACTAGCATGGCTAAAAATTAAAATATTAAAAGACAAACCATAATTAACCAATATTTTAAAAAGTTTTTTAGTAAAACCTGTGTCTCTGCTCCATTTATCAACTGCACATTGTTTTGCTTTCAACTGCTGAGACCAGCCAACTTCTCTGACATTCTTCACTTGCAGGATTTTCTTGTGTGCAATACTAGGCGTGTTGTGTTAGCTGCCATTATAGCATGTCCTGGGGCGTGTGCACCTCACGGTGCTTAACTGGCAGTTACAATACTCACTTAACTGACAAGACCTCTGAAACCCAGCTGTGTAAAAATGCAAACAAGACGGCCTGAGTTGTAACATGACTCCCAGAGGCAAATGTAGGTGGTCAAGATTTCATGTACAGACAGATAACGTCTGACTGTGCTTTATGCCGTTTCTGACATAAAGGTGACTGAAGGTGACAGCTCTGATAACTCTGTATGCCTTTCACTTACAAATACGCCGCCTTTATTGTTATTTTTATTACTGAATGTCAAGAGACAATAATTCACAGCATCATTCATTCAGTTCATAGTACAGGTCAGCATTATATTAAAGTAAGAAAATGAATAAAATATTAATGTAAAACACTGCAAGTTGAACCGTAAAAACCTATAAAAGGTGGTTTATTATACCTTGTGAGCAATCAGTAGTTTTTTTGGGTTCAGTTGGATGGAAACAAACAAGTAACTAGCAAAAACAAGGTTAATATGTCATTGGTGCTCATGTGCTGGCACAGGCACTTCATTCAGCGTGTCTTGGCAGAGCCCCTGCAAATGTCTGGAGTGTTACTGAGCAACACTGGACATACTGTTCACGGTGGCGTCAGTGAAAAGGTTCTGACATCATCTTTGACATGATTTACTGGAGCTACCATAGTACTCTTTCATGAATCTTTCAATTTATTTCCCTTATTGTGACTTCAAGTTCAATCTGTCAGTCCGGCATGAAAAAACTGAGCAGAGAAATTACTAACAGTCATCCCTAAAAAAAACCCTCAAGCAAAACAACTTCCTGCTGCTCCAGTGAGCTGCACAGTAGCCAACACTACAGTTACACTATAACACTACCAGTACTGGACATTTTGTAGTCATGCTCAGTGAAGCTGGATAAAAAATGTTAAAAAGGGGCATAGAAACCTGGGCACTGAGTTAATAAAGAGAAAATAAAGACATAAAGTTCACTAAACAGTGATTTTTTTTTCTACAAATATTTTTAAACGGGTTATAAGATAAATAATTCATCATATTATGTGATGCCAAAAAGGAAAACTAGAGGCTACCACAAAATAGTCCGACTGGAATTACCATGATGAGGCCGATGTGAACATTTTCCCAGTCAGCAGTGCGAACAGTAAATCTAACAGGACATGAAAGCAACATCAAAGGGATGTTCCTTCAACCACAGAGGAGGAACAGATCAGTTCAAAACCCTATATGTGCTTTAGAAATTACTCAAACTGGTGACATTCTTGTGACAACGCCTTACTAGATGGTCGTGATCAGTGTTTACTTGGGATGAAAGCTTTCACTTCTGGAAATTTTAGTAAACCCAAAAAAATGAGTTGACTAACAGTCAACAGAGCTACAAAGAGACTTTGAATACACTCAAGAACTGACTGTTTTATTTTGATAGTCACCTGCAGATGCCACCAGTCTTTTTCACAGCAGACATTTTGATTTGTCCTACTAGGAAAAGCACAGGTGTGACGGTGACTCTGTTGTATTCAAGTGAGTGTGTGACAGTGAACCAGCGTGCACAGCAACAGAACCCTGAAACAAAAGCAGCTAAATGGACTTCAGCCACCATTAACGGTATTGTTTACATCTGTGCTTTTCCTACTGTGAAGCGTCTTCATTGTCTTCTGTGAAAAAGGCCCATTGAAAGCTGTCACACCTGAGAGTAAAGTCATTCCTATTTGACTCACTAGAGGGTGACAAAACCTTTTTTTATTCCCTCACAAATTACAGGAAACTAACAACAGGAATTTCTAAAAATGTAGAAAATGTTGAATTAACATGACAATGAGGGTTCAAATTTACACAAAAACACAGCACAAGCCTTGTTTAGAGTGCATTTGTACAAGAAGACCCTGTAAAAATGTTCTGCTAGTTTAGCGCAAAACATTTCTTGAATGACCAGAAGGATTTGCAAATAATGTGAGTGTTCATTTGTCACAGTCCTCCACCATCTACTCGCTCTTCTTTTTAGTGGTGGTGGCGGTGCTGCTCGTGTAGCAGAGGACCTGGGCCAGGAGGACACAGCTGAGACAGGCTGACAGAATGTGTGACAGTGTAGCAAATGAGCTTCCCGTCTCCTACAAGACAAAGTTTGAGGCAGGTTAGTAAAGACAACAGTGACAGATCGGAGTAGTGATGAATATGGAGTTGTGAAGCTGTGTTTATTTGTGTAATACCTGTAGAGACATAAAGAGAACACCCAGAGACCCTCCGCACGATAGTAACACAGACAGAGTGGACAACTGGCCTGTGTGGCCATTACAGTAGTTAGTTCCAGCCTGGAGACCCTGGAAACAACAAAAGCAGCAAATACATTCACTCTCCTCTGATAAATATTCCCTGTGCACAATAATGTCACAGTTCACAGGTCTGATTAATCATAGAACAGTTCATAAGTTGAGTTATACAGACAATAGAAGCTGTTAAGTTACTACCTTGCTTGCTATTAAAGCTGTCAAGCTGGAGGCCTGCATCCATGAGACGACTGCTACAGCTGCATAGGAGCCCAGAAGGAACATTACGCCACTGTAAGCCATGAGGACCAGCAGTCCTGCCACATCAACAGAAAACAGGATGATATAAGATGGTAGAAACACACAAGAAACACGAATTTTCACGATTTGTTACCAAGAATGTTCAAACTGATGGTCTCTGACAAATTAATTTAACTATTCAAACACCCATTTCAACCTTTGAAAAGTTCCTTATCAATGTGTGTGTATAAGAGAAGTGTTGTAACTGCCCTTCCAACAAAAGGTCGGAAAGGTTCATGAGACGAGTGGTAAATACCACAAGGTGGCGCTCCAGGAAAGCACTGACTGACATGAAACAGGATCGAGTGAATCACCTCAAAACACGGTCAAGTCTTCCTTTTAACAGACAATGGGACCACACACACAAGCTTTTTCGGGTCACCTGGATTGTCCACATTAGTGATTTTCCAATAGCCTACAGGATATTCTGGGCCAAGTTGAGTCTTGAGAGTATGCAGAAGTGATAATTTATACTCAGATGTATTTGGCTGGTGTATGTAAAGTTTGAAGCTTCTGTAATGTTCGATTAATTCCTTAAAATGTCTCACAAAGGTTCACTGCTGTGCAAAAAGTTCCTTTTCATTTTATTACTTCACAGTTATTATGCTTTGTAAAGCCTTTTAATTTGAAGAGCCTGTTTAAGCTTTGTCTAGACATATTTCGTAATAATCGTTTTCAATACTTAATGCTTTCTAAATTAAATACAGTAGTGGCATGCACAAAAATATCTTGATAGATCAGTGTGAGGAAAGATTTGTGAGAGCAAGCAGTTTGACGAAAGCAATGCAAACATGGCAGGTATCAAGAGCTCACTTATAAAGCCAAAAAGGAATAAATATTGCTATATTTATATATTGTTAGCTGAATCCACCCTCAACATATAAAACATGAAAGGGTTTTTCCTTTGGTTTGGCTAGAGATAGCCTATAGTGTGTAATTTATTTGTATGGCTCTTTATAGAGGATAATAATGAAGATTGGTTGTCAGTCTCACACACACTGTCATGGTGCTGTTTTAGGAAATGACTGAGCCTTTTGTGAAAATGAAACTATATATTCTATTCAGTAGAAATGAATGGACATGAGCCTGAGAGCCACAGACAGAAACTAATACATAGTTTCATTTCGTCTTTTAGTGGGATTTGATGACAATAAGACAAGTACAGAATAATTCCAGACTTATCCTGAACATATGTTTATTCACTATTTTGAATGTGAATTTAGAAAAATGTGCATCTATGTGTGCTAACCTTTGAGGGTATCTCCACGATAATGCAGGATGAGGAAGACAATGGCTGCTGTCTGGGCCAATGTGAAGAGCCTCTCACCCCAGGCACTGTAGAGCAGTTCACATAAAACACATGTAAGGAACACATCTATGAAGACTGAAACATACTGCCAGTTGCAACTAAGTGGTTAGAACTAAGAGTCTTAGAAATGACAGCATTTAGTTTACTAAACAGTTTCTACCTCTCAAAACAATGGGATATAATGGAAGGTTTGAATCAGCAGAGACCAACAAAGAGACCAACTTATTGTTGTTACATACGTACAAGAGTGGGAAGTTGTTGGCCACAGCGTACACCACAGGACATGATAAGGCATAAAGCTGCAGGAGGGCGGAGGTCAGATTTAGGCCCGCTGCACTTCTTCTCCACAGTATCTTCAGCAGCTGAGGAGGCTGAGCTGCGGGGAGACAACAGACACTGACGCAATGGAGGTGCAACATCCGTAAAGACAGTGGGTTTGGTGGGTCTCCCGATTACCAAGCAATATGTAAACTATAATGAATGAGACGTTGCCGTTATGGGAAAATGTCTATATAAAATGACATTGTCTACTTCATTGTTCTGTGAAAGAATTCACCACATATGTGTGGAAATGTCTGTGCTCCTGCAACTGTTAATGAAGTAGTTTTGTGGTATGATCACTAGGCCTGATATTTTGATTTGATTATCTACACTGTTACAAGTATTGCATAGTAGATAACAAGAGCACTTAAAGGTTCTCTGGGGAATCTTTAATCCTAATTTGATCATTGGGATCATTGTGTTGTACAGATATCTAATCAGTAATGATAGTGTGAGGAGGTAGAGTGAAATGATATGAGTGGGTTGTTTAATCTCACCTGTGAGCAGTGAACTTTATACCTACTCTACATTTCAGACGCAAACGTTGTACTACATTAGTCTGACAGCTTTAGTTTCTAGTTACTCTTCAGATTCTTCCTGTCCAGTGACAACCACTTATCTCCAAATTTGGTGATTTTGAATTCAAACTTTTCCTGAGAAAATGCATGGTGACTGAGCTGAAAACGGTTTTTTTTTCTTCTTTTAGAGCTATGTTGTTCTCACAGGACAGCCCCACTTCACACATTATGTTTTTAGACTATGATGCAATGCTGTAGTTTAAACTACCCAACAGTCTAGACCTATAAAGTAGTGATATTAGCTCCTCAAATCTACAGCAGTAAAATGCATCATACACATTAATGCAGAAGTAATATTAATCCAAAAACATAATTTATGATACTAAAACACTGACAGGGAGCATTTTACCTCACAGTGAGTAAGTACATGTTGTCTGATAATGTGTACTTTAATACATACTTTTACTTAGGCTGAGTAAGACATTGAATGCAGGATTTTTGAAGCATTTTCACATGAGATATGAGTACTTTAAAGGATCTGAAAATGAGCATGTCAGAGGAAGAACTATTATCTAACCCTTGTGTTAGTTGTGTTTGTTAGTGATGCTCTGCTGTCTTACCTAGGAAAGTGTCCAGTAAGATCCAAAATCCGAAAGTTTTGTTCAGTAAAAACTTTAGGCAAGGCACTGGGGCAATAAATGACAAATATTAAAAACAATCAGACCGTTAAAACATAATTTTATAAGTGGAAAGAATAGGCCAGATGTTACACATAACGTTCAACTGTAAGTAGGAGAGGCGAAACACCCCCAAGCCCCCACCTCGCAAACATCTGGATTTTCCACAACATTTAACTCCCCCCCCGATTCTGTACGACGACGAGGCTCACCGTGCATGTGGAACTTCACGAAAATCTCTTCATAACATTTTTCTGGCATTAAATAGGAAACCAGGAACTCTTTCACGGGAGACGTGGCCATCATGGGTCAGCTGTAGCCAGGAGCGCTCCTCTGGCAACAGGGGGAGTGGTCCAAAGGTTCCCCAATATTTACTACAGGAGCCGAAGAGGACACAGAGCCGGGAGAGTTAACTGTTGTCTCTGAGGGTCGCCCTGACATAAATGTAGTCCGGAAGTCCACGGTTTCATATAAAAAAAAAGTCACCTAAAAAGTCAAATCTAACCTCTTTATTATTTGTTGGAAGAATATGCTATCTATTTGGTAAATACTACATTACTAAGTTCAAAGTATTCAATAGGCCTATATTTAAAGATATAGCCTATATAATATATAAAAATGCTCTGCTTTTAATAATAATTGCCATGTTAAAAATAAAATAATTTAAATGACATCCACCTCCTCTCTCAGAATATATCCAGATTATAGGAATATGCAAATATTTCCATCCTCAGTGTGTGTGCAGTGGAGGCTTCAAGCTTCCACATCACACCTGTACGTAGGTATATAGACGCATATTGGACCAGATTGGCTTCCAAACTTGTGAAGTCACAAAATTAGCTTGTAACACATCTACAGTTCAGGTTTGCACAGATAAACGTTCCCCCTGTGAAAGACTGCACACACCTCATTCTGCACAGTGAAGATTTAAACATCAATGTGAGGCAACAATAAGCAAAACACAATTTAAATTAGACTATTTCGATGCTATACATTAAAAACAAACAAACAAATACATAAATAATCTGTGACAGTTTTTATATGAGACTCTTAAACTCAAACTCATACATAAATAATGGACAATGTCCATCTTTTAATGAGCTCTAATCCCAAGTTTTTGAAGTAATATTCATTCCTTTGTTGCAGGTTTGATCAAATGTAAATGTAGACACATTGGTTAGACATCTGGGTAATATTAGAGATTATTTTCTGTAAAATGGTTTATTCAGGCTAAATGCAATGTAGGTACACTGTAAATGGAAAAAAAAAAAAACATCCACCATAACATCCCCTGCACATTTGGATACAGTTATTTTTCTAGCATCAAATTGGTAAACAGTAACTTGTGTAATAGATACAGAGGTCTATGTTTACCTAATTGTGAAGACAACTTAAATAAAAAGTTACATAGCATTGCATTAATTCAGTGTTAAAATATTTATTTACACTTACAGTCTGGAGTTTAATGAGGTAAATACAGTACTGATTTATCTCCCTACTCAAGTTATAGTACAAATTATGTTGGATTAAAACTACTCCAGAAACTATAATTTACACAAAAAGTATGTGTAATAAAGTAGATGTGACTCTGTTATTAATCACCTAATTGATACATTGTAATTGTATTAAGCTGCCAAATGCAAATTCATTTTTCTCTCTTCTGGTCAGGTGTAAGTGGAACTCCTCTTCTCTGAAAACAGGAAGGGTTCGACTAAAAACCAAACGAATGGGAGGTTTTACAGCAGTTAGTCAGTGTTCACTCTGACAACATGTGTACTGGAAAATGTGCCCGTTGCATTGCCTTCTCTCTGTACCCGTTAGTGCTCGTGTCCATCATCTGTAACATAGTGCTGTTCTTTCCTGGTGGGAACGTCAAGTATGCCAGAGAAGGACACATTACTCAGGAGGTGACATACATGGGGGGACTCATTGGAGGGGGTATAATGGTAAGTTGTCTCTTCTCTTGCCTGTTATTGTAGGATGTGAATCTGGACTACAAGGTGATGCAAACATTTTTTCTGAAATATAACGTGCAGCCTCAGGTATAACCACTGGGTTTATACCGTATATTGTTTGTTTTATTGGCTTGCTGTCCTCACACCTGTTTTGGGTCCTAATTTTGTGTTTCGGTGGTAAAGATCTGTGATTCTCTTAACCTAGAACACTTCAAATCAGTTGTATTGTTCATAGTATCATCACATACCACATATTTGAATGCATGATACTCTCATGAGGAGCCTTTCATCCTGACTGAAGCAAAGGCTCAAACCTTTTAATAAAAAAAAGTATTCCTCAGAATCTGACTGATGGCTGACTTTGGAAAGTGCTGAATTGTTTCAACTATGACCTATTTTGAACATGTTCTACACTGATGCTGAATCTAATTCCAAGTCGACTTGCACCATCACAGGCGTTGATCCCATCTTTGTACTTCAGCTTTACTGGAGAAGAGGGCTGCTGTGGAAATCGCTTTGGGGTAAGTCGGTAAGATGTAGACGTTTAGTAAGAAATAAAGTAAAAAATAAGAAAGCTAGTGGTCTTTAGTAAAATAATATGTTGTCAAACTATTACTTCTAAGGTCAAGAAGTTCCACACCAACTAAATACAAGTATGTATATAATGGAGGCCAGTAAAGCTGAGAATTGCTCAATAGAAGAAAAAAAAGAAGAAGAAAGAAATGTGCTGCTTGGTGCTGCATCACTGTTGCACAACATTTAGGTCTTCTTGAGATAGATAAGATAATGCTGCATCATCAGCCACAGTACAGTTCTCCTTTTCTTGTTTATCAAAATTAAAATATCTATACAACATAAAAATGTCTGAGGTTTGCTTGTCATTTAACCTCTGCAGATGTTCCTGTCAATTATATTCGCTGCAGTGGGAGTGACTGGGGCTGTGTACAGTTTCACTGTGGCAGTGGTCGCTGTGGGTAACGGGCCCCTCTGCCTTTATTCTGGGAACTGGACAACCCCCTTTAAACACAGGTGACAAATAGAACTTACATGTGTTCTCATAACAAAGTTCTGGTTATTTATAAGCCTCTTCTTTTTTCCATAGTAATGTGAGCTACCTGTCTGACGCTATGTTATGGGGACACTGCAAAGAGCCTGTGAAAGTGGTGCAGTTCAACACTGGATTGTTCTTCACTCTGGCAGCAGCCAGCCTTGTGCAGGGGCTGCTCTGTGTCACTCAGATGATCAATGGCCTCGTGGGCTGCCTGTTTGGACTCTGCAAAAACAAAGAGGTAAAAACAAAGAAGTCACACTTGTTGTTGGGATATCTGAATCCATACATTTCTCACATAAATTGTGTAATTTAAGATCATCTTAACTTTACTTCCTTTTAATGTATTTCTTACTATGTCTAAATTACAGGAACCATAAGTTAACCATTTGCAGTCATTCCTCATCTGAAGAATTGACTGGCGCCCCCTGCTGGTTGGTGGAGAGCAGTGTTCCTGGCTGAATCTGCATAAAACATTCACACTGAAATTTCTGCTCTCTCCGATAACAGATTTAAACATTTGTATGTGTATTTCATGATGCTTCACACTGTTGCAGTGTATAAGCATATGTTGTGAAAAGAGCACTGCCTTAGAAGTAATTCATGCAAATTATATGGTTCATTTTAGATTTATATAAGCGTCTGATTACTGCTGCAGCTATGTGTTGTGCTTCATCATATGTAGCATTTTACAATAATATTAACCTTTTAGTTTATTGTACTCTGCAGACAAAAAATAAATACCAGGTTGATCTTTTCTACATTCACACAATTAATGTTGAATGTATAACAACAATAAATATCACTCAATACTGTATCCACATGTATATCCATGCACATGTTTATTTCAGACTGTTAGACATATAAAGTTACTGTTGGTCCTTTGGTAGGAATGTCAACATGTTAGACATCACAGCTTCTACTGTATGAGAGGGGATACAATTCAGGTGATGAGAGAGAGAGAGAGAGAGAGAGAGAGAGAGAGAGAGAGAGAGGAGAGAGGATAAAGTCCTAAAGGGTAATTCACCCCCAGATGGCGCCTTTGTAGTATGAAGGAAAAGGAAATTAGTCATTTCTAGAAACTAAAAAATGTAGCCTGTCTGGTCAGTGTTTAACCACCCACTGTGTGGTCATTTGTCAGCATTTTTCAGTTGATGTCAATGACACATTGTTCCTGCTTTACCAAGCATGCTGCCACAGGTCTGAAGTCCAACCGTACCTTGATTCTGGAGTCACTGTGTCAATACATTACTAGAATACTGTATGTAATAGGTGGGGTTAAAAATGTCTCTCCAAACTGAGATTTAAATACAATAATACTTATTTTGGAGGACTGATCACCAAACTCAACATACGTAACAGTGATGTCATCATCAATAACGCATCTGACTCAGATTACGTGACTGCATTTACCTCTTTAACAGAAAAAAGTGCATCTACACATCAACAAAACAAGCGTTGTCTCCTAAATATACCATGGTATGAGTCACATCTGCAGCCTATCCCCAGCTCTGTTTGTCCATGTTATCGACTTGTCATTACACCTCCCACACCCTAAAATTGCTCACAGTAGACTATTTAGTCCCTGCTTCAGGTGGAAATCCATTTTCCGTTTTGGGTTTGTAGCAAGTGGAGCTTATCTTGAACATACGGGAAAAACAAGTTTTAGCAGTGAGTTCGTGTTCACTCTGACAACATGTGTACTGGAAAATGCTCCCGTTGCATTGCAGTTACTCTCTACCCGTTAGCACTGATATCCATCATCTGTAACATAGTGCTGTTCTTTCCTGCTGGGGACATCAAGTATGCCAAAGATGGACATATTACTGAGGAGGTGAAATACATGGGAGGGCTCGTTGGAGGGGGTTTAATGGTAAGTTGTCTCTTCTCTTGCCTGTTATTGAAGGATGTGACTCTGGACTACAAACTGCTGTAAATTCCTCTCTGAAATATGTGCAGCCTCAGAAAAAAATGAGAATTCTGTTAAGCTAAAACAAAAAAATTACTGGCTTTATACTGTTTATTCGATTTTAATGAGTGATCATCTCACCATTATGTGCTGTATGAGACTCTCAGTAAACACATTTAATTCTAACTGAAGCAAAATTTCAAACTTCTAGTGAGTTTAATGCAGCCCGGAGAGAGGTATTCCTGACTCCTGTAATGTTTCACAAAGTATTTGAACATACAAGCTTTGAGTTATTAAGATTAAGTGAAACTGCTGAATTCAATAAACTGAATATTAACTCCTGTCAACTCATCTGTCCTGCCGCAGGTGTTGCTCCCAGCACTTTACATCCACTTGACTGGAAAAGAGGGGTGCTGTGGGAACCGCTGTGGGGTGAGTCAGTGAGAACTACAAATAAGACTTTTCAGGTGCTCAGTGAAAGATGAGTCCTGACCTATATTTAAATGATGAACAATAAAAACTACACTGCAGCTGCCTTATATGCAAACTAAAGAAATAGAAGCATCATCATAGTTAATAACAAATTAAATTAAGATTTCAACAATGTTTTTATAGTTGTATCATATAACTGTTTAAGGGAGGCCAGTTACACTGACTTTAGGATTTACTAAAAAGGATTTATACCGTTTGGATAGATAAGATAACACACAGTGTAATACATTATGAAACCATCAGTTTCAGTTGCTTCATCTCTTGTTCTGATCCCAAAAAATATTAAAATGTGCAAAAGGCTGTTTGAAATGTGCTTTAAACTCCCAGTGCCACTGACACAAACTATCACATGACTTTTTTTTTAAATAACACCAAGATCAGAAATGTATTCCTGTTAATGGATTTTTCTTCAGGTTGTTACGAAAATACAGCAACAAGTGCCTGAGTATGACAATAGAATTACAGTAATTAAAGTGGCAGCCACAATTGTCACCATACTAATTTCTAACAGCCTGATTTGAAATATGTCTCAGCATGTTTGGTTTACTTTATCTTGTTAATCAGTCTGTCAGAGTAAATGTCAGGAATGCGAGAGGTGAATGAGATGTCAGCGGACAACCAAGAGCCTGTTCCTCCTAAAACATAAATACCTAATTTATCAATAGCACAGAATAATGTGTGGGGGAGGAGTTAGGAAGAGGGGAGGCATACACGGGTAATTCAGTATGAATGTCTTTAACTGCAACAGAAATGTGTTTGACCTTGTTGTTTAACTTCTGCTGCAGATGTTCTTATCAATTGCATTCGCTGCAGTGGGAGTGGCTGGTGCCCTGTACAGTTTCATTGTGGCAGTGCTCGGGTTGCAAAATGGGCCCCTCTGCAAAGTCCTCGTGATCTGGACCACACCTTTTAAAGACAGGTGAGGAACTTTCTGATGATAATTGTTCAAGCTTCTAAATCCCTGATCACTCATAAAAGTTCCTCTCTTGCATAGTGACCCGAGTTACCTGACCGACAACACGTGGTGGGGGAAATGCACAGAGCCTAAGAACATTGTGCAGTTCAACATTGGTCTGTTTGCCACTCTGCTGGCCACGAGCTGTCTGCAGCTGGTTCTCTGTGCCATTCAGATGATCAACGGGCTCTTCGGCTGCCTGTGTGGAACCTGTAACAATAAAGGGGTAAGATGAAGCTGAGCCTAAGTGAAATAAATAGGAAGAAATGAAAACACGGTCCATTTATGTGTTGTTTATATATCTCAGTCTAGAGATATTCCTCAGATAAGATATGCAATCAGAAAACCTAACTTCTTTCCCTCTCTGGTTTTTGGTGTTTGTTTGTTATGTTTTTTACTTACAGCCGCTCTGAGTTCCTGACTGTTGACTGGCACCCCCTGCTGGAAGACTGAAAGCATTGGTCCTGCCTGCATCTGCATTAAATATTCACTAGGAAACTGTCTCTATTTGATAACAGATTTTTTATTATATTGTTCATTTGAAATACATTGGTTTTAAATATAAGCTACTGATCCACTGCTGCAGCTCTGTGTTGTTAAATTATGTTTAATAATATTAACCTTTTGGTGTATTGTACTTAACTAGTAGGATAGAAAAAAAAGACAAAGTTGTACTTCAATGACACCTTTAATGTAGATTGTATTACTACAGGGAATATCAGGATTGATATCTGTACAAACATTTCAATGTCATCTCAAACAATTAGCATTTTAAAATACCTATATTTCTCAATGAACATTAAAGGAATATGACTGAGATTTCTGAAATGCCAACTACTAAGCACACTGGGAAAAAACCCTGCACGTGGATAAAGTGTGCAAATGGCACATTTGATGAGGCATCTGTTATTTTCTCATTGACTTGTACAGAACAATAAAGGTTACACAACAAAAAGGCAAAATGTGGTGAATTAAAAGGCAGATGCTGAGTCCCAAAAGAATGGAAACGTAATCACAACAGGGGTGGAATAAAACATGTCAATACAAAAACAGTACGATAGAATAAGATTAGGCTCAAATTCAAAAACACCTGCTGACTGTGTCAGATGAAACCTGTAAGCCTGAAAAGTAAGCAAATGTTTTAGCATATATGCTACCAGAATGTCACTTTAGCTAAATATACAAAGATTTGATCAGAAAACTGAGACTGAGAACGATTCCTTAATTGAAAATTATAGACAGCTTAAATGAATTAATATATGCCTTTTTTAAATAAAATCTTTGTGTAGTGAGCTAAAACAAGGTTTTGTGCATCAAGACAACCTCTTAATCTAACGGAGCATTTCCTTACACATGTAAGTAAAGAATGATTTGAAATAACTGGCAGAAAATTGCATTTCTGTGCACATACAACTTTGTTGAGGTAGACCCAAAACAATAAACTGGAGGCTGAATAAGATTGCTCAATATTGTGCTACACATATATCTTCCTCATATACGTGTTTACGTTTCAAGTCAGCAGTAGTGTTGTTGGAGTGTTAAAAACAAATGATATTTAAATCTTTAAATCTAGAAAATACATTTTATCTATATTTTAAACGATGTAAATACTGAGAGAGATGGAGTGTGGCAGTTTTAGGTACTTTTAACAAAAGCAGGAAATGGTAAAAACCACATCCCACACATAATAAGCTTCAACGCTTCAACTGGAGTTTGGATGAGGTTATATGGCTATAGTTCACTCCCAGTTCACCAGTCGTTCATTTGTGCTGTGCATATTTCGTCAGTCAAACTGCTTCATCATGAGCTTCCGGCTGACCTCATAACCCAGGAACAGTGCTCCATTGGCAGGGAAGGTGCGGACCATGGTGGGGGTCAGACCAGAGTAGAGAGCCCTCACACCTAAACAAAGGGAAACAGCAAATGTATGATTATCATTTAAATGATATTCTGCTTGATAATGCAACAGAAACATCAAACCCAACTTGTGCCTACCTTCAGTACGAGCAATGGTCATGAAGGTTTTGAAGAACCCTGCCTGTTTGCCCGTCATAGACATGACCTGGATCCGAGACTTGACGCAGTCCATAGGATAGACCACGAGCCACAGGCAGGCACCCCCCAAGCCTCCGCTGAACACGATAGGAGCCACACCTTCAACACACACAGTAACACTCATTACACACTAACACAATGACAATGTATGTTAGATGCGTGGGAGGTGAAAGTAAATATGGGCGGATGAAGAGGAAAACATAAATCTTATAACTGCTGAGCCATATTTTAGTCCAACAACTGTAACATTAACTGTAATTCATTGTAGTAGTATAGATCTTAAAATTCCTGTATGAATGACGGATTTCTTCTTTGTACCTATGTCGTCTTTTTCACATTTCATGTGGTCCGCAAAGGTGGTGCGGCTGAGCTCGTAGGCACCGAAGAAGCAGAAGTAACCCGGGACTTCTCTGGCTATGGTGGTGGTCAGGCCCTGGAAGAAGCCCTGCGGTCCCTCATTCCTCATGATTGATTTAACCACAGACCACACTGTGCTTCAGAGAGAGAGAGAGCAGAGGAAAGTATGGCTCGGTCAATGCGCACACATTACAACACTAACTCAGAAAAATATAACCATATAACTACTGCAGTTTTATTATTGACTACTAAAAATGAGTTTGTGGTTCTGGGGAGCATGTGAACTATGAATCACCTTAATGTCCACACCCCAACGTTTTCTTTGAACACTGACGTCTGAGTCACTATTTTATAGACAAAACGTATGAATAATGAATGTATCATCAATTACCGTGTTGTCAAATACACATACCAGGTATGTGGTTGAGATAAACAGAGTTTGAAATGTCTTTAAACTATACACAAATATCTAGAAATAATTTAGGTTGGATTTGTTTTCAGGTTGGTAAAATATCCACATTTCTTACGTTCTCTGAGTCTGTTACCAAATCTCTTTTTTATAAGCAAAGAGCAATTTCAGAAAATATGACGATATGAATACAATACATAACCGAAAAAACAACTTTTAGTTCTCTGAATGTCAATATTTTGATATTAAGTTGTAATTTGACTTTGTATTATGGTGTTTTAGATGTAGCAATCTAATTATTCTACATATAAACCAAGTCATTTTTCAGCAATAATTTAATCTATAAGATGACTTATACAATATTATAAAAACCACTTACTTCTGGCTCTTAGCGATCTTGCCTGATGCCTCCATCTCATACATGGCTTGCAGCCGACACTTGACAAGCTCAGTGGGGCAGAGTACTAGCGAGGAGAAGATGGATGCTACGGAGCCAGCACAGGCTTTGTGCGTGTCACTGAAACAGAGGGAAGGATAAACAGAAGACCGTTGGAGATCTTACTTTGACTTCATGTTAACAAGATGTGAAGCCTGGTTAACATCATCCCCCCATCCTACCTCAGCACAGCCTCACTGTGCAGTCCAGCCATAAAGCGGATGACCTGCTGGCAGAAGCCGTAGCTCATGAAGAGCACAGAGTTCTCTGCGATGTTGGCCATGAGTGCCGGCGTGGTGCCCTGGTAGAGGCCTCGCAGGCCCACTTGTTTGTAGGTGGACGAGATGCAGTGGATGAAACCCCGGTACATCTTAGGAAAGGTCTGCATCTTGACCTTTGCTGTGTCCAGAGGTTGCCCACTGAAGACACATGCAGCCCCCCCTTGGAGGAAGAAGGACAGAACACTGTCAACAAACTACAGGAAAATCAAAGTATGTGTTCAACATATGTGCTGTGAAGAGAGATAAGAATCAGAGCGGGCTCCACTCCGCTGAGCAGTATAAACAGTCAATGAAAACAGAGAGAAACGAGCCGGAAAAACACAGCAGTCATCAAAATCTCCTGCTACATCACGCACAGCCAGTGAGTCGCACTGTTACCTATGGCTCCCGCGGAGAGGTCAATAATGGCCTGGACCACCGGGTGTGGGGCCATGGCGTCCAAGAAGTTGATAGAAGAGGTTTCCCTTCCTCTCAGCTACCTGGTAAAATAACACATAAATGACACTTTACCCCCTAACACCACTCACAACACACACCCCTACATCTTATTAGAGCACTTTAGTTACTATAAACTGAATGCAATGAGCCATTTGTTCCTTTAAACACTACCCTGACACAGTGATTGTGTGCGTTCCTGCATAGGGAGGCCCGGGACAGGCAGCGGCTGGGTTATAAAGTTCACTACAATAAAACCTCCCCTCATTTATGGCAACAGTAATTATTTACAGTGAGCCCAGAATGGGTTTGTAAGGACACAGGATAACTGTGTATATATAATACAATGCAAGGGTAGAAGCCACTTCACTAAGCATTAGATAATAGAAATGTGTTTCTGGATGTAAGTCATTTATTTTGTCAATTTAAATATTTTAATTTAACCTAAAACACTCACACTTTTACTGTGTCCTGTCTCTTCTAAAGCACAATATGAGTAGCAGTATTTCTACTGTCTCTGCTGGTGTAATTTACTCTGTTATTACCGGAGTTTACCACAAGAGGGGGATATAATACTGTTTATACATAAAAAAAATAATTCAGATATGTTTTAAAACATCAAAACAGACATGTGCTTTTATCGTCGTTTAGAGACAGAAAAAGAGAGTTAAATGCCAAACAGCGTTTCTTTCTAACAGGAAACTGAATCCTTCTCAGACTCTCCAAGACGTGTAGTAACAACATCCTAATGTAGCGGTACTCGAAGGTTGAGTTAGTGTCGACAGCAAGAGGAAAAGTTACTCTCTTCTGTTCAGCCAAATGTTAAAGTGTGTAAGTATAAAAGAGGGAAATGAACAGTATATTATATAAAGTATATTCCCAGTACAGACCTTAGAGGAGAGCGACGGGTCGGACTCGGAGTGCCGCTGCGGGTGAGCTAACGTTACAGTCTGTGTTTCAAACATATGGCAGACAGTCCTCACTTATAGCCGCGGGTCAAACGTCCAAAGTTTACCCTAATGTTATCTCATCTGCAACATGTAAGCCCTTTGTGGTCAGCCACTGGGGTCAATGAATGGATCGACCATCAGTGATAATGGTGCTGAGGAGAAGCTAGAGGTTGTTTCATGATAGAAGAGGAGGTCTCACTCCGATCCAAATTCCATGTGTGAAGATATTTCTGATTTCTACTGAACAGATGGTGGATACATTTGTATTTTGGCGACAGAGGGCTCTTTTTAGCTGAATATTCTGTGATCCTAGAGGTCGTAGGTCATGCAGGAAAAGCATCAGCTTGTACTCTGGGTCCCTTGGGTGTTTTTATGTTTGTGTTTAAAGCTGCAGCAGCTGCACTGAAAGGGGCCTTCTCTGAGGGTCGCGATAGAGTTATAAATCAGACTTCTGCAGGACTTATTAAGACTCAATCGAGGGCAGTGAAACATGGTGTAATATGCTAATAACTAATGAAGGTTAACTCCTGTTGTGGGGCTATTGAACACAAACCCAGACCCACAAGACCTACCAGAGTCCCGAATATGATCAGTGATGTGTAATGACACAACTACATTACAACTTATATGCATATGAACAGTATGTACGTTTCAATAATTGTGTACTGAATAGTGAATCAATCAACAATCAATGAATTCATGAATGCATACGTTTGCATGCAGAACTACACATTTACTATAATTTGCACGTTGTTAGGAAGAATTCAGAAACCGTTAAGTCATTGTCCCTTTTCTCCTATTTTACTTCAATCAGAAAATATTGTAGTGTCTGTTGAATAAAATGTAACCAAGCCTACAGAAACAAATGTCCAGACAAAATAAGTATCTCAATTTAAGATCTATGATATGAAGCCGCACAAGCCGCATGAACGTTAGTAAAGCTTCCGGTTCACATTCTTGTTTGCTTTTCAAAATAAAATCTCCATAGAAGATTGTGACAGCACCGCCTGCTGGTTAATTCTTCCTTTTAAGAAAAAAAAGGGAGTTATTCAAGAAATCTTTTCCTATCTCTGACCCAAGGACATTGCCTTTAAAAAGTTGCGACTTTTGCAAGCTTTTTAACACACCTTCTGCAAAAAACTCCAATATTTGGAGTTCCAATATCATATCCAATATCATTGCTGTGCTGTAGATTCAAATTCAGGTTAAAAAACATTTTTTTCTCTTTAAAATAATAAATTTGGAAAATTGTGTGTCTCCGTTATTTCTTGTTTAGACGTGAACACAAACCCCCCACAGGAACAACAAGCTCTTAGACGAGTAAAGTCACTTACTTCGCTCCAAACAACATCTAGTAATTTAGTGTCAACCTAATTCCAAATACACATGAAATTCCTGTATTTCAAAGAAATTAAATTAATGAACACATTTCTAGATCAGGGCAAACAACAGGAAATAGAACTATTATTTTAACATATTTACAACATGATGGTGTTATTAAGCCATGATGCTTACTCCTTTTCTTTTCCTCCTTCTTCCAGGCCTGTGATAACTCCTAAACACTCACTAAGTGACCTTTAGTCAGTGCAGATGTGATGCACTTTTTATTTTCCAGTAAGGCTGAAAGATCAAACCAGGCCCTGTTTAATATTTACAAAAACCCGGGCAGAAACACTTATTAAGTATTTAGCCAACAAGTACACCAGACATAATCCAAACAGGATTTTATATAAATAGAAGAACTTCTCGGAATGTGCTGTTCTCGTTCAGAGCCGCCCGGGGAGTTCTGTGCTCTCAACTTCATACTCAGCTTTGTGCATAATTATCTTACCTATCATTATGGGTTTCTGAGAGCACGTTCCCTTCCCTCCCTCATGCAGATCAGCACACAGCCTCCATTAAACACAGGCCTGCATGTGATCAGTCAGTCATAGTGCCCAGTGTTTAAAACTCTTCTGCAACAGTGCTTTATAAGACCGTAGTGATATTAGTCATCAAAGTTTTGATGACTTTATGCTGCTCATTAATCTGGTCAGTGTTTTATTGCACTCTTGTACTGTGAACTTTATAGCTGAATTTAACAGCTGCTGTGGGGGTTTCTTCTGTATTGGCTAACGTTCTGGTTGCTCTTGTCTTTCATATAAAGTGCTTGTAATAGACACTTACCTGCTGCTGATATATAGGTTAGCTTATAAATGAATACATTTCCTAATAAATAATAGCTGCAAGTGAGTTGTACTTATTGAACGCATGGTAAACATTATTAAAAGCTCAGTACTGTACTGTTGGACACAATATCACCTGCAGTTTTTGCACGGAACAGACTTTCTGTGGGTGTCTCAAATTCTCAAACTCCATATCCCTGGTTTGACCTTGTGTATATGGTGTTATTCCAATATGGACTTGAGGTTGAAAGTCACAAACCAGGTTATTCAAAGGTGCTAGTAATAATCAGCCTTTTTCACAGCAGACTTTCACAGCAGAAAAAGCACAGGTGTTAGCAGGTGTTGGTTAAAATGGACTATCAAAGGACCGAATGCCATCAGCTAGAAACATCTCTTGCAAACAATTATGGTAAATGAATGTTCTCACTCTGTATTTTAACGTCATGGGTTTGATAAAAATAATAATAATCTTATGAACTTCAGATGGAACTGTCGAATAGAGGATTTCAAAAACAAACGTTGAATTGGTTTAATGTGAATGATGTGGCTAATCAATGAAAGTCACTTATTACCACCTCTGCATGCTGTCGTCCACAGTACTGACATTACAACCTATGGAGTATATGAGTCACTATATAGGAGGGTTAAATTAAATTTACAAAGAGTTTCAATATAAAAAAAAGTATTACTTTGTTGAAATCGTTTTTCACTTGTCGAACATTGTGAAAAGTTAATCAGATTATTCTTTCATTTCTGTGTCGTGTTTGTAGGAAAAGGAAGAGAGAGAATGTTCAGATACTTATGAAAAAAATACTGTATTACAAGTAAAAGTTCAAAAGTATTATCAGGAAAACCTACTTAAAGTATCAAAAGTAAAAATACTCAATGGCCCCTGTGAGTGTATTTAATTACCTAATGATATACCATACGTATACTATTATATATTTGTTTAGGCAGCATTTTTGAGGTGAAGTTAATTCTCAACTCTTTTATTTTGGGCTGCAATTTATGATTACTTTCAATATGGATTAGTCTGCTGTTTATTTTTCTGAATTCATCCATTTATTCTATATTCTAGTCACAAATACAGAAAAAAAGAGCTGAAAGTGGCACCTTCAAATGGACCAACAGCCCAAATTTTATCCAGCTTACTTCAATTTAAGACAAGTAAATGCAGTAAATTGTCGTTTGAGAAGCTTTCTTGGGACATTTTTTCATGGAAAAGACGATTAATCAGTTCCCAAAACAGTTGCTGATTGTTTTAGTAATTAACAGACTAACTGTTTTAGCTTATTTTTTGTGTTCTGTAGTTAGACTGCCTAATGTTTTAAAAGTTCTTAATATGTTCTTGAAGTGGAAGCAGACGTGTCAAGAAATGGAAATACTTGTATTAAACGTAAATGTACTTAGTTACATTCCACTTCTGGTGATATACCAGTCCTTTCCTCCTCCTCGTGTATTATGTAGACTGGTGATTTAATGGAAAAATACCCAAAAAATCACATTGCTGTTATTCACCTATGAACTTAAATGCTGCCAAAATACCATCTGTTTCCCCAGAGTAGCCTGGGATTAAATACGTGTGCCCTCTGTCCACAGGCTTATCCCTAAAAACTCAGTGATGGCTTACAGCAGTCTAGACTCACTTGTCTACATGTTGTAACGCCATCAATTTTAGACCTGCAGTCAATAAAAGACACACATTTTTTCATATCACTTTGCCTTTTATCCAAAAAAAACCATTGACGTTGTCTACATCACAGACAAGAATCATCAATATTCTGTTTTAAACAATTTTGCCATGAACAGAATGAACCCCATGCCCAACCCTCCCCTGGAGCAAACTCCTCTATACACAGTATACTTTACATACCTATAGTTCCTGTTCAGTCTTTTTGCATTTTACATCATTATCAAAGTAGTATCAATAGCTTTAAAATACATACAATGCTCTTTCCATTGTAATTATAATTGCTATCCTGATTGTACATACAGTATCATTTCCCACAGTTAGAGTCTGGTGAGCAATTTATGTGCCTCGTTGTCAACAAGTTGTTACAAAATATTCTGAGGAGACAACATAAGTCTCTGCATTTCATTAAGCCAAAATACTTCTGATGATTCGTAGATGAGAAGCATTTTTTATACGACCACCGTATGTCATAAGAATGGAAACACTGCAGAGAGCCTCACGCTGTTAGTTTTGAATAGACAATACATTAAATGATATAATCCGCAGCTTTTATTTATGCCTTCCTCCTATTTGACGTCAGTAATATCCTGAACCCTTCTCAGACTCTCCAAGGGGCTTTACTACCAACTGTTACGTCTGCTCGAACTTGAGATTATGAGGTACAGTCAGAGAATCTCGGTAATCCCCCCAATTAGAAGAGTTACACCGAAGGAATAACAAAGAGATTATAAAAGATCACTTCAACAAAAGAGTAACACAAGTTATAAAAGTGGAACTAGTCCATGTGTTTGTATGGATTTGTTATACAAGAGTTTGGCAATAAAGTTCTCCGTATTGAGCACAAACTGTTGGCAGTAGTGGGCTGTGCTCAATCAATATACATTTTTTACTTCATAGGATTAAAAACAGTGACTGATAAGTGCCTCACAAATTTGTAAAAACCAGATTTTTTAAAATTGGTTTGGTGTCAGAGGTCCTCAACCGCTGCATGGTCACAGATCTCCAGTGTGAAGCTCAGAAATCACCATTCACACATAAAACTTTGGCACCAGAGACAAGTCCTTTGCAAAGGAAATGTGGGCCAGGTGTTGCACACATCTCCAACTGAGTACTAAAGAAATGTGTGGAAGACTTGGGTTTTTTTATCCAGGAGCTGGTTTGAATTTTTAGCTATGCATTGAGATAACTCAAACATAACTGATGAATGACCAGTAATCACAGCCAGGCACTTGAATGTCCTTTCAGATGTGAATTGAGGGCCGAGTCAGTCAGCGAGGAGTATCTGCACCTTTTACCTCTAGGATTACAACACTCAAATTAGTTTTTATGTGTAACAGTGTGCGAGTGCAGTTAAGCATTTAATATCTGCAACAGGGTCAAAACTATTTGGTTAGCGAACCAGAGCCCTGTGAAAAATAAAAACTCAATCTAAATGTGGGAAAAGCTACCAGTGTCAAAAACACATCAAGAAAGCCTTCTTCGTTTGTACCCTGTATACACACAGCCAGAGCCCTGGAGGAAAAGAGTTTGGTCACTGTAATTAGTGTTTGGCATTGCGACACCACAAGCATTTTTTATATTAACACATCCTGATTCAATGTACAGTATCACTCAAGTCACAACATACCCAAACTCTCCACCAGCGGCTCCAGAAACAGTACGCAACCAGTCATAAACTATTAAGTCACACTACCTTAAGAAAAACACTGCTTTAAAAAACTCCATTTAAAATTTTAGCAACTTATTTTTTGGCCCAATGGCTGTCAAGTGAAAGGGTGAGTTTTTTTTTTTTTTTCTAAATCAGATCTATGCCTGATTTTGTGTGCGTCCACTGCAAATTATCTTTCTACTATGGTGGACCTTTGAATTGTTGTCAGTGTATTTTTTGGCAATTAGTTTGACAGCAGCAGAATGTTATAAATGGAATAAAAGAGAAAGCAATGAGTGTGAGCAGGAACGGCACTGTGTCATAGTTTAGACCAAGTCCTGTGTGTGAGCGTGGAGAGAAAAAAGAGAGAGAAGTAGCACTATTCACACCTTCTGGGAACTGAATCCACGTCCAGATAATCCACATCCAAATAATAAGAGCAATACACAAGCATGTTAATACTGTTTTAGCCCAGATAAGCAGCCAGCCACCAGTACTGGCTGCTCTGAGGAGAAAAAAACACCTTCTTTCACATTTGTTTTGAGGTTTTAAATACACTGCAAATAAATTAGTGAACATATTTAATTTTCTGTCCAATAGTGCGTAAGATTCTGCTTTATCAGTGGACAACTTATTTTATATACATGACACTGGCCACTGTATTCTTCTTAGAGTAAAAAACGGAAAGTTGAATTACATACAGTTATTAAAAATATGATTCGACAGTAAAATCTATTAATGTACGACATTTATTTGTTAATATTTATTTCTGTAAGCTATCTGCTGCTTCAGATGAGGGAGGGGGGAAGGGGGGTGTCCCATTCCCAACAGCTTTTACACTGAACAAGTGGCTGGTTGGTAGCGAACAGGAGTAATGACAATAGACAGTAGGGCCTGAAGTGGATACGTCCCAGGGTGTGAAAATACTGAGAGAAAGAGATGATTTTTTTTTTTTGATTTTCTTTTTTTTTTTGGCCAAACCTCAGCTTGACGAAGCCAAACAAAAGAGCGAGCGAGTGCTTACATTGTGGCTGAAATAGTGTTAGGCACTGCAAAAAATATTAATTAATAATTTTTTCCCATGTGTCTGATAAACACAGTAAGGCAATTTGATTATGGCTGACTGATAGCAATAGAAGTTTCCGGTTTGTCTTCTGTAAAGATCAACATGTTCACAATTTAGACTCAGGAGAGAGACAACACTTTTTTTCCATTTTCACAACCCATTTTAAGATTACCTGTGTAAAAACAGCTACAATCAAAAATGAGGCACTTTATAAAAGAGTATATAGATATCTAGGCTATATAGTATTAATCATTATATGTATACTGTATATTTTATATACCATTGTAATGTGTAACTTTATATTAGAATTGTGTTAACTGAAAACAAACTACAGTATGTACTATAGCTTCTGTCGTTCTACTTGTATACTGTAGTATATACTATAGTATAATATACAGTTATAATAGAAAAGATCAGTTGCCAAAAAAGTATTTACACTTTTCAAAGATTCTGTGCTACACATTGGTTCAAAATGCATTAATATGACATCTTATTTAGCCGCAATCAGCTCAAAGTACAAAATAATTTTACACTGAGATGAAATCGTAGAAAGTCATGAAGTTTTCAGATTCAAATAGAGAGAATAAATCATTATCTAGTCTCATTTGTATCCTATCATCTTAGCAGCAAATACTGTATGTATGACTTCATATGTGGGCTGTAGAGAAGGGGAGGGTTTTTTTTCCCCGCACCAATACATAAATACAGAGTGGCTAGAATATTCACAGTTTTGTTGTTTGCCAAAACATAATATTTGCCTCCCCCCCGTTATCAGGTCCCTTCAGCACATCTCAGTGATGATATTTACATACATACAATCTAATTATTGTCCGTACGTGCGTGTTTGAAGCCAATTTGATTAAGCTGTTTACATGCATAGCAGAAGAATGTTATGTTAATTTGGCCATTTTTATGCAATGTTGCATACTGTGATTATTAAATAAATGCACTGTTGTGTATCTATGTGCCTGCTTTTCTACAAGATCTATGTGGCATAAATAATTTCCCAAAAATGCTGTCATGTTGCATGAAAGCTGTGGCTTCCATCTGACTTTTCCCTGCAGCATAAATACAGCGTATGTGACACCACTGAACTGACAGATTTTTTGTTTGTTGTTTGTTTGTTTGTTAGCTGCAGTTACTGAACGTTAGCATACCGGGCAGATAGGAGATTTTTTTGCTCATATGTGACGCAGATCTAATCTGATCTTTTCAATTCTGATTTGGGCCATGTGGTCTAAATCAGATACAGGTCAGACCTCAGTGTGAACAGTCATACCAGAATTCACTGATTCACAGACTTTACATCATTCTAGATTGGCGTTCATCATGCGGGTCAGGACGGTGATCTGTTTACAATGGAATCTGATATGAGCCACATTTAAAAAGTAATGTGAACAACCAAACAAAAAAATAAGCAACAAATTAGAATTGAGCACTTAGGCTTGCAGTGTTGATGTAGCCTTAGTCAATCCACCAAATATCCTAAAATACCACTGAGATGTATTGACTAAACTTTCATACTGGCACCATTTGATCATCAGCTATAGGACATGACAGCACATGTTTAGTTTATGCATAATGGAAGCTGGGGCTGTATAAACAGCTGGAGCTTTAGGGATAACACTTCTGTGTGGGAAAAAACACAGAATTACAGCATTACAACTTTATATGAAAGCCATTGTTCTTGTCCCTCAACTACAACCTAAATATCAGCTCTGTGCACAAGTACAACAATGTGATGCCAACTTCAATGTGAAAATGAAATTGTAATCATACTGTATGGTATTAAATACAGTTTAAACTCCTGTGTATGTCACAAAGATTGCATAAGATGTGTATAACAATTTTCTTCTTGTATGAAAAACTGACATAAAGTTTAAAACAAACATAAAAACTATATCTAAATTGAATTTGTAATTTCATTCCCAATTTAAAAAATTGTACTTTAAGCACGTTTCGAATTCCCGCAGTAGCACAAGAAAAGTGGTCAAGAAGTATAAAAGCTTTTTTAGGCAACTGTATACAATAAACCAAATATGTTTACAGTGACAGTGTGTATGAGTGTATGAAACCACTGCCATGCTGTATTTCCTTATTTTGACTCAAAATGATACCTGATGATCATTTAACTTATCAAATATGGAAAAAGGATGATGTGACGATATACTAAAAAACCCAAGTTTGCCATTGAACCCATTAAACAAACACTTGAGAATGCAGCCGAGACTGTGTCAGCTGCCACTTTTGAGCCTTGATTTACAAGAGGTCAACATATTTCTCCAATCACAAGCCAATGTGTTTTAAATTAGGATAAACAGATGGACTTTTTTTCTACCACTTAAGTGATTCCCTGAAAGCCTTGTTAATCTATGACGTTGCCTGCATGATTGTTAATGTGTGATGGAGCCACCACGATCAACATAATGGCCACCTGAGAACTCATACACAATCACGTATCAAATTGTTATCCTTTATATATATTAAGTTAAATGATAATCAGATGTCATTTTTATTCAAAACAAAGGCAAAAACAAAACCTTTTCCTTACCCTGTGTTGTGTGTGTGCGTGTGTGTGTATGTGTGTTTGTGTGTGTGTGTTTGGCACACATTTGGTTGACAGAAAACAGCAGACGGGATGAGGATGAGTTTTCCAGGGTTTTCAGTGTTCAGGCTCCAGTGTACAGTTCTGTTGTGGCAACAGATCGGGCCGCCGAGCGTCCCCTCACAGACTGAGTGTGGAGCTGTCACACAGGCGTCATGCTTGGATCCAAGACGAAGACTGAGATCAATCTGCAAGAAAAGAATCGAAAAGCAGGCAGGAATTTAAATCATCCATCTTTACAATAATTTTGTTTTTAATAGTGTTAGTGCATTATCCATTATTATAGTTAACATAATACGTCACAGTAAATATAATTTAAGTCTCCCCAGAAGGTAAAGCAGTTTATTCTCCAAAGCATATTGCTTTTGTTGAATCTAGAGCTCCTGCTGGCTGCTTGGGTAAATATCACATGACGCATGATATCTTTCTTAAAGGATTTTCTGATTTGAGTCTCATGCAGACTGTTGCAGATGTCAATATTATGTGTCTTGTGTTTGCGTCAGACTTATCAGTTCCAGGGATTTTGCACTGTTTCTTTTTTTTTAATGAGCCACCTAAACAACACAAAGGGCTCACTGCTCTAGTTCCGATCATGTCAGCAAAATAAAATCAGTGGCAGCAAGCAAACACCTGGGTTATGATCATTTCTACAAAGACTTTTTTCTCTTGAGGTCTACATAAAAAAGATTATGCCTTATAACTTGATTAAAAAATAACCATTTTATCTATATGTGGTTTGAGTCGGTCTCACATCTTGCACCATCCACCAATGATTGACTCCAGCTGATGGCAATGAGTTCCCTTGTATATATATTTACAATTTTAGTGCTGTCTGGTTCACATTCACGTGGAGTGTATGAAGTTCTTCAGCGCTATAGAACATGGGTGGGTTGTACTGTTGTACACAAATGACTACTCATATTGCTGTGAGTGTATCAAATAAAGATAATTAATTATTTACAAACATCACAACAGCCTGGAAGGTTTAAGTTACATCAATGAATCAGATTTTGCATCTTGCTCAGACAGTAACCAGATTAACTTTCAGTGTCAGTAGAGCCACATGAGCACTCACACTTTGCTCATAAAGCACATGTGACGGTGCTGCAAATAAAACAAGGGAAGCAAATAAACATTTTAATCTAATTCTAATATTTTAATAAACATTTAATTTGAGCATCTAATTAACACATAATTAAAACAGGTGGAGTAATGTGATATTTGCAGAATTATTTGAGTGTTGATTGGACATTTGAGAACCAAGCCTTTTTATTTGAGCTTTTATTAACTGCAGTCCTGCCACCATCCTCCCTATATCCAGGCTTCATATATTGACTTCCATTATTGGAATATGGCTGCAGTTAATGAAAGCGGGATGAACATTGTTTGTAGCTTAAAGGAGGAGAAGCACATTCAATCATTAACCGCAGTGTGAAAAATTACATGAACGAGTAATTTACACAATATTAACAGAGCCTTCTTTTCCTGGCTATGCATGTTACACCATCCCCAATTGAAATAATTAGGCAATTATTATGATTCTACATGTACACGTATGGCATTAGATTAATCAATCATGCAAATGTTTCTAGCCGCTCCGAATAAATAAGGTGCATAAGTTGTTTGTTCCTTTTTTAGTCCTCTGATTAATATTTATATTTACCTGTACATTTACATTTTACAATACTGCCTCTTGCAGCTGTTATTTCTTGACACGTGGAAGCAATGGATCTCTTATGTATTTCAGTGTGCAGCCATCAAAAAATGTACTTCAGCCGCCGACATTAACCATTAAATAACTGTCATCTGGGCAATGTGAGGGAAACTTCAGAGCTGCAGCCGATACCACCCACCCACACATGAACATAAACACCTGGCCCGTGTTCTGTCCCCTCTACCTCCATTTATGTGAAATGGCTCATTACCAGAAGACAAATCAATTGGCTTTGCTCTCTGAACACCCACTTGTGATAATAAGAGACTCTACAGACAACCCACAGCCTGGAAACACGGTGCTGCCCTCCAGCTTGAAGCAAAGGTACACATCAGTAAAGGATGAAAAGCAGAGTGAAAAGGAGTGACTAAGATCCAGACATGAGTTTTGTCTGTGGATTATGCATCACATAAACAGCTTACATCCAGCTAGACAAATATTACCAGGAATGATCTAGTTTTTCTTTTCACTTATTTTGAAATATTTCTTTCACTTTCACTTGTGGTGAAATGGTTTCAGATGAATTTTCTGTTAATCGACTAATGGATTAATCGACTGATTGTTTCAGCTCCAGGGACATTGCATCTTGAATAAAAAAGAAACATTCAGTCCTCAGTCGGTTAAAATGAATAAATTAAAAATCCTGAAAATTAGGGCTACAACTAACAGATTTTTCATCTGTCAGTTATTTTCTTGATTAATTGATTAATCATTTGGTATCTAAAATGCCAGAAAAAATTGGATCCAATCATCAGTCCAAAAAACAAAGATATTCATATTATTATTATGTATGACAAAGAAAAGCAACAAATCATCACATGTAAGAAGCTAAAACGAGAGATGTTGATGGGTTTTCTGCTTGAAAAACAACTAAAACAATCAATCAATTATAAAATTGTTGTTGATTAATTTTCTGATTGATTAATCAACTAACCGTTGCAGCTCTGCTGAAAATGTGCTATTTCCAGACAATGAACAGATGTAAACAATGTTTGAAATCCAAACTCTTTAGAAAGTCAAATAATTAGAGTGAATTAAACTGGTTCTACTGAACGAAAAAGAGGATTGAGACACTTGGGTACTCTTTGGTCGTAAAGTGTGTTTTCCTTCTAATATAACCTTTCAATTTCCAATTTCAGACATCAAACGAGAAATAATTCTGTCATGTAATAATAATAATAATAATAAAAATAATATTTTAATTATTTCAATGATTAATTGTTAATACATTTTAACTAGCCTTGTAGATATTGTCTTGCCCTCTCCCTTGTTTGCTGTAGTAACCACTGTATGTTTTAGCTGTGAGACTAGAACTGACAGCAACCTGTTGGTCTAGAAGATGAATAAATGAAGGTGCCACAACAGATACCGCAACCTTAAGCATGATGTCTCAAACTATGTTCTCATAAAGACGCTATCCCTGGATTTTTTTAACAAAATGTGCCTCGGATATTCTTAAAATGTTCTTTACCCAGCTATTGTTTAATAGATATTTTAAGATGGGTTTGCAGTAGCGCTTACCTTGACCATCCTTTCTACTGTTCTGATGTGCTCTCAGTTCTTCTGACTTATAGAAATCAATACTGGCATAAGTGTTGAGGCTGGAGCCAGCACTATTGCCCATAGCGCTTCCTCCGATGTTGTAGGCGGCAGAGGTACGCTCCACTCCAGCTTGAGGGCTCTCCTTAATGGCCAAGTCAAGGTCAATATAGTTAAGGCCTTGTTCAGCAGATGAGGTGGAGGCTTGTGGTGGAGGTGTGGCAGATAAACTAGCTGCCTGCCTGTTCTCCCACGGTGAGCAATCCAAACCGTGCCGATGGCTCGCTGCCTGGCTGCCCTCCGGGAAGAGGGAGGTAGAAGAGGGTGGGTGGCGTGGTAGGGAGGGAGGTGAGTTAAATGTGTCTGAGCGGTGGCTCTGCCGTCCCTGCGGGTCACCTCGGACCAATCTGCTGTTCCGCTCAGGAGACTGGAAGGACTTGACTGGGGAAAAACCCAAGGCTGTCTCCTGCTCCATGGATAAGGGTTGACCAGAGTGGACAGGCCTTGCTGAAATGCTGGGGCCTGAACCTTTGTTGTCCATAAATGGAGTAGGGGTGTCTGTTGGCATTGCTGCCATCTTTACTTTTGTTCTGTACCCAGCATTGCCCTCTGCCGCCAGAGAAGAAGACATGCCGTGTTCATGTCGGGCCTTGGGGGCAACAGCTGGTGGACCCTGTGGGGTGCTGAATGTGGATCTAAGAGGAGTCAGGGGCGTTGAGGTCTTCCCTAAGTCCATGCTCACGTATTCGGCAGAGGTGGACAAAGGAGCGGAGAAGCTGCGGGGAAGTACAGCAGGATTATCGTGGCAGAGGAGTGGTTGGTTTAATGGCCGGAGGGTTCCATGGATCACAGGTTGTCCATGTTTAGGCCCCACACGTCGTCCTCCATCATACTTATTGTCCTCCTTGTACACAATACTGACATACTCACCGACGTTTTGAGACACTGATGGCAGCAGATTCTCCTTCACCCTGGGCAGGGTGTTCGCTTTAGTAATGTCTGAAGACACACTGAGGGGACGACCCCTCCTTTGTTGCTTTGGGCTCTTACTACTTGATCCCCGTTTTTGATGGTGACGCCCATCTTTTGTGCATGTTCCCGCACTCTTGTAATCTGCTCCAGTTCTTAGTAAACTTAACCCTCTGCCTGCCGATATGGACTTGTCTTCCAGGCTTTCACTGCTGGCTGAGCTGGAGGAGAAAGAAGAGGAAGACATGGAGAGTTGACAGCCTCCTGCAGAGCCCACTGCAATTTTGTTTCTCTTGTTGTATCCCACTCCCCCTCCCCTTCCAGGACTATCGTGCCCACTGCTGTCCTTTTTTCCTTCCCCTTTGTTTAAGTCCTCCTCAAAGCGAGTATAGAGAGTATGTTGATAAGCTCGTGGCAGGGAGAAGTAGGAATTGAACATTTTTGGTTGCAGTTGGTGCTGCTCGGGGTGGGAAGGGGGTGTGCTGCAGGCAGAGCGACTGCAGACAGGTGAGATGTTCATGTAATCACTGGCAGCCCGGCTCTCCATGCTGGCCCTGCTATCCCACATGCCCAGTCCGTGCAAGTCTGTGGAGCTGCTACTATTGGGAGACATGACCATGTAGCCCTCTGAGCTGGGCTGGCGGATATGCTGAGGGGGGGACACACTGTTGTTGGGGGTCATGGCCATATACTCATCATCTGCCCCAGGTTTAGCACTGGCGTCTGACATACCTATCGAGAGAGAGAGTGAAACAGGAGGAGATGTCACTCCAGGCAACATTGACATATAGCCACTATCCACAGCTGCTCCTGCGTCCACTTCCCCCCTGCTTTTATCAGCCCTCTTCCTACTCTCCCCTACTACATCATGCTGCCCACCCCCAACAGCCAGAGCCCCTGAGCCACAGTGCAAATCAGCTCTCTCTCGGTTAGCATTCTGCGACATGATGGCATATTCTTCATCATCTTCGTCATCTTCATCTTTTCTGTGTGGGGTCAGTCGTTCATGTGCTGCCAACGGTAGGGAAGCCCTCTTGCTTAACAGTCTGCGTTCTGCCTCAGATTCCCTACTGGATGCGCGCCGCAGTATCCGTCTGCCTTTTGAGCGATGATGGGAACCGAGGAGACCCTCTCGCTGTCCCATCACTATATAGCTGGAAGAGCCTTCTCCATGTACATGATGTCCCGACAGACTGGGTACAAGCAGAGAGTGTTCCCCAGGACTGGAGCCATATTCATCTGAGGAGCCGTAGTCGCTCGGTGAACCTGAAACAGAAACTCGCTGAGAAACACGAGGGTAGGAGCAGATTGTCATTCCTCCCACCGCCGCCCCCACTAGGCCACACTCTGAACCATGACCAGAGCTAGAGGACAGGCTCGGCGCAGGAGAGGGAGCAGGATTAGGCGTGTAACGTGCAAGGCTGAGGGTAATCTTAGCAGGAGTTGGGGCCCTGGTGGGCTTGGGCCTCAGTGTTGGTGTAGTTGAGCAGGAACCATTAAGACTCGGGCTGGAGCTGGCCCATGTCCCTTTGGCACTTGCTCCGCCCTCCTCCGACCTGGCCCCTATGCTGGCAGTTCGTGCCCTCGGGAATCCGTGGCGTGATGTAGGTGACGTGCTTGTGCTGCTGCCTCCTGTTCCAGGAGTCTCTGTGCGGGCTCGTCTGGAGAAGCCCACCTGGCTTGGCGGCAGATTTGGATGATGGCGGCGGCTCGGGACACTGATGGGATTTGAAGCAGTACCACCTCCACACGACGTTCCCACAGACTGAGATTTACTGCGCTGACGGAACTCCTCACTTAGGGCCTTCATGGCCTCCAGCAGGGTCTCGTGCATGTTCTGAGCCACCACAGAGTCATCCACCTGCATCCAGAACTCTCCAGGGCCAGTAATCGCTGAGCGTCCCACCTCAATGAAGAAAAAATTCTCTGAATGGCCGCACCTGCGAACATTCATCAGCTGCAACACCACAGCTGCCACATCAGAGTTGAGTTTGACAAAGTTGACTGTTTTGTCAGTTAGGCACAGCCGGTAGATGCCAACTAAGTTCCTGGCATGTCCAAGACCTTTAGGCCAAACCTTGACCTGCCATACTTCCTTGAAGGTTGGAACAGGAGACGGAGAGCTACACTCGCCGCTACTGCCATAGTCTTCAGGAGTTTTACCTAGGAAAACAATGAAGAATAAATAAATAAAAACAATTAAGGCATTGAATGACTAAACACATCAAACATACATAAAAACACAGAAGCGGTTGAAACATTGATTAAAGCCAAAATAACAAACCAGCGTGGGTGACAATAGTAAGTCATATATATTGACATATATATATATTGACATATATTGTAAAATGAGATTTATTTTCTGGATTACCTTATTATGTTTCTCAGGTTTATTGAATTTGCATGAGTTAATTAATGGTCACTACATATATAAACATATTTGTATTCTGTTCTGCAATGTAGATAAAGAACTACACAAAATAGTAGTTTTAATACGGTAACTATCAACTTTAGAGTTAATGCAAAGAGTAACCAGCGTTGCATTATGTTTCCCTATCATTAGAAAACAGCTACATGCTGGAATCACTACTGTGTCTGCCAAGCAACTGTGCTGCTGCTAATTCATCACCATCACTGTTAAGATACAGCTCTGTTCATTAAGTCTTAGGAGGTACAGATTACATCTGCTGGAAAGCAACATGCTCAGTTGTGAAATAATGCATCATAATTCAGTTCAATGCCAATCACATGGCAAATTACGGAGAAATAATTGATTTGTTTGTGTGTGTGTGTGTGTGTGTGTGTGTGTGTGTGTGTGAGGGGGGGTTCTTGCCACACAGTCATGGTTATCTTCACTGAACAACTGTAGTGGTTTGCTCGCATCCTCAAGAAAAATATTAAACTGATTAGAGATGATCCCCCACGGGAATCACTATAACATATATATTAATGTGTTTCAAGCGCCATTTGTGCGTCCCTATGCACATTATGAGCCGGTACACAATAAAAGGAAATGTTTATTAAAAAAAACTATTTTTTTTATTGTGGCTCTCCCTGAGACACAATCTCAACAAAATGGGGGTCTGTACTCTAATGTGAATCTATTTGGGGTTCCACACAACATGACAACATTAAAGCTGGGCAAGCCCATCAGTCTCAACTAACTGAAATGCAAAACATAACAGGGAGGGTGGGTAGTGGTGCCCAGCTCCAGCATAAGGATAACAACGTAAACACGAGGATAACCAACAGAAACGCATTTTCCAGTGAGAGCGCACTGACGATGCCATCTCCTCCCTACCAGCAGCACCGTGTAACACAAATGTAGGTTAGGCGAACGGCAGTCGGAGCTGTGCAGAAAAACAAAAACACAGGCTGCAGCGGAGTGCACCACGATAGGCTACTACTATATGATGCATCCGTTGGATGGTTGCTATATGCCCACTGCGCCATGCAAAAATACACCGTCGTATGAAACGGGCTGCATTTAAGTCAGAGAGGCGATCATCTGTAAATCATTACATATAAATGTTATTTAAAGCATCGAATGATATTTAGCTGGCAGAACATGATCCGCAGGTTATAAGTGTATAAAAGCAACGCGCATTGAGATTGTGCAGCACAAACACAGCACATGCCGCCCATAGCGTGTTGGTCTACCACGTTCAGTCGGATCCACCTGCCTCTTGGTTAAAAACACACCGTCCAAATTGCGTCGCTCAGCCTGATTTATTCAAGTGCAATGGGTAAACTGGACCTTGGCATAAATATGCGAACAATCCGAGCCAGTGATGTGCAATGAACAATCGGGGAATGGCCGAGCCAAATAGTGTATGGAGAACAAACAGCCTACGGCAGGATAGGCCTGGTGCAGAAACAGGCAGCAGAAACCACATCACACTTTTCATATCTTACAGTTGCACTGGAGGTCCAGCATTGCTTGGTACCACTCATTTTGGATCTCCTCGCTGTCTGCAGCGATGGCAAAGCTCTCGCTGCGGGTATAAAGGACTATCATGTGCTTGTTCTTGGAATCTGCCCGCTTGTTGATGTTGAAGCAAGTCTCCAGGTTCAGGACTTTTTTGGGCACAGGTGATTTACTGCGGAATTTCTTCTCGTTCTCATAATACTCAAGTCGAGCAGGACCATGCTCCGAGGCCGCCCTCAGCACGAAGAATCGCCGGTGCATTGATTTATGCTTGCGGAGATAGCCGCTTTTCTGTACATCTTCATAGTTCTGCGGCTCGGCTGCTTGGTTCTCCATGGCCAAGGCAGGGGGATAAAAATAAAATAAAAATTACAAGCCAATAATCTTAGGAAAAAAATCAAGGTCCATGTGTACTCCCTATTAATCCATTGCAACTACATCCCTCGTCCTCCCCGCGTCCACAGTTAAGTGTCCAAGCATGTGTGCGAAGGCTCAGGATGGGAAAATCAGCCAAACCATGTTTTGGATCTGGTATCATACTGTGAATCCAGCAGCTGCAGGAGGATCCGCGCACCGAGCGTGCACAGCGTCCACCGCTACGCGTCCTGCAGCCCAGCCCAGTCCTGCCCGACCCAGTCCGACCACAGTGCAGTTCAGCTGCTTAAGGACGTCTCCTCCACCTGTCTGAGGTTGCCCACAGTCGGTCTATACCCACCACTATCAAGTCAGGTGGAATAAAAACTGAGCTTCCGGTGACGATTTTCAAAATATAACTCTACTATCTGCTTATCCGTTCCTGCACGTTTCCATCGCCTGTCGTGGTCAGGCACAAGGGAAATGGCGATCAGGACAAGCAAACAGTGGCACATGTTGTCTGTACCTTTTCCCACCGGCTCCTCAGCGCCGACATTTTTGTTCTGAGTCCAGGTTTTGTGTCAGTGTCTCCTGCAGGAGAATGAGAACTTGAGTTTCTCACCCAGTGAAAGTCAGCAATCCTGGGCGAAACAGATTTTTTTGTCACTTTTCTTCTTGCCTGTAGTCAAAAAGAAAAATTATAAGCAGGCTGCAATCAACTCTTTATTGACAAAGATGTTCTCCAAATCATCCAACACATTACTGCAACATTTAGTTCTCATCATCTTTTTGTCGCCACATTCCTGTATAAAAAGTGTATTCCAGTAACCCAATAACAGCTTTTAGCCTTATAAAGTCATGATTCAACAAGCCATCCTGAGTATTCGGCTGCGTGTTTTGTTGTGACCGCAAACAACCCAATATGCTTTAATTGTGAAAGACGATCTGCAATGTTTCCGGTCTCCCCCTGGCTCCCTCTGGCTGACTTGACGCAGCTTCTGCTAGACTGGCACCTCCAAGCCGGTGCCAGTCAAATGCCAGTGGGGCTTAAGAACTGATGAGGTGCACAGAGGAACACGGTGTTCAGCAGAGGAAGACTCCGCTTCTGATCACGTGGTCGATCAGACAGTTTATGTCATGTAATTCTGCATTTATTTTTGTGGATTTTTACCCCTTCTGACTGTAGACAGACAGCAGGAAACAACCGCAGAACAGACTGTTAGAGGGGTCAGGACTTATAGTACTGTTGAATTTCATGCAGCCATTAAATGCATGTGTGCAGATGTACAACGTATAGCCCATAGTCTACAGTACACGGTGGATACAGTGGGCATATGATAATACAATAACTCCCATAAAGGAACACTATTAGAGAGATTTATTAATGTCATTTTATATTATATTTATATTTATATTATTTATAGTGAGTAGTATTTAATTTAATGTAAATGATTTTCAACAAAAACGTGATCTGCTTCAAATTGATTACCATCAGCTGCAATAAATATCATGCTGAGTTTGTGATAACATACAGTGTTCTTTAATCCAATTAAAATATATGATAATGAGCATACAAGTAAAATAGGCTATATCCAACAACATATACAAATAAAATTGAATTGAATTGAATGTTGAGTTGATTGTCACATTGTCCTATAAGGTGCTTACCTGGATGGTTTTGAGCAGCAAAGACATGAATGGGAGCAGGATCGACCAACCTGCATTTCCCAGAGCACATAGTATGGTTTTAGTTATCTTTTTAATGTGTACTGTTTATATTGTGACCCATACATGCAGACAGAATAAGGCACTGAAGCATTGATGGCCTGAATTAATTTATATCCTCAGCAACAAACAACTACAGGACACAGTCTGTGGTTAAATCCAAGGGGTGTGATTGCACCACAAAAGTGCCAAAAAAGATTTGGCATAGCAACCTGTCAAACTGATCAAATTGTCCTCACAGCAACCTCTGTTAGTGGCAGAAATAAGAATTGCTTTTGAGCCGACATTGTCCTTGGGGCGCTGATATCACTTGTAGATATTCCTGCTAGCAGTGCAGACATGATCTGTTTTAACTCTGATTTGGATAATAACATTGAGTTCAATTGAAAGACAAGTTTGTGATGGCATTTAAAGATTCTTTTAAGAAGATCTCAGGACCTGAAGCCAAATCAAAATACCTTTATTTTGATCCAGAATCTGTGTTTTTACTGTTGGCTGGTGTTACTGTAAGATACACAGTGCAAGCTCGATGGAGGTTTCAGCATTCATTAAACACAATGCATCTAATTTACCATCATTTGCAATGTTCAGGATGAAACTGTGACAAAAACACTTAGAGGGTGTGTTTACGATGAGCAGCATATTGCACAGAAGTTGCATTATGTAAAGCCATCCTTACATTTCCATTGAATAGTCACACCAGTGAAAGACAGTCAAAACCAGCCCAGAGCTTGTTAGTGTCACTGTAACTTGGTTGGGGATTTATGTTGAAATGGTGAGGAAAGGCGTTACTATCTCTTATTCATAAGTGAGTAGAGTTTTAATGTTGTTGCCTTAGTAATGCTCTGCCCATTTACAACACTGCTATTTCAAAACTTAAAGCTTGTTATAATTGAAGCGTATTAATCAGATTTGACAGAAAAAAGCCACTCATTTAGAAATATCATGCTATAAATGGATTATCTGTCATCTACACTATGATTTACTAGCCTTTATTGAACTTTTGATTTAGTGACCACTTGTTTTAAATCATAATTTAGTGCGCTATCAGGGTACCATTCAGGAAAATCGCCTCAACACAGAGGTTGATACAGGAGTATAAGACAAACACAGGAAGACACAATCTTCACTAAAACCATAATTTATTTACAGAAACACACTGATATCACTTTTCAAAATGAACAATGGAATCCATTATGTATTGATGGGGTCTATCTATTTGGCAAATTGATTAAGAATCCAGAAAAATTCGGTCCTACCTATGCAATAGAATAACTCATTTTGTCCTTTAGATACCCAACGAAGAAACATTCAAACAGCTTCCCCCCATGTTCTTCATTTTGATTCAGAGTACGGCGATTCCTTTTCGTTGGGGATTTAATCATGCTTGAAGAGCCAGTGCTGCTAAACAGTTAATGGTGTGAAAGACTACACCACAAGCAAACTGATAATCAAGTCATCAGATTGTCCTTACACTGAGCTAACTGTGACAAGTCGCTGTACGTTAGAAGTGGTCAGCAGTGAGCTCCCAATGAAAAAATTTCCTCAGACTGAAAACTGTTGTCAGAGGAAAATCACATCCTGACATTGCCTGCCTATTGTTGCTTCAATATCAGTGCTGCGGCAGACAATTAGCAAGCCAACACAGAGTGAGTGAACAATGTATTTCAATGCACTGTGATAAAACCCTTTGTTTTGTTGATATCTCCTTTTGTGTCAGGGGTTTAGGGAACCCAAGCAGAAAAAAAACTCCACTAAAAAGTCCCTAACCCTGCACAGGACACAAAGACAAACTAACTATGTAGAAATGTACAGTATATACACATCCCCAGGCCAAAGACAAATGACTCAGAAGACTCTGCCCTCCACTTTGTCTATGCATGCACCCCCCCCACCATATGTTGTGTAAAATTCATCTAAGATCCCCTGGGGCTGGACATGGGAAGGACTTTGTGAACATTTGTTCCCAGAGGACCTTTAGATACAGACACTGATTGGGGCACAGAAAAGAAGATAAGGTATGGAAAACTCAGACACAGACACAGGCAGATATTTTCCTCTAGAACATGGCAATACACATGAAAAGGCTAAATCTGCTGAAGCACATATTGGAGATCATTTCAGTCAATTGACTCAATTGACATTCGGCATATCAGTGCAGAGCACATAAACTGTATGTCACAGAAATCAGGTCTTCCTATCGCTTTCCTGATAAGACCCCGTTGTACACACAGCATGCAGCATGTTCCAGTAATAGGCTACAGGCTATAGTGAAACTGCACTGTTGTTAGACAGCAATAGGTTGGAGTTGTTTGCATATCGCATAGGTCTTCTATGTTTTGGTAGAAAATCAGCAGTATGTTAAAAGCAATACACACATCATTAGAAACCAATATGCTTGCCATGAGCAATACACACATCATTAAAAATACATTTGTCAGTCTGTATTTTTATAATAACAATTGGATAATTGGAGCTGAGAAGTTAGATTCAAACAGTCAATCAACTCATACAGGCCTATTGCAGGAATAAAATATATTCTTAGGAGACCCAGTAGTAAGAAGAAATATGTTTTTAATCTATATTAATAATTAAATCTAATGTTAAATGAACAAACCAGATGTTTTGTTTGATATATTTTGACCAGTTTTGATAATATGGCCCATTCATCAAACGTGTGAATCTTCGCAGTATTGCTGCAACAAAAGCAAAATCACAGCTACCTCCGACCTGAGCTCTCAACCCTGACTGACCTATGCGGTTCTTTCCAGCTTAAATTATTGTGCAAATGTTTTAAATGTATTAATCCTGTGTTGTTGTAAAAGACTAATGCTCCTAAAGTGAGTACAGCACATTGTAGTCTATTATACCGAGGATGAATAGTTGAGCAGTATGCGGCATGTTCACGATAAAATCTCTCCAATATCTCTGCAAAGCCCAAAGATCAGTACAAATACATACAGTACATGAAGTTCACCAGTATAACACATGATACTGTGATCTTTTGTAGACACATTCATCACAATCCCTTCTTGTTAGGTGAGATTACTGTCCACTAAATTAACACCTGTTATCCACTCTTGATATTACGCTGTATGTTTATTTTCAATATACAGCAACTAATGAACAAATATAATATAGACTGTTGCCTCTTTTGGGCTCATTTTTGCATCTTGGAGTCAGCCTTTACTGTGGCCCCAATGTGTTAAAACTATGAATGAAGAGAATGATAATCTCCAAGATTATTTTAGTATAGAAATAATTTCAACAAATACAAAGAGTCTGAATCCTCATGTCACCCTGGATTTAAGTTTGAGAATAGCACAAATTATAGTAGATTGTGGTTGGACGTTGCAATGCTCGACTTTTCATTCGTACATGTCTGCGTATATTTTAACTGACACATTTCACTTTTCATTCTGGGACATCAGTAAAAAAACAAAACAACATCAGTCTAGCCCATCTTCTTCTGTCGATCCAGGAATTTCTGTCTTCTGTCAGTAGGTATCTCCTCTAAAGCGATACCGTGATTGCCTCCCCTGTAATAGGAAATACAGCTTTTTATGCACCATGACTTGAACCCATAGCAGAACACGATATACCCTTAATACAAATAGGTGATTTGATTACATTAAGATGTGCTGCAATAATCTAAAATGATACTGTATATACATAGTGCAAAGATTAAATCAGGCAAATCACATTTATGTGGCAGAGAAACCAAAACATTCTCTTACCCTTGAATGTCTGGAGGAATAGGCAGAGGCTTGGTGAAGTCGTCCCTTCCCACCAACCAAAATGTGTTCTCAATCCCTTTTCCCTAGTAATAAGAATCATTGCCATTCATTAGCTATTTTCATAATGTCAGTGCTACAGTAGGTATATTGCATATGTCCTGTGTATATTATAAAACATTTAAACATTTTACCTTTAACTCTGTCATTCCTCTGACTTGAATCTTGTATCCCAGCTGCAAGCTGTTCAGGATATCAACTGTGCTTTGGTTGACATGGATTCTGTAAGCTGTGATAGAAAATAAATCAACATCCTCACTGACATTACGATAATATTGGTACTCATGACAATCTTTAATGGCCTTTTTTAAGGTTAAAATTATTGCGTCTGAGAAATTTAGAAGGTGAGACTGCTGTTTTGGTATTAAGCCACTAGGTGGTAGTAGACTACTCATCATTGCTTTTCCCCCTAATGGCAAATATTCAGTATAGTCTAGTCATTCATAAACACATAATTGTTATTTTAGATTAAATAAATTAGAGTGAAACTGCCACTGACCTATTTAAATGTAAATAGTTTCATTACAGTACGATCGTCTGGGATCTGCACCACCATTCAAAGGTTTGGAATCACCTTCTTTCCTTCAATAATGGTTATATTCTCATTGATAAAACCAGAATAATTCTGACACTACAATAGTATTGGCCCCAATAGAAGAATAATTAATGATTAAAACTTCCATTTACTCAATGTCTCCACAGTGTTACATGACAGAGAGAGTACTGCTCCCCCAAAGTTTAGATTTTTAATGTATTTTCTAGTCCAGAAAAGGGTAACTGACCCTATTGGCCCTAGATAATTATCGAACCACAGTGGTATAACTGGGCTCTAAATATTTTGGGAACCTGTTTTTCTTTGGGCCCTCTGTAGTCTGCGGTCAGTGGTTAGACTGAACAGGATGAAACTGTGACAAAAACACTTAGAGGGTGTGTTTACGATGAGCAGCATATTGCACAGAAGTTGCATTATGTAAAGCCATCCTTACATTTCCATTGAATAGTCACACCAGTGAAAGACAGTCAAAACCAGCCCAGAGCTTGTTAGTGTCACTGTAACTTGGTTGGGGATTTATGTTGAAATGGTGAGGAAAGGCGTTACTATCTCTTATTCATAAGTGAGTAGAGTTTTAATGTTGTTGCCATTTGTCAGTCCATAGTATGTTCAGCTTATATTTAGTAGTGCTAATGTAGCTTTGCTAAAGCAACACGCCTGTTAATTCCAGGGTGTTATTAGCATTATTGTGCACTTGACACAGAAAAAGGAAAATGTTCCTGTTTAAATAAAATTTTTATACTAACCTCCAGTTTATTATATCCTTATTTAACTGTTGCTTAGAGGTATCTTTGTCTGTTTCTGAACCACTGTACAGCATTCATATAAAATGACATCTATTTCTACACTCTAAAGCCTGAAAGTTCAAATCAAAAATATACATTAAGTAGTCCCCTCAGTCATCTGATTGTACCCAATAAAGCTTACTAGTAGTTAATACTTACGTCTATACTTCATTTATAGAGCATGCCGAGTGTAGCTGAGGCAAACCTGGTCATTGACGACATTTACAGTGAAACTTCAAATTGGACTCTAATTCTGCTGATAGTCTTAAAGGATTAGAAAGGACTGCTCACTTAAAGCCCTGTTTAGCCTCAAGCAGCATGCACACAAACTACACACCATCCCAACTCTACTATGTAAAAAAACCCGATGACTAGAAAGAGCAAATTTTTCTCGTCTACAGAATGATATACAAGACACTCACGCAACCCTGTGGACTCCATTCTTGATGCTGTGTTGACGGTGTCTCCAAACAGACAGTACCGAGGCATCGTAAGGCCCACAACTCCTGCTACCACTGGGCCTGCAAAGACAGCATGCAAGGCCACACACATTTTAATGGGATGCCTCTCCTTGGCAAGCAATATCTTATGTCATAAATCATTTTTACATAACTTTGAAGAAACAGTTTCCAGTAACTTTTTCATAATCTCTGCACAATTATTTCCTCAATGCATTACATTAAAGCTGTGCACTACCACTTCTGTGTGCATAAAGAAATTCATAGAATAGAGTTAGAAATCCAGAGTATTCAGTGTGTTAATTGGATGACATGTACTCTAAGTGGATAGTATTTCACTGTTCCAGGAATAAGTTCCAGACAAGGATAAAGGCTGATAAAAATAACTCCTTGACTTAGCAGCTTGTGCTCCTGTATTCTTACTCCTCTGTATTAATTTTTATTCACTCTGAAAAGTAATTTATTTAATGTCATATTACACACGTTTGTGACTCTTAGGGCAAAGATTTACTACTGTATATCATAATTAGAGCATAGTTTAATCACAGCACAGAAAGGCGGAACATGTTGCTCACCAGAGTGCAGGCCAATACGGATCCTGACTTTGAGTTCAGGCATGTGCCTCATCTTGAAGGTCCCAATGCAATGGAGGATGTCAAGAGACATGTTGGCCATTTCAGCTGCATGACGGTTGCCGTTCCTAGTGGGGACTCCTGAGGCTACCATGTAAGCATCTCCGATAGTTTCCACCTAAATACCGTAAAAATAAGAGTTCAACACACACATACACTGTACAGTGTGGGATTTTTCTCTCACTAGTTCAACACTGTAAAATTTGAAAGTATGGAAGTACGGAGAACACAACAATTTTTTTATTTTGTATTATTAATGAATACATACGTATTATATTATATTCCATTTCTGCCAATCTCCTAAATGTTATACACTGGACCTTTAATGATTAGTGGATATTATGCATCAAAATATTTATTTTTTTCATATATTAAAATCTGATTCAGGAGCAACAGTAGCAATGTTTCAACAATACAAATCTAAAACTATTTTATTAAACAAATAAACAAATTAAATACAAGATTATCAGAATCAGGAACACAATCCCACAGCACTCACCTTGTAGACGTCATGCAATCCAATGATAGCATCAAAGAGTGTGTAGAGGTCATTGAGCAGGTCGACCACCTCGATGGGGTCACTGAGAGCTGAGATGGTGGTGAAGCCCACAATATCACTGAAGTACAGCGTGACCTCGCTGAAATGCTCGGGTTTGACAGGCTTGCCTGTCTTCAGTGCCTGGGCCACAGACCTGAAGGAGGAAGAGGACGGTCAACTAAAATTCATTTACAGTCCTTTTCTAATCCCTAATCTAATGATTTCAGGATTTCTTCCCAAACTGTTATTGTTGATTATTGCAAACAAGTGATGTGTATATATATAAAAAAAAAACATGAAGATACAGTCTACTCTGTGATGGTCTCCTCTCAATTCGCAGTGAACAGTTAAATGCAGAAGAGACACAAACAAATTACTGCATTCATATAACATAATTAAGATTCAATAAGAGTGTAAATTTTATATTGTGTAAAATCCTCAAGTTAGACAGGTCTGATCACACGCACACTATTGGCTTTTGCACCACATATATCCCACAGTTGTTGAAGCCGAACTTCAGGAATATTCTGGTGGCAAAGTTTGAGAAATGATGAAGAAGAATGAAGAAATATATTTTGACAATTTTGACAATGTTTGTATTTTCCTCCTCAAGAGTTTCGATTCGATAACAATCTCACATTTTCTCTGCAGCCTTCATTTAGCTGCATTTTGCACAGCTGGTCTGATCTCCACAGTTCCTGAGAAGTTTTGTTAAATCAATAAAAGACCTTCAAACCACTCCTGTATGACAGGGAGCAGGCACCCTGCTGAACTAAGCACTAAATCTCTTCCAGCTTCAAGGATGCTGTTTCTGATCTTTGACCTTCCTGAGGAAGTTAAATCAGAATCAGAATCAGAATCAGAATCAGAATCAGATTTATTGCCAGGTAGGTTTTTACACATACGAGGAATTTGTCTTGGTGCAATGGTGCATAAAATATACAATCACACAAAAATATACAAATCACACAAAAATCACACAAGAATAAAGTTCTTTTAAAATATAAATAAATATAGATAAGAAAGATAAGAAAACTTTACAGAAGACGGGAGTGCATTAATGTAATGCATATATACAGGGTGGGGCATCATTTATTCTATGGTATTTTTGCTGATGCTCTGTGAGCATGACACCAGTTTTATTATGTCTGTCATGTATCAATTAAAGTTGCTGGACACTCACTTGGGCAACATCTGAGCCACCAGTTTGTCAGTCTTCTGTCTCTCCACCTCCAGCTCCTCTGTCCTCTCTCTAATCAGATCCTCCAAGTTGGAGGAGTACTGCTCCAACATGCGCAGCATAGAGTCGATGATGTTGGTCTTCTTTCCCTTGGTGATGTTCTTGAACTGTCACATAAAAAGAAGGGAACAGAAATCTCCACCTAAATAAACATATAAGGAGGAGTAGATCCAGATCAAATTGTGTTTTTAGTGCTTTTACCTGTTTGAAGATCTCCTCAAAGGTCGGCCTCTTCTCCGGATCTTCACTCCAGGCCTGTTTAATAACTTGTATCACATCCAGCGGGGCCTCGTCCACTGACAGAACAGGCCGACACAATGGAGGAGGATCTCTGACCTTGCTAATAATCTCTGTCAACACACAGAAATGCACAAAAACAGATTATTTTAAACGACAAATTTGCCAAATAACTATAAATGTCACTGGTAATAAAAGCAGGCTCAGTGCAGCATTTTCAGCAATCATAGTATTTGTCATTTTCTTTTCAGCTTTACTTTTCAACTCTGTGTATGAGGTGAATTCATAGCATGCCATTATCACCACAGGTCGGTCATTGGCCTTTTACTCAGGTGGGAAACATAATTTGCCAAAAACATTTAAAACATAAATAAACTTTTTGCACATGGCTCCAATACCTTCTACTATTTAATTGTTTATTTTTATGTTTGGGGGTTAGTTACAGTTAGTAGTGCGGTATCACTCACCCTTGGCAGGCATATCCAGCATGCAGAAAGGTGAAGAGCGAGCGACGACCTCCTGCGAGACGATGGAAAAGCTGTAGACATCTGCATGGAAAGTGCCCCTCTTCCTCAGACTGGAATTTCGCAGCAGCTCAGGAGCCGTCCACAACAGATCTTTATTTCAAAAAGATGCACGATTAAAGAAAAACAAAAAAAATCGATGTATGTCACTGGATTAGATTGTGGATGCACATGAACTCACCCTCAGGCTTTTCCTCATCAATGTCAAAGTTTTCGGCAATCAAAATTTCATTGAACCCATAATCAGTCACCTTCAATACAAAGCGCCCGTCTACCACACAGTTACGGGATTTGAGCCGTCCATGGATGATGTCACGATTGTGCAGGTACTTCATTCCCTAATAACAGTTTGGGGGAAATGTGTGAGTGGTGAAAAACATGACAAAGTGGGAAATGAAACAAGGGTAGGTAATTTTGTCTCTCTTACTCGAATTAGATCCATTATCAGGGAAGACTTGAACATCCAGTCAAGGCGCACTTCCTCATTGCTGAGCAGATCCTCCAAGCTGCCCCTGGAGCAGTGCTCGGTCACAATACCAAAGATCCCAGAGTCAACGAAGAGTCCCAAGAACAGATTGAGGTTCTCGTGCCTCATGTCTCTGAGCTGATAGGAAGACAAAGGAAACATCAAGGCTGTGACCAATCAGGTTTGTGTGGTGGATGTATATTTTTTGTTTCGGTGCAGTCAGCCATTTTGCTGTTTCTTTAGATTCAAAATAAGATGGCAATAAATCAATGTGTAGTCACAGAAAAAGACCAGTCTGTATTTGGGGTTTTCTAGGAAAAATAGAGTTGTTTTAATAATGAAAGACGTGTCCACACACTCACTTACCTTGACAAAGACACACTCAGTGCTGCTGTTGACACTTGATACTCCACTGGGGCATTTCTTCAACCAAACCCAGTCACCCTGGGATGAACACACAATCACAAAGTCTTTGTGAAACCCAAAACATCCAAAGGCATGGGTAAAACAGGAGTTTATTGAATGCATGAAAACAGACTGGGTTCACCTCAAACACAGCAATATTTGAGCTGTCTGGTGTTGAGGCCAAATAGCTGCGACCGGACACCGAGTGGTGAGGCGTCTTGATATCCACCTGGCTTCTCAAGATACTTTCGTCGTTGATCTTCTGCTCACACACACAGTTCAAAGAGAATGGGTCAACTTCGATTAGATCATCTTTTACAGTTAAACAACTTTCATGCATCACATACTTGCAAAGAAGAGAGAGGGAAACCACAGCGAAATACTGTGAGTGTTGTGAGTGATTCAGCACACAACTGACCCGTTTGCTGAGTTGAGTGCTGATGAAGACCAGGTCATCCAGGGTCAGGACTACTTTTGTTGATCCACTTCCACCAATACCTCCAAAGCTGAACCCAACCCTGCCATTTTTCCTGCACAGACAAACAAAGATAAAAGATAATAAAATAATATTTTTTTAAAAATCACGCTCAACTGAACTGGATGAGATATAATTCTTTGATATTCTACTGTACATACTTGAACACAATAACGAAGTTGGCTACACATCCAACCAATCCAATGAACACAAAGAAAAGAAAGAGGAGAGAGACTGAATCCAAGCCTATAAGAAGAGAAGAAAAAACACAGAGACAGAATTTGAATGAACTGAATTCAGCAATGACCACCGTACCAGCTTATGCTTATTTCCTGCAATGACACTACTAATGCACTCACCTCCAGTGCAGGCAAAGTATGGGCTAAACCAGCAGCCAGAGTCTGAGTAGGGCGTGCTGCCTGCAAAATGGATCGAACGACTGAGGTATTTCAATCCCCCAGTCATGCCATCTGTATGAGGAGCCGCCAGAGTATGAGTGGAGTAGAGAGAGGTGCCCATGCCACTGTAGTCCAGCACTACATAGCCAGCCTGCATGCCTTTACCGTTCCTACCGGCCCCCACATGCTGATTGAAGCCCTCAAAATCAAAGCCGCCCTCGCTGTCACCTAGGATCTGACCAGTCACCCACTGGCCTCCATTGGAGCGGGCCTGCTCAGCAGCCATAGCAATGTAGTACATCATGTTATAGATGGTGCCAAAGAACGGAGAAACCTAACAAAAGAGACAGTGATGTTAGGATCTTGACTGAATTCCAATTTTTTCATAAGTGGTTGTATTTTTCCTCTTCTTCCAGATTTGTCATCTTTTTCTATCCATTATCACAATACAATAGAGAGTCTCACCTGCTCTGGTGGAATGGTGCTGCGAATTTCATATCTGTCCTGAGCATCTTTGAAGGCCTCATAGAAATTGCGTTCTCCAGAGTCCATAGTGATGGTGAGGACCCCGTCAAAGGCATTCCGCAGCTTGGTGTCATTGCCTAGTGAATAGTAGTGTGCATCCTTGTAGGGTAGTGCGTAGAGGAGGGTGTCATAGGGAATGAACACGTAGCCACGGTCAATCATACGCATGGCCAAGGCTGTTGTCAGAAGTTGGTACTGGGATTGGCCACCAATCAGGACAGAAGGCATGCACATAATGACCACTGTGGAGAGAGCGAGGAGGGATTACTCACTCATTCACGTGGAATAAAACAGTGTGGGTGTTGTTATAATGCTATTATGCATTATTTGTTTTTTGGTTGTTTCAATCATCTTTACATCTACAACTCACCTCTGACGCGGTCTGCTTCCCGTACTATGCTCAGGGCTCTCCGAGCCCCGTCCTTGTCATCCCGCATAGTGACCACAGGGTTGACAGGCAGGCCAAGGGCCCTGAGTGATGAGGCCAGCTCCTGTCCTGTGGATTCCCACAAATCTGTCTCCTCTGAGATTATGGCCACATGGGCCCAATGAAAGTACCGCAACACAGTGAAGAGCACATGGGAGGACAGTGGCAGCGGTCGCAGGAAGGTGGGGTACATCCCTCCTTTTTTAATGTTGGGGTTGAGGCAACCCCAGGAAAGAATCCCAAGATCCCACTCTTTTGCATACAAAGCAGCTGATGAGCAATAGCCTGGGTTGGCAGGGCCCAGGAAAGCAGCACCATAACCTTTCAGGTCAGAAAAGCGAGCAAGGGCACGGGAGGACTTGCAGTCCTCATTGATTAGTGTGTAGTCATACCAGTAGCCTTTGTTGAGATAGGGGTCATTGTTAATGCGGGTGGTGGCGAGTCGGGCTGCCAAGTCAGGGAGGGATTTGGAATACAAGAGGTCACACGTCCAGGGTCCAACCAGGGCCACCTTGAATGTGGTCGCCCAGGCTTGACAGGGCAGAAATGAGACCATGAGTAAGGGCAGAAGAAACCAGTTCCCCCACCAGCTTTTGGAGCGTTGCACTGGGGATGATGGCAACTGTGGTTTTGATGACAATGATCTTGATGACAATGATGATGAAGCTGCTAATGATTTAAACAGACTATATTCACTGCAACTGTTCGTAGCCGCTGTCCACATATGTCTTTTTCTCTTCACTTTTATTGAGTCGTGCTGCCATCGTGGGTGGTAGGACAGGTTGTGCAGAAAGCGAGGGTCCCTGTGACTTGCCATTTCCTCACACGACTATTCTGATGCCTCAGACACAGAGGAGTGGAGAGTTTATGGTGTCTAGCGTGACTGTGAGTGTGTTTTTGAGGATAGGACTGTCTCCCTTGGCACCCTAGTCCAAAGCTGGACAGGTGATGTGACAACCCCAAGCCATCATTCCCTTAAGAAAATAAGAAAAAAAAAGGTGGAAAGAATTAGAAAGTTAGTAGCCTTACAACTCAGTGTGATCTGTTTTTCTGTTGTTCTGCGAAACCTCAGGCCTTAAACAGTCTCCAGAATACAGATATGATCTCTGACCTGAACTTGCATCTTGCTGAGCTGTTTTGTTTAACAGAATGTGATGTTGAATCTTATCAGCATCCATCTGTCTCACCAAGGACATGACGCCCAGAGTGCCAGCGCTGTTGCTTGGAGAATTAATGGCATGTGTGTGGCAAGCTGATTAGCTCTGCCAGGGCCACAGAGTTTTAAAAAATCAAGTGCCAGATAACGTGTGGCTAAATCTGTCCTAGATGTCTCTATATGGTGTTGGTATTTCTTTTCCCTTCTAAAGTCAATCTGTTGAGATCTTCTAAGCCAAATATTTGTGGACAATTCCTCTTCTTTAACACTAAGCCCCCCCCTCAGATTTTTGAAACCAGCATCTAAGTGTGTATTAGCTGGTAGAAATAGCTCAAGATTAAATGATAGCATAATAGAATTTAAACTGGTGTTTCAAGTTGATTTGGACAGGCCCTATTAATCTTCATTGATAAACTGAATTTAGAGACTTAGTTACTAAAAGACAAAGGACACTGAAAGACTAACTGAAATTATAAAATTAATTTGTTGCATTTTTGTGTACAAATCAACCACTGTCTCTTCTAAACTGGACTAACTTCTGAAATATTAAAGACTGGGCTGCTAGGACCATAATCTTCTGTTTTCCTCAATGTTACCACCGAAAAAGTTCCTGATCTACTGTAACCCTGGAAATGTACATGATTTTAAGTTTCTAAAAACCTACTTTTAAATTCTGTTTGTAGCTAATGAACAAACACAGCTGATATTTTAGTCAGTGATCAAAAGTAAACTTTTTAAGCTGAGCAATGTGCTGGTGGTGAGGAGAATTTTAACTGCAGTTGTTAAAATTTAGAGAATTGCTTATTAAGTATATGGAAGCTCAGCTTGAAAGAAATAAACATGTTCCACCAATTCAATATTGGCTCATCAAGATAGTTAAAAGAAACTGCACAGCTTAGAGAATTAGTATTACCTTTGGTCTAACAACTGTGGATGAAAAAAATGACCATCTTGTGCTTATGTTTATATAAAACCCAACTGAGTGGATTGTATTAGATATTTCAGGGTTTAAAAATCTGATGATATATGGACTGATACGTTTTCTTTTACGGGAACACATAACAAGCATACAGATGCCTTTCATTTGTTTATGTTTTTTTAAATAATTATAACAAAGACACATAGTAAGGGAGAATAGATATCAAACAGTTAAAAAATCTATTTGTGAGTGCTCTCTGGTGGACAAACTATGTAATACTCACACTTGCTAAATTACGTCAAGTTTAGTTTAGCATTTTTGTTCTGCAATTTCTGGTTACTTATCGTCTGACATAAACACTGGTGCCAATTAATACTTGCATTAAGATAATGTCGGCCCATGAAATGGCCTGGATTGGTCTATCTCTAGTTTATATTTACAGGACACCTATTTTAGATTAACTCTTACATGTAAACCACCTGTGGCTTTCAGTGGTTCAGAAATTTCACTTTAAAAGCACAAAATGAGAGTTTGATTTCTTTCCTTGTCTTCAAGCTGCAATGCAGCAAGCAAGAGGCAACCAGCAAGCCTTCTAAAGTGGCTAATACTGACATTGGCTTATCAGTTGCTAATAGGTTAAGACAAGCACTGGCTAATGTCCTGGCCTTATTCTTATTAAGTGCAACTGAAAAGAAGAAATAGGTCAAATTATGTTAACTCCCAAAATCATTCTTACATTTCATATATAGGGCAATTTTCTAAACGTCTATGACACATTTATACAATGCTTGGTGTTCCAGCAGTTCCTGGAGAAGCTCTGCTGCAAACAGATTTAGTGATGGATGAATTATTCACATTAACAAAACCATTACCCTCAACAGTGGCAAATCAATGAAACAGATTTAATAAGAGGCGATACTGACCTGGAGCAGCTTTTCTACATGTCAGTGTTGGAGCCTGTCGTTGAATAGCACCATCCACTTGCAGGTGGATTAAGTATACAGAAGTATACAGCAGGAAAAAGTATATTTGTCCTATTATTGGGAAAAAATATCATAGGTAATCCAAACAGCATGGAAAGTAAAAAAAAAAAAAAAGTAGATAAATCAAATTATCTCCTCTTGTATCCAGCTTCCATAAAGACGATAGTGAAATCTCCACATTTCCAGTAGTTCAGTCTTTCTTGCTGTCCCTGTTTTGGACTGACCCCAAACCACAGAGCAAGGGACTACGCGTGAGAAGAGTTGCAACCCTGATGCAGAGTTTGGACTGGTAAAAAAATGTAATTGGCAGATCGCTGGGGAGAGGTAACAGGTAACAGAATGGGAAGAGTGGGAAGGACTGGCAAGCTTTGACTTCTTAGCCCTCTTTAGCTTTTAATCCATAGTGTGGGAAGAGTGTGTGTGTGGGGGAGGGCTGGAGGAGATGAAAAAGAAGGTGAAAGTTAATGCTGGCACTGATAGCCTAGAAATGTGTACATGTTCACCAGTTTTAAAATAACCTTAAACAAACCTTGAGCATTGTAAGACTGTTTAGCCGATGGATTCAACTACTATTTTAATATTCAGAACTGGAAAGACTTGTGATAAAAATGGCAACCAGCACTGAGCTTGGGCTGATATACTGTTCCTCCTCTCACCTCCACCTGTTTGAAATGAAGGATGAGTCACAGCTCAGAACTGCTGTTAAATGAAAAGAGGAGTTCCTCAGATCACAAATCCGCTGTCCTATTTATTTGGAAAACAGGTCTACAAAAAGGATAAGATCTTGTGCAGAGCTAATTTATTTACTTTGCCTTTGAATGAAAGATGGGTTCACTGTCCTTATCAAAGTGTTGCTTTCCATCATTGCTCATCATTAATAGTGACAAACTCCCAACAGCTATAAATGTTCCCAAAGCCAAAAAAATGTATTGATTAACAAGATTACTCACACAAAGCAGAACTAAGAAAACCTTTGCAGGGTTAATGATCACATGCTTATCACCAAGGGTTACTTTAAATTATATAATTGTGTGTAATGACCTGGGACTTGAAGCTGGTACAGTGATTAAGGTGCCTGCGTCTGTAGCCTTTCATGACCTTCTTGCTGCAGTTCAAATCCTTCTGAGACCATCACTCATGCTCTTTCCAGTGCCCCCCTAATCTTACTACAGTAGTTAAAGAATGAAATTTAGGATGGCTCAAACACCAATAAAAAGTCTTTCGTATTTCCCATAATTTAGCCAACTACAGCTTGGATTAAAACATCATGATTTCCTCAATAATCAATGCTAAATGATAACTTTTGTTTAATAAATTTTGTCAAGGTATCTTTAACATGTCCCACTTCCTTCACATTAGCTGAAGCTTCATGCCCCTGATGACATCTTTGCAGCCTCCCTCCCTTCCTGAGGTCAGGCTTTAAATTCCGGACAAGATAATAATCACAGAGCATCTAACATACAGGGAGCAATGCTAATAAAAGCAAAGGAACTATGTGAGCTGGAGCCGAAGGACAAAAATATCTTGTGGTAAGCCACTGAAAGTCTGCTCTTGCTCTCTTGACCTGGCAGCATGTACACTTCGCTGCAGCACTACAGCTGGAATTTAATCCTTTGGTAGGGAAGGTAAACGTTTAAATATAAAGATGCTCATAAACGATACTAGCAAACACATTCTCCATGACTTTGGTGGCCTCTGCTGAGCTTTAGGAATAGGAAGATGGTCCCTTGCATATGGAAGTGTGACGATGTGTTTGTTCTTGTTTGCCCTGTCTTGCACATTGATAGAAGCCTTGTTGAAGTAATCAGATTAGACAGGTGAGGCTGTGCTAAACTGATCTGCTGCCTGCAAGCCTCTTAGTGACATGGCTAACAGTACTGACAGAGATCACTTCAAAGCAAGGTCAGACATAGAACCAGCCCCAGTTGACAACCAGTTTGCTGCAAAGGAAGCAGCACTGCACAATACTGACAGGTGGATAGCAGCACTTCTCACCTGTGGTTTTCTTTTTATTTAGCCCTAAATGTTGTCATATAAATATAACAGTCATATAGGCAAGGCATGTAAAGTAGTATTGAGAGTTTGACTTCACATGACTTTCAAGGCTTGACCATCAATTGGTACATCATACTTGGAATTCTTTAATTTCTCCAGTGACTGAAAAGAAAACTCCTGTGGGAGGAGTGACAGAGAGGCTTAGACATTGGCCTCCTCTGCCAACCCTCTTAATCGATCAGGTGAATTAATTTGGCCACCTTCCACAGCTGACATCACATCTTTCGAGGGTCAAGGGTTAGGAGCTGTAGGAAAGAAGGGAAACTCCCATGAATAGCATTTGAGAGGGTAGGGGATCATGCGTATGGTCGTGTGTGTATATGTGTGTATCTGTCCACAGTTAATTTGATATACAACTGGACTCATGAGCCTCTTATTTTTTGCGCAGATTTATATTTATTATATATGATTAAGGTCTTCTAATGGTCGCAGTCATTCACTATTTTTGAATTACCTATTTTATTGTCTGCTCTCTTTTATACTGCCATTGACTGCTGACGCCTCGCTCCTCTTAACCTGCCAGTAGGGGCTGCGAGTGATCCACAACTGCTTCAGTCTGGAATCTTACTTCCGCTATAGGGCCAACGTACATCGCTCTTCTAGTTAAAAATGTGTGTTAGGTAATAGGGAGCCTCTTGTTGCTGTTCTTTAAATGCATTTTGCCCCCACAGTGGTCTATAAAATAGTAAAGTGAACAATAAAGTAGAAGTAAATGTGTGTTTTTTGGATGTGGGGACTGAATTATGCAGATGGTGGCTTCATCACTACCTTATATTCAGTGTATGAAGCTTAACAAGTTGTATTTTCTAAATCTCATTCTGAGTTACAAAAAAGTTTTGAAAAAGATAAAAGCTATTCTGTCTTCCCCACCACTTACATCCTCAAGACACTTCTAAAACACTGACATACTTTCCCCTCTGATCCAGCTTCAGCCCAGCAATTTTTAGCTCCTCTGATGGGTTTTTAGACATCCAAGATCAGGCAGAAGTTTTCCTGTGAAAAATATTATTTATTTGTTAAAATGTGGATGTCATAAGATTCATAAAGGTAAAACTATATGCATGCTGTGAGTGCTTTCAGATGCAATGATGTGAACTATCCTGTTGCCTGTCATTTCAAAGTTTTTCTCCTCTCTACGGTTCCAGGTCATTGGACACAATGAATTGCCAAGATAAGGAGATATGGAAAGAAAGATATGGCAAAGGGAGCTTTTTTAATTGACACTTAATCCTACTGGCAACTATATATGTTTTTTTCTATCAGCTTAAACACATTGAGGCTTCCAGCACCTTAGCAGCCGGGAACAGAAGTTGTCATCCTGACTATGTGGTTTTCAATATAGATAAAGGTAAATATCAAACAACAAAATCTTACACATGAATGATTACATTTGCATGTTATTGAGTCTCAACTGCTCCAGCTGTGGCCTGTTAGGAGGCTGCAGTACCCTCTGGTGGTTGATGGCGTTACAAGGAGGTGTTAGAGAGGACTTCTCATACAGTTGAGATATTGTTTTCCTTCTGTTATGTAATAATAATAATAACTCTCTCCAAGTTAATTTGTCCTATGTCTCTTATTTTATTCACGTTGTTCAGTGTTCAAGGTTAAAAAATAAAGGCTCCAGCACTAGGGCAGAGATTTTACACAGTTTGTGAGTGCGGCTCTAATTAAACTTGCACAGTGACAGTGAACCACAATCATTTATCAGAGAAATACAGTAAAGTGTTTATCTTTCATGACAAGCAGCTTTTTCTCATCATTTGGATCACAGGGCTGTATATGTATGCACAACCGGAAATTTGTCAGAATCATTATCACTCAGACATTTAATCCAGAGCATTTTTTGCCGTTTATCTATGTACAGAAACTGCTTTTACATGAGTGGGTAGGACTGTTTCTGCTGACAGATTGTAACTGCAGCAAAGACTTATCAGCTGAAAGAAATATTGTGTCACGTTCACAACTACGTTATTGTTTTTATCTCCTTTGCAGTTACTGGAGGAGTCATAGGTTTGTTTTGAGCATTTGTGATTAGATGCTAGTGCTATACGTGAGTTATTTGACTGATTGTGCTGTTGTGACCCCATGAAATTTTACACTCCACCTTACTTATCATTGAAAGTTGTATAATGTCATGGCTATTGTGGGAGCCTGAGAAAATAACCCTGATGATGTCATAGCAATGTCATCAGTGTTATATCAGTTTAGGCCAGGAGACTAGAAATTCATACGATAAAGTCTGTGTTACAGACTGAAGGTATGGAGTTTAAAAGATGTGGGAATTTATTAAGCAAAGTTTAACAAAAAACACTGTCAATTTACATTATGGGAACTGTACGATAATGATTATTATTTCTAAATTCTGTCTGCTGTGAATCACGCAGCTTTATTGAAGTGAAATACTAGATAGCTGGAGTATTCCTTTAAGATAGCATTTCAATTTCTAATATGCATTCAAGAATACTGGAGGAGCACAACCAGCCAGTAGAAATCGCTCTCACTTTCCTTTCTTTACTTACAAAATGTTTTAATGATAAGCTGAGGGAGACAAGCATCTTTTTCCAGGTCATGCAAGTTACAATTACACAATTACTGTACAGGACATCTTAGATAAAGCTCTTTGACATGTAAACAAAGATTTAAGGGATCATATTTTCTTTTTCTGTCAGCAGCCTTGAACAGTTAATTTTCAAATTTGTCTTGTATCATCAGAGGTTGCATTTAATTGTAATTTGGTGTTTTTAGTTGATTTTTAAAACAATGGTATTATTCTTACGGAATGGCCTGCAACTAGAAAAGCACAATCGTCAACAAATATTTAAGTAGTCATTTAAGTAACATTTCTGAGATGATCCTGAGTATCTTCTAGAAGCTTTAATAATCAGCTGCAGTAGCATTGAGGTAGCTATTTCTGCAAGATTATTAGACAGTTCAGTATGCAGGGAGTTTGTAAGATTCATGTACATCACGTGGTTCCAGGGGTGTTGCCCAACCTCACCCTGATGACAGCAGTGACACAGTGAGGGGTGGAGCAGTGTGGGAGGAGCACAGTAAAACATTTTCATTTCCTCTAATATAAAATTAGGATTAACCACCTTTTAAACCTTTTTCCATCAAGCTACGATCCTGTTTGGTCTGGGGCTCTACTGCAAAATGTCAGTCACTGAAATGCTGGTCATCGTTGGGGGATTTACTGTTGTCTTCCACCTGCTGAAACTGACCTGGAGATGTTGGTGTGGATTCAGAGAGTTTGTTTTGTCAGAGCTTTGGCAAGTTGATTTAAGGACATGTGGGCAATGGGCAGGTAACATCAAAGGAAATGTACTTTATGCTTTTATGGCAAAAAAAATGTGTGTGTGTGTGTGTGTGTGTGTGTGTGTGTGTGTGTGTGTGTGTGTGTGTGTGTGTGTGTGTGTGTGTGGTCAATTGCAAATTGGAACGTGCAGTTTTGAAACGGGTGATGCAGATCTTATTAAAGACTGTAAGTTATTGAACAGTGGAGTGCAGAAAGCTGAGGTTTGGGAATATTTGGATTTTGTTGCATTAGTTTCCAGCACAGACCAGACTTCCTTTCTGTGAAGACAGATTGATAAGGTGCTTGATAAGCTGTTCACATTCCTACTTGATGGGACATTTCCGTGTTATTGCCTGCAAACATTTAAATTTTTGCAGACACACACAAACTTCAATTTAAGTTTTAACTCAAGTTGTTTTTGTTTCTAACGTAAGCCAATTTTCTCAACAGTATACACCAAAGAAAAAGCATCTTTTCTGTGTCTGTATGATTTTATCCACATTCTGTAGCAGGGGGTGTTTTCTCTGTCTAAGCAACAGGGGATGTGCCTTTCTCTGAAGTATTACCACTCACAGCTCAGAATTGGCCTTTGGTTCTGGTTTATACTTGGACAATTTAAAAACAACAACTTTGAAAGGCAATTTTTAGCTATGCAGACTGTTTGAAATGTAGAAATGTGTGAAATATTTGTGCAAAATTGACAATTTAGAACTGCAGAATTTGTGTATTTTTGTAGAACTGGTTGAATAGTGGTTGGCAAATTACTCTCAGCTTGTGGTCACTGTGTCAAACGTTCTAGTGTTAGTGTTTTAACGCCAGAGGAAACAAAGGGACAGGTTTTAATAATCTTAATATAGGGGATTCTTCTGACATGTCTGTGTTTTCTCCTTTGTACAGTTGTCACTGGTGCCACATCTGGCATTGGTAAAGCTTATGCCAGTGAGGTGAGTCTCCACCCTCCTTGTACAACAATTGCTTCAGATTCACAAGTGCAGAATATCCTTGTTGGTAAACAAAACCACTAAACCTGTCTGTCTGCATGTCTCCTCCTAGCTGGCAAGAAGAGGCCTGGATGTTGTTTTGGTGAGCAGATCCGGTGATAAGCTTCAAATGGTTGCCAAAGAGATAGGTGAGTGAAATTAAAATAATACTGGTGCACTACTGCTGTTTAAAAACCCATCTGTCTTTCAATGCCAAACTCTTAATAAGACCTAATCCAAAATATTCTTGGTCTCCTTCAGAGGATCAACACGGACGAAGAACTCGCACCATACAAGTGGACTTCACAGACGGCCACAGAATCTACTCTGCTATTGCTAAAAAACTACAGGGACTGGAGATTGGAATTCTGGGTAATGAGACAACCAATTACAGGCCAAGGAAAATCCCTAGAAAGTTATACAGATCAGTAGCGTTAAAGCAATTCTTCTAAAAAACTTTGATGAAGAAAAGTCCAGCAGCTGAAGAGGGGACCAATCAACACATTACAGGAAGTGATTATGACAGTGGCTCTGTCTGGTTAAAGGAATAGTTCAACGTTTTGGGAAATACTCAGTCTTTTTGAGAGTTACATAAGGAAAACAATACCACTGTCATGTCTATATGATAAATATAAAGCTACAGCCAGCAACCAGTTAGCCTAGCTTAGCATAAAGACCATAAATAGGGGGAACGGCTAACCTGGCTGTAACAAAAATCAGCACCTCTAAAGCTCAGTTATTATCTTGTTTTTTGTTTTGTTCTTTATCCAGAGAAAACAACAACACAACGAGTAAAGCTCCGTTTGCCCGTGCCTTTCTAGTGTCTCTGCTGGTTACCTAGCAACCAGACTCGACAACAATACTCTAGCAAGTCACTGCTAGTCCAGTTATAGCCCCTTCCTGACATAACCCCCCATGAGCTGTAGAGTAGCTGGTAGGTGGAGTTTGTTACCTTCGGACAATGCTAGGTTAACTTTTTCCCCTGCTTCCAGTCTTTGTGCTAAGCTAAGCTAACAACCTCCCGGCTGTAGCTTCATATTTATCGTACACACATGAGAATGATATCAATCCTCTCATCTATCTGAACAAAACAGCAAAAATGTGTATTTCCAAAGTATCAAACTATTTCTGTAGAGGCTTATTGATAAATAAAATTCCTCCTGAACCCTGGCTGACCTAAATTAGCAATGCAAAATGTATGACAAGCCAAATAGTTGAAGGGGAAAGGAACAGATTCAATAGTTAAAGATTGACATAAGACAAATGCTTATTAACAAAGGTTGTTTGTGTCTCTGTAACCCACACAGTAAACAATGTAGGAATGACCTATTCTGATCATTTCGCCTATTTCCTGGAAGTACCAGATGCTGAACAGGTGAGTTTTGCACTTTAAATGTCAATACACTGGATTATTTATTTCTGCTAACTCAGGCAGTTAGAGGTCATGTTTGTCTCTGATTTCTCTCTCACATTGCCAACATGTCTCTCACATAGTTTCCTTGTGTGTTTACTCTGACAGAAAATCACTCAGATTGTCAACTGTAACATGCTGTCTGTCCCTCAAGTAAGATATCAATGAGTGTTTACTGTATGGTTGTGTGTTCGTGAGCTTTTAAGGTTCAGGGATCTGCATTCACCTTTTCCACTGAACACAGTTTTGTTTTTGGTTAATGCATAAAAAAAACCGCTGATTTATATTTTCTTCACTCAGATGACCAGACTGATTCTTCCAGGCATGGTTAAAAGGTATCACCAACATCCAGAAGTTAATGATCAATATGAAGTAATGAGAATATAGGATGAATTTATGGATGTTTGTCTTCCATCACTTTCCTAGAGGGACAGGGCTGATCATTAACATCTCCTCTGAAGTGGGTGTCCATCCACAGCCTTTGTTGTCCCTTTATTCCGCCACTAAGGTACTTTCTCATCCAGATGTTCTGTTAATTACGTCCACACATCCATTCAAACACACACTGACCACATTCACTGATCAGTGCACGGCTTCATGACACCCATTGGTCTGCTTGTTTTGTGACTTTGACTCTCTTCTTTATTTCAGATCTTTGTAACATATTTTTCTCAGTGTCTCCATGCTGAGTACAAGTCAAAGGGAATTATTGTTCAGGTAAAGTATTTCAATTCCAAAACTGAGCTAATTCACATGTAGTCAATCTGCATTACATTTCATAAACCGTCCACTGAGGAAGTTAATTTTACTATTATTTAGTCCTAAAAAGTTTATGTTCTTAAAACAAGATATAATTTCAACCTGTTCCTAAAAGAAAACAACAGAAGATTTGTTTTGAAATAAATGTCATAAATGAAGAAGAAAAAATAATACAGATTACTCAAATAGAATTAAGAAAAATGGATACTTGATTCTTTGATTAAAAAAAATATTGTAATAGGTTGAAATGATTTAATTGTACTGACTTGTTTGCTCCTTTCTTTGACCTATTTTACAGTAAGAGTCAATAATAGAAAAAAGTGAGCAGGGCCATTTTACAGTTGAAAAACAAACATGCCAGTGCTCTCTAGTGGACAAACTATGTAATAGAGACACTTCCTAATGGGCTCAAACATATTTATTAACATTTTCTACTGCAACTACTTGATTGATGATTGGCTTGATTAGCTGATATCAGCAAATTTATTGGCCTGAGCAATTCATCAGTGTAGCTCGAAATCACGGATAGGCACAGTATAACACTTAATAAGATGATAAACACAGTGAGGACAATCTTATACTTGTGTGTGTACTTAGATTATAGATTGTTTACATGAGGATATCACATATAATGCACAAGACTAAGATCATATATATATATATATATTTGAGGTTGCAGTCAAAGACTAATTTGAACAGTGTGCTTTTATTAGTTGAATAAACATGCAGCTTATAAAATTAACCTTTGCCCCCTGCTGTTTTGCTGCTTGTGAAGTCTCTGTGGTGTTTTTGCTCACATTGAAAATCACTTTAAAAGCGATGATGGAAAGTTTCAAAGTTCAACCTGTCCAACCAGAATACATCTTTCCCCAGTGTGTGGCTCCCTTCATGGTGTCCACCAACATGACAAAAAACATTGCAGTCAACTGCTTTGTGAAGAGTGCTTCGGGGTTCGCCTGCGAGGCCTTGAACACCGTGGGTCACTCCAGCTACACCAGCGGCTGTCTGTCCCACGCACTCCAGGTCAGAGATATGAGAGTCTATTGTATGATCCATTACAAATTGTCAGGTGCTGCAGTATCGTAACGTCTTTCCTTCTCTTTCACATCATATTACAGAACATGGCTCTCACAATACTCCTTCCAGACTGGCTTCGTATGTCATCAGTTCTCATCAGAAAGCTACGAAACCTTGCAAAAGTCAGCCAATATGAAAGAGTGTGCATGGAAAAGGAGAAGTTCAGTGAAAAGGAGGAGTAGTTAAGTGGCTGCATCTGTACAGAGGATGAAGTTCACTAAATGGATAAAGATTACTGACACAATTGTACCTTTTACATCTATATATAGGCATTATAACCGATTACCTTCACGAGTAATAGTAACACAATACATATAAATACTTTTATATTTTGTATATATATATATTTTTTTTCAGTTACTATTAATTATTATGTATTTATTTATCTATGGCGCAAAAATGTTCAACAGCCTTTTAAGTACTGTTGGGTTGCAATATTTGCAGACCATCTATCTCTATTGTTTCTATTAATATTTATATTATTACACTTATCACACTGACAGATATACAGACACAGTCTGTGTTGCATTTCATCTTTTAAATACATATTTTATGTTAGGATTTTGCAATATACAAAGATGACAATACACAATACATTTGGCATATATTTACCTTTATGACAAATAGCAGTTTAATATGTACATCTACAGACCATTAGTATACAAGTGTCAGTCCTTTAAGGCTTTCTCATTGACCATTAACCACAACAGGCTTTCTCAGCAACTTCCTATTTGTGTTTTGTTCAAAGGTCCATGTGAGTGTTGCGACACTGTGAAACTAAACATGGCAGCAATGCAGTAACATTTTATTCTGTATTTTGTAAGCATGGTAAATTAATTGTTGTGTAAAGATGTGACAACTTGCTCTGGTTTCAATCTTGACTGAATCATCATTGGTCCTGGTCCTGACTGAGGCTGTATTAGGATGGACCTCCAAAGTGTCCACCAGTGTAACCCTTTTTGGTGTATTTCTGACAGTCTGTATCATGAAGCAATACATTTTGCTTAAGTTAGCACATAAAACAGCAGCACATGCTGTTAATCATTCTGAGGTTAAACATACAAAAGGTTCCCGTTGTGAAGACTAGAGATGCACAGTTAACAGTAAAATAAAATATGTTTGCAGAAGTGCATGGGAAACAATTATCCAAACTCAGTTCAGCTCAGAAACACAAACTCTTTGAATCACTTCGTCCAACAACCATCAGGAATAGGGAGAAAGTATGGAAAAGCAAGAAGCAAAAATACAGTTTAAACAACAAATATAATGCATTGATACGATACCATTTAGAAACTGAACCAGGAAAATAAGTTCTAATTTCTAATAGTTCTAATAAGTGGTCAATTCTTATCAGAAAATACCACAAATTCTTCATTTGATCCCTGATATTCTAATTATATAGACATTTCTATATTCAGTATCATAGACAACCCGTATTGCTCAAAACAAATAGTTCTGAGGAGTCTTTGACAGTTTTATTTTTGTCTTATGTCAAAAGACAGGCCTAAAGCTAATGCAAACAGGAGGTTATATCAACATAAATCACACCACGCAAACATTAGTATTCTCCCATGTCTTTGCTCAGTCGCTGAGCCAGTTCAAGTATGTGAAAATAGGAAAATATCCTATCTGAATGCAAAAAGCTCAAGTGGCATATTTATTCAAAATGCACTAGACTGTGGTCCTTTTCTAAGCATCATAAAACGACAAAAAAGCTGCATTAGGTGAAAGTATTGTAACTGGTGCTACATATTATAGCTTAACATCCACTTTTCATTACATTATGTGTTAATTTGACATATAACAAGAGTTTATACTTTGGTCGCTGCGTATACGATATCAGATCATACAACATGACAAAACTCATGACCGTACATGCTCACAGATCCGTGTATGTGACGGGGGTGACACCGTGAATCAGGAGAGTTGGCCCTAAACTGTTGGTCACTGCTTCCACCTGAGCCAGGTACTGCTGCGACTGGCTGTGATGAGCAGGAGGTCGAGGTAAATACAGGAAGCGAACAGCAGCTTGCGAGCTGTTCTCCATCAACATACAGTTCACTGCGGACAGGAAGTCCTCGGACAGAGCTCCTGAAGGCTCCTCGTCTGGCTGAATGTGGTGCTGCACCACAGTGTCCCACGGCACAATCTTTATCGACGCCCTGATCCTCAGCTTCCTCAGCAACTCTCGAAACGTCTCTTCGTTTACCACCCAGCCCTGGTCGCTGGACTCGGTCTCCACATTCAGGAAGATTCTCATTCTTGCGTGGCGCCACTTGTTGGACATGTTGAGTACACAGGCCATCTGCAGCAGAAAGAGGCTGCACACATCCTCATAATCACGACTGCCTGGCTGGAGCAGGTTGAGAGGCCACACATCTATAGTCCGCTCTGACCCGTCCACCTTGCTATCTTTACCCTCTCCCTCTAACTGGAAGAAATAGCGGGCGAGGCACACGTTCTTGCTCATTTTAATAGCGTCGGAAATGATCCCTACGTACTCCTCGGGTGATAGCCAGCGTGGACTCTCAACGTGTCGGACTGGGGGGAAATGGGCCTGTAATGAAGGCAAGTCAACCCCAAAATTATATTCGCCTTCAGTCCCTCGTCCAATCGAAGAGTCACAGAACGCGGTGTCTTGTAGGAAGAAGTCCTCAGGAGTGCAGCTGTCATAAAAACCCAAAACCAGAGTGTTGGGCTTCATGCCACCTTGTAGAGACAAACAGAAAAGTTGAATGCAAAAGAATCATCAAGTAAAGCAACATGATAATCTGGACTGAATGTGTGCCTGTGTACAGGGATAACCAGAGCTTACCTAGCCCTGTGATGCGCAGTAGATGCTGTGTTCCCTGTCTGACGGAGGGAGACAGTGTCAGGTCTACAAAGGCCTTCACCCCGAGTTTATCAACGAGGCTCAACCAGAAGTTGTACTGCTGCTGGACCGGGTCTGATGGCAGGGTGTCTAAAACACAGGACAGAAATTAATTTACTGCATACATTTCAATAATACAAACACGAACAATACAGGACTTCATTTCATATACGCTAATTTGACTAAACACATTTCAGCAGATTTGCAGAAAGGAGGTAAGTTTTAACAGTGGTGAAAGTACTCTGGTCCTTTACTGAAAATGACCAGCGTATAGGATTTAACGGCATCTATTGATAGAGTTGCAGATTGCAAGTAACTGAATGCTGCTCGTATATATATCTATATATATATAGATATATATATAGATATATATAGAAAAGGATTCATGGGGTAAGAAATCATAAAAATTTTCTTTACTTAATTTTCAAATCTTTACATTTTTAATGAGATATATTGGATATTTGATCATTTTCCCTCTTTGTATCACCAATTTAATCATTACTAATGTGTATTCGGTAATCTTATCAATTGTGTTGTATGCGTGTTATTTTTTAACATACAGATTAAAAAAACCAAGTGGCATTAAAATGGAAATATGCAAAGGGCACATCCCTCAAATCTGTATACAAGTACAGCACTTGAGTAAATGTACATAGTGACTTCTTACCTCTGAAAGTAAATGGTCAAATTTTCATTGTTTGTAGACGTTGTAATGTTCCTTAATTGTCATTAGGGGGCAGAAAGGCTGAGTTTGTAAATGAATAAAAGAATATTTCAGCATGTTGCTTTCTATGTCCCTGGGGTGCATCACACAATAGATGTTCTTACAGTTTGGAAAGGATATATGCCTATTTAACCTAATAAACAAAGAGCTACACATTTGTCTGGTTTAAACTATCTGGTGTGATGCCACAGTGATATAGAGAAAGCTCTTATTAATAATGCAGGAGAGGCAGCAGATGGAAAGTGAAAGCCCAACAGGTAGCCTTCATTGATCGAGCCTGTGGACTTAAAGGTAAAAGAGAGTTCAGCTTCATCGGGGGGCTGAAACCACAGAGGAACATGATTCAAAGATAAGAATAATTTAATACTGTTGGCTGCAGATGGCCATCACAGACCAACCACAGAGAGAATTACCCAGATCTCCCAGCTGCACGTGGCCCAACACAAACAGCCCTCCCTTCTTCAGCTGGTTGACAAACAGGATGAGCTGACAGGAAGAGCGAGGGTTGGCCACCATTAACAACACCTGTGGCCTCCAGAACTTCACATGGTCTTTCCTCACATCCAGCATCAACAGATACTTACGCACCTAAACCAAAAGGAAGACAGCACTGTTGGCAAACTGCACGTCTGATTGTGTGTGTGTGTTGTCTTTGTAGGAATCCAGATACCTGATGGAAAATGAGAGCCTGGCTGATGTAGCCCCAGCTGCTTGTGGGCGATCTAAAGTGGAGGAAAAGCAGCAGCACCAACAGGAGGACGATGCTGCCCGAGGAGTACACAGGGTTAATGACGAACATCATCACCAAACAGCTCAGGATCCCCAGCAGGCAGGTGTGCCAGGAGAAGAGCTGGAAGGTTGGTCTGTTAAACACACAGAGACCAAAAACTGAGGCTACCAGACTCATGAAAAACAGCAGTGGAGAGAGGCAATAAATACTGCTTTTACTGTCCCATAAATATATATGACAGTAATATATCCAAGTGAGGATGATAAGATTGTTAAAGGATCATTTCAGTTCATTTAAACCTGTGCCCTATTTTATATATTAAACATACATATAAAATTATATTACATAGATATTGTAATTGGTCCAGTACATCACCTCGGCACCTCAACTCTTTAAAACACCAAAGTCACACAATAACCCAAACAAACAAACGACTGAGGCACATGTGGACAACAAAATATGTAAAATTAGGGCCCAGGTTTAAAAACACCAGAATTACCATTAAATCTATATAATGTTGAAGATTAGTGCTATAATTTCTGGCTTTCAAGCCTGTACTCACTAAATGAAACCACCTTACTCTTCCTTATGTTTTCAGCTTTTCTAATGTCACTGAGCAATTTTAGATTGTTGTCTTACTTACTGGGCCAGAATTTATGGCCTCACTCAATGATGGTACTATGAATTGGTAATAAATTTATAGTAATAAAACTCAGATTCACAGGAAATACTTAAATTGTAATATTTTACCTGTTTTTGTTTGCAATTTTATTACCTGAAATTTGGTGCCGACGCCCACTCAAGAGCCAAACAGGCCAGGTCAACCGCAGCGTAGGCAAGCAAGTAGAAAACAGTCACCAAACTTGCTACAGCATTGAGCTGTCCTGCAAACACTACACACTGAAACACAAACAACACCACAAACTGCAGCTTAGGACACTTAGTTGTAATTATAAAAAAAACAAAACACACACCCTAGAAACTACACCAACCTGTGCCAGACCCCAGGTGTACAGCACCGCCACCCACGGATTCCCAGAGCTTGATGTGATGGCAGCTGGGGCCAACGGCAGACCTGTGAGGTAACAAACGCCTCTTAGAAAACGAGTCACTACACACAGAAGGCCCTGATATGATAAGTAAAAGCCTTACCAAATAGTTGATCCAGAGCAAGAGCGTGGAGGATGCGGGACGCTCCGATCATAGCGCACATTGCAGCCGACAGAGAGGCGCAGTATATCCCGATGGTGACAAATGGCGGCCAGAGGTTTATTTTTTGTAGGAACCCATAATCCTGAATCAACAGGATCCTAAGAAAAGAGAACCACTGCTTATATGTCAACTGCTTATTTGATTGTTGATCTCTCTTTAAGAATTAACATTTACAGCTATTATGATCCATTTCAGACCTGTCACAGGTGGCGCTGACCAAGATGAAGAGGAGGACGTAAACTGTGAACGTGTAAAAGACAGCTATGATGGTGCCTTTAGGGATGGAAACACTCGGAGTCTTCAGCTCCCCTTCAGAGATATATGGAGAAAGAGCAAGCATCAGGGTGTGTGTACGTGTACTATGAAGATTTACTGATACAGATTAATGTATAAACATATTCTGCATAACAAGGTTATCAGAGTTAACTAACTAGGTGTGAAAAAAAACATTTTAGTTAATTAAAACTAGAATTTAGAAAACACAACAAGCAATCTTTTTTTTTAAAACTCCATATTATCATGAAAACTAATGAAAGAAATAAAAAATAAACATTTTTAAACAATAAAAACTAGAAACAAATTAAAAGTAATGAAAAATACAAAAACTATATTACCTCTGCTGCATAATGTGCACATGCACACATGCACATAAGTCTAAGCTAAGAGCAGCACGCCATAATGCAAAACAATATTCCTTTACGTGCAAAAGTCTTGCATTCAAAATGGTGCTTAAGTTAAAGTACAAAAATATCATCAGCCAAATGTACATAATTCAATATTCAATAATTCCTGTCAAATAACTGAAACTTGTACTAACATACAGTTTATCAGTTAAATATAGTCCACCTGCAGCAATGATATCCGGATACATGTATGAGTATACGTGCAAGACAACAAGCTTTAACCTGACATGTTGGCTCCGGCCATGATCCCAGTGCAGCTGGTGAACATGACGGCAAACACAGTGGCAAAAGACATGACAGAGTTGGTGCTGTAGTCCAAAGTGTAACCAGCTGCAACGATAAAAATGAGGAACAAAAGCGGGACCATTAAAAGATACTCTTTAATTTAGAACCGTCGTATAGCTTTGCTTACGAAATATACTTTCATATCCTCACAAACATAACCCCCCCCAACCACTCACAGCCCAGGTTGTTCCTCAGAGTTGTGGCATTGAAACCCGTGTAGCTGGCGTTGTAGTGGACGGTCTGGTTGCCAGGTCCGTGGTGGGTGATGAAAATATCCTGTGGTTTGACCGCCACAGAACTGATGAAGATGGACAGCAAGGATACAGTGACCACCAGCAGGATGACGAAGGCGGTGCGGGAGTAGATGTGGGCGCCCACAAGACACACAAGCAGACACAGCAGAAGGACTACTGAGGAGTACAGCACTGTGTACCAGTAACCCTGAGGAAGCACCCGCACCCCGCTGGACACAGGTGACTCTATAGCAGATGAAAACAGGCAGAAAGAACCAAAAAAAAAGTGTGATGGTTTGGTTAGGCTGAAAAATAGATAAGAGAAACATAACATAACCAGAAACTTACCCGGATCCGACCCGAATACATCAAGGATCGCCTCCACAAGGCCAAGAACGTACTCTCCACATGCACAAACTTTGGCCAGGAAGAACATTAAACCAATGCTTCCACCAAACTCTGGGCCCAGAGACCGACTTATCATGTCTGGTCACATTTTGTTAAGGTCGATGTTTCAACTTCAATAAAAAAAACTGTGACAAGCAACACCCAAGAAGAACAACATGTGTTTGGTCTCTAAGGATACAGTAGGCTCCCCCACCTTGTATAGCACCGTTGGTGGAAATGGCGCAGATGGAGAGTATAGTAAGAGATATGATGGTGTAGGCTACAATCAACATTAAAAGACCCTGTAAGAGCCCCGCGTGACCAACCACAAACCCTGCAAGAGAAATCACGTCAGTATTAGTCACTACTGCACAGCACAATGACTCAGTTATACTGTAAGTTATTCATACAAACATCCACTGTCTGCAACCCCAAAACAGCTTTCCATTTACAAATCTCTTCACACGCATCGCTCACCGGTTCTCAGGAACAGCACGATGCTGAACATGGAGAGGATGGTCGGCACCATCACCCCAAAAAAGGTATTCAGTTTTCGAGGGTCTTTGCTCGGAGTGCCAGAGCCGGATTCGTCCGACTCCGCGCCGCACGCCACCGCAGTCACCGCCAGACCGCATACCCCTGAGGTGATCAGAGGGGTGCGTTCGTTTGACATGGTTGGTGAGAAGGGCCTGTCTGCTTGTCCTGTGAAAAATGGAAATCAATGAGGACAGGTTTCAGACGGACCCACAGGCAACTCTCTTATCTCTATATTCATCTGTTATGCACAGTTCTCATTTTTCACCCTGCACACGGTCCACGTTTATCAAAGTCTTTGTGCCCAATGTATGCATTCTTGTTAAACATTTACCTTGTTTTAGGGAAAGTAAGACAATTAAACTTGCATGATATAGTGTCAGTTTTATTTCATAATGTATACAGCAACAGCATTTGTTCTCTTTTTCAAATCAAATGTTTGAACAAGACACAGACAGGCAGGCCTTTGCCTTCCACACCCATGCACACTGATGTTTTTACCCTCTCCAGCGCTTCCTTTATCATCATGTGCACAGTACCTTGTGACTGCTACCAGCATCTTAGAAACAAACAGTGTATTTTAAAGAGTAAGATTCAGTTCACCAGCCACACAGGTGCCACACAGTCACCTGATGCCACAAAGTAGGCCGACACACTGGACCCGCTCTCTTACTTTTCTCCACGGTTGGTCACATATCTTCTTTTTTTAACTGCACAACACAGCAGATCAAGCGAAACGCCACTAGAGAGGAGCTGTGTCTGAAGTTTGCGACTCACTCTTTTACTCACACCTCGGGTTGGTATTTGCAGTCAGCTGATTCACAGCAGCTTGTCTGGTTTTACAGGCAACTCAAACCAAAGAGCAGACACACAGCTCAGCTGAGCATGCCCCTCTGTGCACAGATGACCTTGGTTGTTTTCTGCCTCTCAGATGCCAGCGTTCACCTTTGCCATTCTTTCTCCATGAGGCCGTTTTCAGGCTATTGCCAGAGTTGCCTCAACATACCCCCTTTCTGCAAGTTATTAGATCATCTATCATCAATCACATGACAGAAAACCTTACCTAGGATAGAAGTTTTGCACAGGGACATAAGCAACAACAATTAGGTGATTAATAAAATTCAAAAGGATCATCTATAATTTCTCCAACACAGAAAAACAAAAAGAAGCCAACAACTCACTGGTTCCAGCTTCTCAGATGTGAGAATTTGCTGGTACAGACTGTTGGCCGGACCAGCCATTTCAAGCTGACCTCTGGAAACTTACAATGGACATGATTAATTGACTGATGATGATGATGATGATGATGATGATGATGATGATGATGATTCAGAGAAAAACCAGCCGCATTAATCGCTGGTGCAGCCCAATGGGACGGATTTAAAAATGTTCCCTGTGCAACACCTATATAGTAGTGAGCTGGTTGTTTTCAATACAGTTACACAACATTAAGTATTGAGTAAAATACAGTAGAAGAGACATCCTCTCAACCCCATCATGGTGAGATCACTCAGTGGTTTTAAACAGGAGGAAGGAAGTTGAACCTTCAGTGCGAACTGAGGACATGCACATGTTTAGTTCCTCTATTGTAATTGATGCTGCAAGTGGACCATGAGGCAGTTACCCGCGCGGTCACGGCCTGCAGGAAGCTGATAGTGATGCACTGAAACCGTCGGAACCTCTCCTAAAAGAAAAGGCCCTCATGGGGTCCGCGGACCCTACTTTAGAAACAAGTCGGTTACCAAAATAAATCACCGCTTCCGTCACGTATGCGTAGCATCAGGGTGGAGCAAATGCGGCATTAAAACTTTACGTCTTTCGAGTGTCAATAAAAGGTAAACGCATGGATAAACGATACGCCACATTTGCAGCTGCATCTTGGGTAAATGTCTGTTTACGTTTTGAGAGTGTCAGTCAGGAAGTAGCGGCGCCGGCGATCATAAAACAAACGCATCCCATCTACAGTGCTCCTGCACGGTGTCACTCCAACAGCAACATCCAGGCTGTTTAGGGCTACATCGTACTGTACATGGGCCGCATGCACCCTGAGGTGTTCCCCCATGATCCCCTCTGAAAACACCGAGGACAGTCAAGACTTACCCCGCTCAACCTCCCCAGACAGTTTCACCCACTTCCTGCTTGAACCCCCTTTCTTGTTGTGGTCCTCTTGAGTCCGGCTGTCTCTGCGCTGTCTCTGCGCTGTGTCTCTGCTGGAAGATGTCCCGGGTCAGATGCGCAGTGGACAGCGGACAGGGGCTGAGCTGTCCCGAGAGTTGGATGTGGCTGTGAAAGATGTGCTGCCCAATAACAACCCGGCAGCCATAGCACGCCTCGTTCCCCTATTATTTGTTCAAAAGTGTCACGGGAGAGCAGAAACCGCACATGTGACTGCCAAAAGGGGGAGGGCAGAAATACCACAAACACGAGCAAAGGTAGTGCTTGTCTGAAATAATCACGCCCCTTATTTGAAGAGCAGTCAACCCTCAACAGTGATCTCTAAATGACTTCAAATAGGTGCACATGAAGTGGTGATTTCAGCTGTTTGCACTACGGAGAAAGTTGTACTGTAGGCTGGACTGTAATGACATTTCTGCACACCAGGGGTCACTATTGCGACACAGACGACCTCCATATATATATTGAGAGGCTCATTATGTGACAGGACTAACCTGAGATGTCAACTAAGGTTTGCATTTAAAAAGGAAATAAATAAATAGATGCATACAAATTGCAGTCTATACAAGTCTGCGTCCATTCTGCTCCAGGAAAACAAACCAGAAAAAAATGAATTATTAATTAAAAATTAACCAGAGGGGTTGATATGAGGGTTATGTTAGAGAGAGACAAAGGAGGGCAGCAGGGTCTACTAAAATGTCAGTCAACCTCTTGTTGGATATTATGCAGAGAAATACAGAGGGTCTACAGTGTAATATGCCTCCTGTCTTATTTTTTTATTCCATAATCCTTCCTGAGCATTTAAATCACACCATCACTGACCAGGAAGTCAGCTTTTCCCCAAAGTTCAACTAGTAAAAAAAACAACTGCATTCAAGAGATTTATAAGAATTTGCAAACGTTTTTCATTTTAAAGGCTGAACAGCCGCTACTGCATCTTGTTTCTACATCACATCATCAACGTTACAGATAATGTCAGAGATTCCCCTCTCAACAGATGAATGTGAAAACAGCTTTCTAGTGTTAAACTCACACAACATCCTCTAAATGTCCCTCATACACACTGGCGAGTTTGACCATTTATCTCTAAAATACTGTTTTTACTCACTTTCCTCATTGTGCTGCACCTTAATAACAACCCTGACCTGAGTGTCTCCATCTGAAGAGATAAATATGATTTCCAACCTGCTAGTGGTCTGATCGCAGGAGGAGGAGGAAGAGGGGGGGGGGGGGGGTCATAGGATTTATTAGTATTTAAGAGATGGGTGTGGTTGAAACATGCTTCACGCCTGGATTTGAGGATCCTTTTGAAAGGCGCTCACCGCGTGATCTGGCAGCCTGTTTCTGAATGATGATATTCAGACCAAAAAAAAACACAAAAAACAGGAACCGTGTGGATAACTGACCGAGAGGGCCACCTCTAACGAAGAAAAATAACATCTGAGTGCATCTGCTGATGGCTTGAGTTCTCGCAGCTTTTTATTTTACAATCTATTTATTTTCCTCCATATGAGGCACTTTGCAGATCCCCCCCCCCCCAGTAATTCATAGCTGAGTCGGAGGCGGTTGTCCTGATGAAGTGTCGGCAGAGGGAGGAGGAAACCAGCAGAGAGAGGAAGGAAACGAGGATAACGTCACGAGAAGCAGAATCGGAGTAAAACGGAGTGAATAGTGTTTAATGGACAGTCCTTGATGCGGGCCGGGAGACCGAGCTGTGGCGAAGTGTGTTTGTTTACGTCGCACTGGACAAATATGTTTTTGTTGACTTGTTGGGCGTGAAAAAAAGAAATAAAAAGGAAAGCGTTTTTCGGAGAGGAAGCAGCAGCAGCAGCAGCAGCAGCAGCAAGATTTCATCTTTTTTCAGGAGGCTCCACTAACGCAGAGCAATGGAAATGTGTGTAGCCCTCCTCCTCCTCCGTTTGCCTGTTTGCTGAAGGATTTTTTGGAAGCAGCCTAATCGTGACACACGCAGCTTTAAGTGGATCTCTTCAGCGTCTCTGTGGTGGTTTTTTTCCCCCCCTTTATTTTTTAATGCGTGAAAAAGACACATAGCTCAATCCTCCGCGGGGATTTTGGAGACGTTGCTTTCAGTTTTGTGTTTTTTTACGACAGCAGAGAAGGAAAAAAAAGAAAAAGGCAAGCAAAATCATCGGGAGAATTAACAGGTAGCCGCCCATTATCAAACGCTGTGACAGCCGCTGCAGGCCGGCCTATTGAGCGTAAGATGGCTGGGTGATGATGTGCCTATTCATGGCATCATTTCGACTAAATTAATTTAGCTACATCCGCATTCTAGGAGCTCAGCATCTGAAACAAGATGTGGTCAGGGCCTTCATGAGCCGCTCTGCTGATCAATATGTGATGTAGCCTGCATTCGTCGGGGCCTGTCTTTCTTTGAATACACTAGGAAGGCTGTAAATGCTGCAGACAGTGATATAAAATCCTTATGAAGTACAGCCCGGAGCTCTGAATGTGGCTCGGGAGCTGCTTTTTTCTTTACTGCGGCTTTTATTTCAGTGCGGAGCTCCCAGTCCAGGCCTGCATGTGTTAACCAGGGAGTGAGCAGAGCCACACTGCTTCTCTGACATTAACATTTACTCTGCCTTAACATACAGGGATTGTGTGTGTGAGTGTGTATATATATATATATATATATATATATATATATATGTATATGTGTGTAAGCTCTGCACTCTCCTCCAGTTGCAGATGTAGCCATGCCAGGTTGGTGTAGTTGCACATCAGATGTGCATCCAAAGGGGTGGGGCCAGTCACACTTAGCATCTTGTTCTTTGGATTTCAGTCTTCTTGTGTTATAAAACATGCTCTGTTAAACTCCCTTAAATGAGAGCTTGTTTTTTTTGCTTAACTTAACCCTCCTCGTCCTCATGAAGGAGGCAGCTTCTTGTCTGTGACTAGGCCGCGCATCAGTGCAGGTGGAGTCTGTATGATGTGTCCGTCTTTTTCACACTCTTGTCCCTGTCAATTGGCATGACTTCAGCACAAATCTACACATCCTGCAGTCGACGCTTGCAGGCCACAGAGACATGCATCCGAGCATCTGGCTGGACCCATCCAGGCCTGATCTCTGATGCATCAACCCCCCCCTTCAGCATTTCTCCTCCTCATTGGCTAAATGAGCAGCTGTGCCAGGAGACTGAGACCCATGATGTACCCCTTTTGGCTTCCATTAGTGCCTGTGTGATCCATCTGGTCGCAGGTCCCTCCAGGGAACAGTGACCTACTGTAGCTAATTGCTCTTCCTCTGCAGCGTGCACTGTATGCATGTTTGCTGTGGAGTGTTACTGTGGATTTGAATTGCCTCACAAATGCAAATAAAAGCTCCCTGTTTGGGGAGCTGTTTGAATGTGTAACTGTGCTCCTATCAGGAACAGGAAATGCTGCTTTCTACTGAAAGCGCGATGTGATGTGTGTGTGTGTGTGTGACCCCAGCTGGCGCCAAAGGATACATCTTTTGCTGGTTTTGGATATATTTGCCTGTTATGTTAATTTTTAGGAACCACAGTGGCTCACGTGACAGGAGATATCATAAAGATGACTGTGTCTAGCATTAGCACAAGTTCTGACTTGATACACAACCTGTAGGTGCACAGTGTAACAAGTTCCCTCAGCTTTAAAGGGAGTGTTCGCTCAGTATCTGCTCCCTGGTAGTGATGCTGCTGGCTGCTCGATAGCAGCTTAGTCATTACAGATTATTCTCCTCAGTTAAATCAGGCATGGTTGCACAGCCATAAACAGATTACAGATTTTTTCTCACTATGTGGGTTTAGTAAACCTTAGAGATTAAAATGTGTGTTATTGTTATTTTAATATTTTTTTTCCAAATCTGGGACAAACAGTATTTTAAGCAAATTATTTTACTTAATTGATTCATTTCTGATGAAAGTGGATTCCTGGATTACTGGATTATGAAAGCGTAGAACTATGCTAATCCCAGTGGGCCTCACTAATATGCATCTGCAGTAATTTTTATTCATTTTGAGATAATACTTTATATTAATCAGTCTGATATTTGAACAGGTGACTGCTTGGACAAATCCAAAATGAGTGAGCTGGAGCAGCTTCGTCAGGAGGCAGAGCAGCTTAGGAACCAGATAAGAGTAAGTCAAATATTTTTTTGTAATTCAGTTTTCATCTTTAGTATGATAATACTGACATATTAACCTATTGTGTAATTACATTTTCTGTCCATCAGGATGCCAGGAAAGCATGTGGGGATTCAACCCTGACACAGGTAATTGTCACTGAATGTCCCCCGGTGGTAAGATACATAGCTATAATAGAAAGAAAGTTCCCTATGGTCTTTTGCTGTGCATTACTTTAATAGAATTATTTGTAAATGTATTTTTACACAATTCGACATAAAACATTAGCAGTTCCTGTGCTGTCTTTGCTGCCATATTGCCATCTCAAGAAACGTCCCTGTGAAACCTTCCATCACACACACTGAGACTGTAAAAAGGGTGAATTTCATTAGGACTAATTGAACTTTCATCAACCTCTCCCTACAAACCTAGATAACTGCTGGTCTGGATCCTGTGGGGAGGATTCAGATGAGGACGAGACGCACCCTCCGGGGCCACCTTGCTAAGATCTATGCCATGCACTGGGGTACAGACTCAAGGTGAGTCTATACTGTACCAAACATTTTCACTGTACTGGAGCTGTGCATCACTAAAATGAACTATTACAGTCTCCCCATAAGTGGCTCAATAGAAAACAAACATTTTTAACTGGCCAACTAAATGATTTGGCTCCATACACTAGCAACTTTACATGGGATACATTGCATAACAGTTTGATATGGAGTGTACATTGGAGCTCCATATCAAAGACCAAAGTAAAACAACCAAGATCGTACAATCCATTTAGGTAGCCTAAACTACCTACTTGTTTACATTGTCTGTGTTATTTTTAAATAAAAATGTTATTTTGATAATTAACATGACTTTTTATTGTTTGGAAATAGGCTATCCTCCAATCTAGGCATGGGACAATATGCAAATTTCATGTCATGATTATCTTGGCCAAAATAATTGCAATATACAATATTATCACAATAATCATGGAAATATACTTCATACTTTTAAAATGGCTGTAAAACATACTGGAATCACTTTACCTTACACTTTGTTAATCAACATCTCCCTGTTCTTTATATATTTGTATCCATACATCCAGTTTGCATTTTTCTGTGCTGGATTTCTTGTCATCTTAACTATTGTATGGATTACCATGAACTTTGGAACAGATAATCATGGTTCCCACAAGATGAATCGTATGGACTCTAAACTCCTCCTCTAGAGCCACCGTGAGGCTAAAATGTAAACCTGGACAGATGTTGGATGGATTGCCATGAAATTTAGTACAGACATTAATGCCCCCATCTGGAAGAATCCTAGTCACTTTGGTGACCCCCTGACTTTTCATCATGTCAAAATCTTAATTTGTCCAATACTTTGGTTTAAATGGCTAAATACCTGCAAACTGCCAACAACCTCAGCTGTGTGTTTGGTGCTTTTGAGAGCGTGTTTGCATACTAACAAGCTAAACTAAGATGGTGAACAAGGTCAACTGCTAAATATCAGCATGTTAGCATTGTAGCATTTAGCTCAAAGCACCGCTGTGTACCTAAGTACAGCCACACACAGCAGCTGACTTTTCTAGAGCTCGGAGCCAAAACATCCAAAAGTGCTTCCTTTAAAACTGGAGTTTTAGGTTCCGAACCTCAGATTGAAATAGCACGAACGCTTTAGTGCCACTTATATTCCACATGTCAATGCTTTTTGAAACATTTGGTAAAACCCAAAGTTTCAGTTTTTAACATTTTGCCTGTTACCGGTAGACCACTCACTGTAGAAGACTGGGGTGTTGGGGGTAGATGGTATTGATTTATCAGAAAATGAACACAAACTAAATGTCCATCGATAGATAAGGTGTGAAATGTTTGTCTCTGCAGGCTCCTGGTTAGTGCCTCTCAAGATGGAAAACTGATCGTCTGGGACAGCTACACTACTAACAAGGTAAAGTCAGCTAAATAATTCTTCTCCTCAGTTCACCAGCTGGATAAATAGTCACACTTGGCCTCCGTCCGAACTGGAAGTGAAAGTGGAATAAAGTCTTTCTCTTGTAGGAATGTGGTTGACTCATAAGAGCTTCTTTTACAACTATGACTTACTGTAACATTTACAGTGGCATTACATTTTCAGTGTTAATACTAACACGTTTTCTTATGCTCTTATTAACAGTTTGTGTTGGGTTACCTTCTACTCCTTTAATGTATCGTGCCTCCAAACACCTTTCCCCTCCTAGATCCACGCCATCCCCCTGCGCTCCTCCTGGGTGATGACCTGCGCGTACGCTCCTTCTGGGAACTACGTCGCCTGCGGAGGCCTCGACAATATCTGCTCCATCTACTGCTTGAAGACTCGCGAGGGCAACGTTAGGGTCAGCAGGGAACTACCTGGCCATACAGGTGAGGGAACAATCACACTCTCAACCATTTCTGTTTGACTCTTCCTGCGAGTCAAACTGATGACATTTCAGATGAGCGTGCACCAGTCCCAGGCCTCGTGGGAAAGCTCTGCTCCCAAACCACTAAACAATGACGATTTCATTTACATGGTTAATTAATCGCAGGGCAACACAGTCTTAATGAGACATCAACTCCTGCCTGTGAAACTCTGATTCGCGACACTGTAGCTACTGTGCTGCTGAACGGTATTAGATTTAACACTATTTCCATTTTGTGAAATGACACAAAATGGATTCATTCATGGAAGTTGAAGGTGTTTTTTTTCTGCAAATAAGTACAGATACATGACATTTAAAATCTGCTAGGGACAAAAAAACAATGATGATGTTCCAAATAAAATGTAGGTTTTCCTAAATGGGCTGCAACTTAATATCGAGATGTCTTTTAATGCAAGAGTGTAATTTTCTCACACACTCTTATTGTTTAGCTGTTCAAATCCCGACAAGAGAAGCTCTGAGTTGATAGATTCAGCTTCAGTTATTATCGTGTGTTCACATTAATAACCTCTATGAACAGCCGGGAGTGCTTGGTCGACTTTTTTTCCCTGGGTTTAGCCTCTCGGGCTACATACAGACCACCCTTACTTTATTGTTGGATGTATGTTTATTGGGAATTGACCATTAATCTTTAAAGGACAGTGGTCTTTGTAGGAAAGATGTAAATAAAAAGTTATACATCATAAGTGATGATGATGAAGTTAATGTTTAACTACAGTCATTTATATTTAGTAGCATTTCAAATTAGGTTTTATAATAAAGCAGACAGCACTAGATTGATATAAATGTATATAAATGCATAAAATGGCATTCACACATTCTCTCTTTCCTTGCACCTCTGTTTGTACATTCAGAGTACTGTTACAATATTATTCCTATTTTGTGCTTATTGTATTACAGCAGACACTAGTAATACCACTCTACTATCACCTACTCTAAAAAGACTTCTAAATGTGCACGTGTCTCCTTTTAATATGCAAGTTTTGTCCAGCTCCACAACAGAAACTCAACAACTGTGCTTTCTTTTCTCTCAGGTTACCTGTCATGTTGCCGTTTCATTGATGACAATCAAATCATCACAAGTTCAGGAGACACCACATGGTGAGACCCAAACACAGACGTGCATGTGCAAACATGTTTTTCCTGAGCTGATCAGTGTCTTAACTCTGTGCTCTCTGCCCCAGTGCACTGTGGGACATCGAGACGAGTCAGCAGACCACAGTTTTCTCGGGCCACAGCGGCGACGTCATGAGTCTGTCCCTGTCACCCGACCTCCGCACTTTTGTGTCGGGGGCCTGTGACGCCTCGGTCAAACTGTGGGACATCAGAGACAGCATGTGCCGGCAGACCTTCACAGGCCACGAGTCGGACATCAACGCCATCTGTGTGAGTGCGCTCAGGGAAACTACAAGTTGTCAAATATGTATCTTCATACAGTTTTATTAACAGGGATCACAGACAGTTTAAAGGGGCGCGCCATCAATTCTTGTGTATCTTCTTGTCGAGTGTTAAAAAATAACCCTGATGCTGTCATTGCAATGCGACTGAGTGTAGAATTCAGTGTTTTTGTATTTGAAACAATACTAGAGATGAAAAGTGAAGACAGCGCAATACTACATTTAGTATTTGTGAGTAATTTAAAAAAAGATGTATGTTCACTAAGAGTACTGTCACTTAATATAAAGTATCTCCTCTAGGTCTAAACCTAGAGACAAAAATAAATATTTTGTTTGTCAGTTTTGCTTAAATTTGCATTTCAAAAACTGTGCATACATAAAAAAACATACTAAATATAACCAACTTTTATCAATGGTCTTTAAAGTTGTCACTGCTAACCAGTTAATAAACGTCCAATTTATCATACTTTGCGTCAGAAAACAAATCAAAACAATATGAAGACATGGTAGGTAATCCCAATAATTAATCTGAATGTAAATTTGAACACAGAACGGAATAGAAAAGAAACTGTGTTGATTAAAATGTCTATTAACAGATACATCTATCTAATAACTGGCATTGGTATCAACCAAAGTGGTCTAAAGTGGCAGTCTCTCCCCCTACTGTCTAATACATTATCAACAGAGCAGCTCCAGGATTTGTCCCGGTGACGTCACATACTGTCTTGTCTCCAGCTTTGGGAGGGATTTAAACTGGGAACACGCTAGGGGATTAACAAGATTATCAATTAACACCATATCTGAACATCCTGCATCAGTCCAGACTCTAACTGGAGTCTCATTTGGAGTCTGGACCGACGCATCACACAGGTTCTCTGATAGTGTGACAGGTGGAACGGACTCAGTGTTAAAACATGGTGATCATCTTTCAGACTGATCAGATTCAGTCCAAAAGCAGACACCAATAGCCAATGAGAGCACAGTTTTCTTTTCCAGTGTCATCCACACTTCCTGCTTCTCATCCATCCTTCTGTGCTCCTTCTTAGTTCTTTCCCAACGGCAGCGCCTTCGCCACAGGCTCCGACGACGCCACCTGCAGGCTGTTTGACCTGCGTGCAGACCAGGAGCTCAGCCTCTACTGCCATGACAACATCATCTGTGGCATCACCTCCGTGGCTTTCTCACGCTCTGGCCGCTTGCTGCTGGCTGGCTACGATGACTTTAACTGCAACATCTGGGATGCCATGAAGGGAGACAGAGCAGGTGGGTGGAACAGGAAACAGCTGGTGTGATGTAAAAAGGCTTAACTTAAAGCTGAAGTGAGGATTGGATTCATTATGAAGCTACTTAATTGAGACATTAGAGGTCTTTTAATATGTTTTGTAGTTTCTGTTGCCTCCAACCTTAAGATAGTTACTGTGTGTACACTTCATTATCAACTAGAACCTCTATTTAAGGGGCATATGATGTTTAGTTTGAATGCAAAATGACAGCAGCAGCCCTCACTAACAAGGAAAACTACAATCTTGTATCACAGCAAAGTAAAACCGACTCTTATCTGACCTTCAGCTCCAATATTTCACTCAAAAACTGAGTGAGAGAGCATTCGGACCAAAAAAATAAGCAAAATTGATTGGAATGAGAAATAACACTTTAAATATGCAATTCAGAGGCTAATTTACCTCTTATAGGACTGCACAGACAAAGTGCAGTTATATCATGTACTTTTCTAATTAATTTCTGGGCAATGTAGATAACTGTGATACCTGATGAAACTGCGGAAGGTGGAGGTGATAAGAAAATATCCCAAGCCCTTATCTTTGGACTGTGGAGCTGTAATACTGTGCAAGTGAATCAACCAATGTAAACCAAAGGGATTTAGGTGAAAATACCAATACCAAAATACCAATAACAAAAATCTGACAATAACCATGACCAGAGTTGAAAGAAAAAGTCTCTCTCAGGGTGTGAACATAAATTGTGGTTTGCAAGTTGTACCTGCAAAATACAGCATAAAATCATCACAACTATTATATCATGATTTATTTTTGGGAGCAATAGAGCTCCACACCAGCTTTGTTTTGTAACAAATGTACATCTTTGGTCAAACGGCCCACCCTGTGTTGCAAGTTAAGCGGTAATAAACACTAGGTCGCTGTGTTCTGTGTGGTTTCTAAGACGTTTTTTCACAGTCTTGAGAGCAGAACATTTGACAGCAACAAGTCTTCTTTTGTTTGTCCTCATCCCTCCTGCAGGAGTCCTGGCCGGCCATGACAATCGTGTGAGCTGTCTTGGTGTGACGGATGACGGCATGGCGGTGTCCACTGGGTCCTGGGATAGCTTCCTTAAGATCTGGAACTGAGCCATGCACATAAACCGCAAACACACACACACACACACACACACACACACACACACACACACACACACACACACACACACACACACACACACACACACACACACACACACACACACACACACACACACACACACACACACACACGTCCAACCACTCCCATCTTGGGCCACAGTTTGCACCCTGTATTCACTGTATGTAAGATTCAACAGACAAACTGCAACATTGTACTGTACATAATATATATGACTTAGGTTTGAGTTTACACACACACACACACACATACACACACATATACACACACACATATACACACACACACACACTGTATGCAGGACATGACGACACAAGACCTGAACACATGCCCACACTACCTACAGCAGATTTAAGTTCACAGCAGCAAGGCTACAGTAACACACACACACACACACACACACACACACACACACACACACACACACACACACACACACACACACACGCAAACACACACATATGATCTGTAAAATGTAAAAATGTGACCAAATACAGTTGGATCTTCAGCTGCTCAAATAAAAACACAAATGCCACTATTACCTGAAGCCTTTTAACATGTCTAACACGCTCATTCACACACTCACACACTCACACACACACACACACACACACACACTTTTTCCTGAGAGACACTGCTCCTCGCATTAAACAGGGGAGAAGACGTTATTGGACAATTCTGTCTTTGTTTACAATGAAGTCCAAAATGCACTTCAGACAAATTTTTCTGTGCTATTTTTGTCTCGGTACCACACGTATCTCAGTGATGCTAATGTGAAGGAAGAACGGTTGTGGAAGAGAATCATGTGAGAGTTCATTAATACTGAAAAACAAATAACCACTGACAGACAGGATGTGCCGACGATGGACAGAGTCCAAGGAAAATATCAACTCTTATTTTCATCTGGCTCAAAACATCATGTAGTCACTGTTTTTATAGATATGTACCCCCACATACAGTACAGTACATCTGTTCTTAAGTTTTTGTTTTATTCAGTTTTTTTACACTTATTTTATTCATGTTCTCCCTGTGTGCCTCAGATACACTTTAAGGATTATTAATAGAGAATATTGATAAAGTTTAAATTAACAAAAAAAAAAAATCAGAAGATTCAGAAGGTGAGTGAAAAATAAAAGCATTATAAGACACATCTTAATAAAGCAGGAGCCAGTATTCATACTTTGACTTTGTCAGTGTATTATCTGGACATTACGATGGTATACTTGTACATAATATTAATAAATAATAAGTTCTCCTGCCAGTTATTGTGGTTTCTTTTTTTTAAAGCACTGTGTCGAAGACAATGGAACATTTATTCATACACTTACAAGGTGATAAACTCTAAAGAGCCTAAGTACACTTTACCACAAATTCTAGGTTATCATTCTTGTTTTAATATTTATCACAAACATAATTGAAAAGATGCTTTTAGGAATCTCTAAGAAACATTTTGTTAACTGATTGATGCTTAATTGTTTAAGAATTCACTCATTTTTTTCTGATTAAGGCTTACCATTAGAAACAGTATGTTCTGGCAAATGGTGCCACAAAATGACCCACATACAAAGTTTGTCCTTCAGTAATCTGAAAACCATCCCATTTACTATACTATTTATTACACCAACACCTGTGCGGGGATGCAATGGTAGTACTCCCCCACAGCAAACCCAGTAACCTATTTAATCAGAAATGTGTGGAAAGAAACTCTAAAATCAACAATGAAATATTATCTTCAATGTTATAAATTAGTAATGCTCTGTTTCTACTGTGCAACTAGAAATAAACAAGTCATCTGTGCTCAGGTCACAGCAATGTTATTTGATATCTTTATTTATTACTCAGTGTCAACAGGCTATAATTCAGGTCAGAGAGGTTCAATTTATGTTTTCTTTATATGCTGATTGAAGTTCAACTGAGATCTTTCATACAGGGAAAGAGCCAGCTGTTTTTGTAGTGTGTTTTTACCTTCAGCCACCAGAGGGTGCTGCAGTTAATTTGGCAAATTCAGGTTCACAGAATAGGGATGAAAGATTTATCCTGCAAAATATATCTTTAAAGGCAAATCATTTAATGGCATGTCAGTGAAAAACGAACTGTGAAGTGAAAATTATGACTTTCTTCAAAGTAGTGTCATATTGTAGCACAAATCCAATGACAGGGACAACAGGTCTGATTGTAGCACCACCTTGTGGTTTTAACACCGGTATACATTTTATTTCACATGTTCAGAGGATGTTGTTAAAGGCCCTTTAAAATTACAATGGATAAATGTAAACAATTATTTTGGAGAGTCAAGCTCAGCCACCGAGTAATAATTCATCATTTCAAAGAAATGTAGTTAAAAGAAATTTAAATTGATACTTGTCAGAATACAAAGAAATGAAACACGACTAATACACACTGAAATGAGATCAAGGTATTTTATTTTTCAAACAATTCTGTATTAAGACATGAATTCATTCAACACAATTTTTTGAAAGTTTAAAGTTTATCAGTCTATGAAATACAATCTGGAGTTAACCTCTCACAAGTAACACAGACGCGCGCACACACACTAAAACATTGCAAAGATGTTTACCGTCTTAAAAAAAAAAAGTTATTGAAAAAAGAATAATAGATATTGTAGTTCAGTCCAAAGATCCATGTCGTTTTAGAGCTCCCCATGTTTGATCTGCCTCACTCCCAGTTACAGCTGCTAATCCATTCATACGTCATTGATCAGAAATGTAAGCTATGCGAGGGGAGTGCCTCATCAGAATTATATATATATATATATATATATATATATATATATTTATTTATTTATTTTGATACTTAAAGTTCATAAAGGCAGTTTCTGGGATTTCATTACAGCAAAACAAGAACAAGCATCCCAAACGGTGATTTATAGAGAAGCAGTTATTTCTCCAGATTTCAAGAAAAAGTAAAGTACAGAGTGATTTCCGTAACAAGCGACACACAAACCAGCCTACATTCAGTCTGCCAAAGGCCACTGAAGAATCACTTCCTGCAAGTCACACTGACATGGACAGCTATGGTTTTGATTTGTTCAAATGCTTGTATTGCTTATTAAAAAGAAGTGTCATCATCCGACTGGACGACTGTCTCTCAGGACGATGTTCTACACCTTCAGCGCTCCACCGACGACTCAGTGGTGCCTCTAATTTTCTGACGACAAACTTTGTGCAGTTAGACAAATTCAGCAATCAAATGTGTTCATGCTTGTGGTCAGACTCACACAAAGTTTTCCTAAGACTAATGAGTTGTGAGGTTCAGGTCTTTTAATGGCTCTTGGCACAAAATGAAATAGCACTTTGACACCTTAAGGTGCTTTAATGGAAGTCAACAACCAGAACTACTCTTCTGTGTTACAAACTGCAACCCATTATAAGAATGTCTGCTGCATGAAATTAGACAACTAGTTTAATATTTAGAAGTGACTGCCCCAGTCAGGCAGATATTTATCACAAGGCATTAGTTATGATTTTGAGCTTGGAGCTCGTTTTGAGATCAGTTTAATGTGTAAAATAAGGGTTTTCTTAAAATAGTCAAATAATTTACTTGCAATGCTATCCAGAAAAACAACTGTCAACACAAATCAGGCAATAAAGATGATGATTAAATAAATATGATTCTATGGTAATGAACCGCTATCTCCTGTGTACTTTAGACATTTTATCCTATTGAACTGCAAATGAAGTAATGTGATGTGCCACACTAAGCTTGTGCACCACAGGCGATGTACAAATGCAGTTAAGTATTCAAAATAAATGTTATATAATGCAAGTATGTGTATTAAAGGAGAACTCCATTGATTGGACATATCAAAGTATGTTTACAGGTCTTGGTACTCGTAGTAAGTACTACTGCATTTATGAAAGTTGGGTAAAGTCTTTTGTGGCTCCAGAGGTCCGATACATTGCCTCATGTGATGTCACTTAAGGCAGTGCTGGTCAGCGTTGGCTTACCAGACCTCTTCAGTCCGCTCCTCATCTCTGGTTCACGTTCGAGGCTACATTAACCGCTACTAGCATAACACAGGCACAACTCCGACCGAACCGCCAGCAGCAAAGTTGCATTGTGGGTAATGTAAGTGCCAGATTTTCACAAGAAAGACTGCATGGAATTAAAAAAAAAAATAAAAAAAAAAAAATAAATATATATATATATATATATATATATATATATATATATATATATATATATATATATATATATATATATATATATATATAATATATATATTGCTTTTGTCACTTTTTCTTAAAATTAAACTGTCCATCTTAAGTCCCAATACGTTATAGAAGTGCAACGCTAAGTCGGTGGAGTTCCCCTTTAAGAACGCTCATACCTGGTGACAAAAATGAATCAACTTAAGTTGTCAAGAAATGATAAGACTATTTGTCTTTGTCTGTATTCTGTAATCGTCACTAATTGATCGATTCTTTTACTTACTAAACGCTGCCTCTTTTGATACACAATCCCAAAGCCAAGAGCCAATAACCTCACCAGGGTCATTGCTGCGCCCTTCACCACCAGCGTGATGATCCCCGTCATCACCTGAGCATATTAACAGCCCGTCAACGTAGGCAATTTACACCGGAGGCCAGATCAGACACCCATCCACGGGTCACCACTAGTGTCTGAATCACAGCCACAGCTGACTCCTTTGGTAACAAGACTAGATTCACTATAGCCAACTACTTAGACTGATTACACACTGACGACTGCTGAGTGAATGAGGGGAAAAAAACTCCATCTCTCTGTTACACTTATAGCTTTGATCTCTCTGCCTTAAAATACATTGTGCTTTGATTAATAGAGCAGTACACATTTTATATAAATACAAATCTGTCTTATAGATGTACATTCACTTTTATTTTTCAGTATAGATAAATTTACATATTTTATAAAATAGGCTTTTCAGAATATATCAAGCTAATTTCCCCACTACAAGATTACACAATCAACACCTTTAAAGAACAAGTGCTTAACTCATCTTTGCTGCAAGAACCTACATTTTCTGAGCAGACATCACACACAGAGTTGAATTTGTATCTGTGCACAAGTACTACGTTTTCTCTACAAACACATTTCATACGTATGGCTTTTCTCTATGCTGGCTCCCACTACGAGTAGACCCTTAAGATGTTACACTGGATTAATCGGACATGTATTAACTTATCTGTTATTGCAACTTTCTGAATGGATAATCTTCTGATGATCATTTTAGGTTATGTGGTGCCAAAAAAGTATTTCAAGTCCATCTACAGGATATTCTGGATTTGACTTAAGAGCACTTAACTGGCACAGGACAGATCCTAAAGTGGGAGCAAATAGGGTTGTGCCTCTTCTTCGTGATTTCAAGTAAGAGACAAGTGGGGGTGAGGGGGGCTCATTACCCATCCTTAGACCTCTCGCCTTCCCAACTCCAAGGCACTGCTTAAACTGTAAACATGGCAGAGTGATAAAAAAATTATGATTTGACCATAAAAAGTATGAGTGCCAGAGCTTGTGGTGGATTGTAACTGTGACATTTCAAATGTAGGCCATGGCACATCACAAATATTTAAGAATAAAAACACATTTGGGGAAAACAACTTTGATACAGTACTATATACTCTATTTCAATGGCTTACATGCACACCAAAGTATCTGCTCAAGATATATCTGTAAATGTAGGTTTACTGAAGTGAAAGTGCTTTCCATGCCCATTTACAGTTTGTTTTATAATCTCACCATAAAACTAACCATCCATTTATATAATGATTAAACGCTCTCTGCCCTGATCATATACTGTATTCTTAATGGCTTTCTTTTTGACTGTATAAAATATACCTCCATAGCTTAAAAAGCAACGTTTAGCAGACGATCCCACTGATCACGAGCCAAGATTCCTTTCATAGTATCCTAAAGCTTTACAAAAAAATACAGATGCATTCTTTTAACATTATCATGTCAGCATTTATTCATAAGCAGATTAACTAACTTGTGGAAAGATTTCCCAACAACTCCATGCTGATAAGATGCATGATAGGAGTGAAGAAAAAAGATGTTGACTTTATGTTGTCCACCTGTTAAAGTGCTGTGGCGCACAGTGCTGTTATAACCAAGTGAATCATGCGTTGACCTACTCACTGCTGACAGAAAATCACAAAGCTACTTCCTGATAACCTCATATTTCTACCGTACTGCCTGGTGTATGGGAGCACAGTATCTCCTCTAGGCAGCTGCCTAAACAGAGCAGACAGTAAGTTCCCC